GTCAAAGGCCATGATCATCAACACATAGTGGCTTGCTGCTGCAAATATGTGCACAAAATAAGCTTGAACAACACACTCCACATATGTGATATAGCGCTCTGAAGCTTCCCTTAAAATGTCTTGCAGTAAGCGTGGCAACATGACGGTGGTCCCTAGTATATCATTCAGTGGCAAATTACAAAACAGAAAATGCATAGGGTGATGCAGATTCTTCTCCGTCGAGATCAGAATTATTAGTCCAATGTTACATCCCATTGCAAATATATAAACCAAGAGAAGCAGGACAAAAACGGGATAGGAAGACTGAGGTGTAACTTTTAGTCCTTCCACAAGTAGAATGTTGTTTGTAATTGTCAGGTTATCCATTGGTTGCTGTATACAAACCTGTAACAAACAGTACTGTCACCATAATTAATAGTAATCCTTAAAATACTGTGCTGGAAATAAACATTACAACTAACAAATTCAACACATGCTTGAACCCCTAAATATTACTGCTATAAGTAAAATTATATTGTAACATCATGAATTCTGTTCTTAATTTCCTAAGAATAAACAATCAAACCAAAAATGATACAGACACTCTTTACATAAATTACCAAAATAATTTAAAATTACTGTTAGTATGACAATATTTACACAACTATCAATACTTTGTTGGGTCACTTTTCCCCCCTTAAAAAACATCTTGTAGTAGACCTGAACCTCATTATTTTACCATACTCACTGCAGCAGTTTTTCCAGCTCCTGTTGGTTTTCTTCCAGTGTGGGATAAAGGTTTGCTAATAGAATGTCACAGTTTACTTTATTTTGCTACTCCAAAAAACATAAATTAAATTGTGTCCTGCACCCACTAGTAAAACATATCTCTGATGTCTGAATATTTTTTGGTTTGATGCTACATATATATTTTTTTGCTGTTTGATCAGCTTAATAACCCCTAATGATCGGCTAATGATTGCTCAGCATCTAAATAGCATCTTAAAATTGATCAAGATTCTTGATTACTTCACAGGTCAAGTTGCCAGGTGATTACCTTGAAGCCTATTCTGTCAGTATTCAGAGAAGAATAAATGTCAGCTTATTTTTCACTGAAAGATATTTACATGCTTTTGCCTTTAAATATATATTGCAGTTCAAAGATATTTCCCTGATGTTGCCATCACCCAAGAGGGGAATGACATATCCAACTTGTTGCCATGAACACGGACATGTTTCAAAATGATTTTGTTTTGTTAAGATAGTCCTTGCCCTAGTTAACTGTAGGGATTGCGGTTATTTTTCATTCTTATTATGTATGGTAATTAGCAGTTTATTTTGCTGTGGTGACCTTTTAGAGATCAGGGAAGCTGAAGAAAAAGTAAGTAATGAGGCAACAGACATGTGTACTGTGATTTTTTTAAAAGGGAAAGGTGCCAATAAACTTCATAAGACTCATCTGTTTATGCAGATGTTAATATTTGATTCCTGCATGTGTTTTCAAATATATTAAATACAAAAAATATAACTTTATATACATCTTGGTCAGCCTCTTTTTTGATTATAAGTTATCCTATTTTTCATCCAAAACACACTTCAGGAGTATGCATAAAGATAACTATATAACCCACTCTACAACTTCATCTGAGAAGACTGTAAAATAACAAGGAATCTCCTCTTATCCTATCCTCAAGTTTAAAATTTAAATTGAGGTGAAAAGATTTCCAAGACTAATGCTTCACCCATTATCATTCTGGTTAAGTCTGTAACGTATGTTCCCTGAATAGAGAACAGAGATGTGTGTCTGTAATGAACAGACATTTGGGAGAGCGTTAGACGACCAATCACTCTGAAGATTAAGAAATGGGCCAATAAGTGAAGTTTTTAAACTAATTTCGAGAGGAGCATGTGATATAATTGACTGCAGCTGGTCGCCTATCTACACTCATTAGTTAGCCAATCAGATCTGTCCTAACTTACTATAAATAGCCTAGCTAGATATTACTCCTTTATCTTCGTTTTCCGAAGAAACCCCCCATCCACCCCCTTTCTCCTCCTTTACTCCTTTACAAAAGGGGAGCTCTCGAGGACCACCTGATCTCGTACTCCCCTCACATGCTCTATGGACCTGGGCTCAACTATCTCCGAGCTCAGGGTTCTCTCCCTGGACAGGATGCCAAACCTACTAACAGTTGTCAAGCAATATCTAAGTGTGAACTCTTGAAATTGCCAATTGAATTGGCGGAGCCTGGCTCCACAGCTGATCCTAATCAGCTATCAACTCTATATCAGTCAGCTGCTGGAGTCAGCTCACTAGAATTTTGCCTGCTGAAGAGCCAATCACTCATCTCCTAGCTGGAGACTCAGGTGCTGTGGCAGTGAAGACACACGTCTCTATTCGGGAAAGCTAAGCCTATCATGCTCCTGATGTGCAGTTTGCCAAGCGTAGCGTGAGCGAAGTGACATCACCAAAAGTGCAACCTTTCAACGTCCCCTAGGCCCAAAATATTACCATTACATGGGAATGATAAGAATTTAGATAATAAATGTGTCATAAATATGATTTTACCTAGCTAATATAGACTACGGATTTTAGAAATACAACAGTATGTTGGGAATCATGCCAGTCCCCGAAGGGGGGAGGATGCTGCAGAGACCACCTGCTACCATGAGGGGAGACTTGATGGTAATAGAGCATATGGACAAGCCCTAATGAGGGAGAGTGCTACATATGATAAGCTGGTTAGGGGTAAAGGAAGACACGGGTCCGCGTGAAAAGCGGGAACAAACAGTGGTAAATAATGCATATAGCAACACCAAAACAGAGGAATGCACATAGCTCGCACCGAACCTCAGTATGCGGGTAAACCAGATGGGACTCCTCCGCTGAGTCAGGTGCTGGGGGCCTCGGAGGAATTCTCTAGGGTTCATCTAAAAAGGGAAACTTACTAGTAAAATAGAGAATGTGCATGCATCTCCGGGTTAGGGAGCCTGGAAGCAAGCATGTTAGGGAGCAAACATTTATTGACACCGAACTTAATTACGGGGGTAACCAGTAATCGAAACTGACTCCACCCGAGGATATAATCTCGAGTATGTGTTAGGTGCCCGCAGCTCTACATAATCTGTTAAGAGGCGCTGCATATTCACGCTGAAACAGAGGCACCACTTTTTAGATTATTATTGTTATTATTATTATATAAGTGTGCTCCCTCTCCCGGGGTACACAGCTCGCTCTGGCACATGAAGCGAGGGTGATACCATAAACTAAAAATTGGACCAACCTCTACTTTGACAAAGCACTTCCCTTCTACTGATCACAACAGAAAAGAACTGCTTAAAGATGTATGCTCTTGTTTCACATTAAGCACAGTGCGCGGACATAGAGATGAAAGGCTGGGTTTGCCCCCTCTGCAGGCAGCGCTTGCAGGCTCACCACCTAATATTAAAAGGGGGCGGTAGGAGCCTTGGTACAAGGTGAACTGAGGTCTCAGTTAAACATGAGAATAGGTCAGTCCGAATTACTGGCACAATTTGCTAAGCAAAAATGCCACTGGAATCCTAATCCTCCTTATACCAACACGATCAGCAGAGCTGCCTTAAGGACAGAAAACGTATAGATACTGATTGAGGGGCTCAATCAGTATGTACCTCATCGTAACTGTGCAAGGTCAAGTAGGACAAGGAGCAAGTTTTGTCCAACGGGACTTGGATTTCTAAACTCTCCCTGCAATGGCCCCTCCCTCGCATATCCCTTTGAGAAAGGACCTTCTTTCTTAGAGACAGGGCACTATCTGGCACCCATGCCCCAATCTTTGGAACCTCCAAGTGTGGTCCCAAGATGGAACGTGGAGGACTTAGGTGACCTACTGGTTGCGGTGGTTAACACCATCACTCAGGCTAGAGCACCCTCTACAAGGCATGCATTTCACAGTTGGAATCGATTTCCGCAGCTGGCAGCTTTATACTCAGATAATTAATATTGCTGTCAGCGGCGAGAGGTGCGTGCTGCCAATTTATAGGCATTTATTGGCCCATTTTCTTAAGGTCTTTTCTGAAGTCTGAAATTTTTGTATGCGCTTTTTTTTGTTTTCATAAAACAACAAAAATTGTCACGTAAACAAACCTTGCACACTGAGTCCAATGCTTTAATTGCATTACGGAAAAAAAACAAAAAAACAGAAAAAAGCAGTTTAAGCTGTGATACTTTATTCTCTTATCTTCTCTAAAGTAGAAAAAGAAAGAGGAATATGCTACATATTGCGCACATCCAATACTGCATTAGAAAAAGGAGAGTTTTGCTTGTTATCAAAGAGCTGCGCTGGATTATCCCGAAATGCAAAGTTTATTTCAGGAAATCAGTAGAATTTTGATACATTGCTAATGAAACTTTACACATTCACGTACGTAAACAAATCCTTAACAGAGACTGGCAGTATAGGCATTATAATAGATGGTGGCCGAGTTGAGGTGTCTAAGCAACAGACCAAACACACACACACAAACACACACACACACACACACACACACACACACACACACACACACACACACACACACACACACACACACACACACACACACACACACACACACACACCAAACAGCAGCAGGGTCGAGGTACACCAGTTACTGAATACAGCATAGGGGTTTTCAACAGTCTGCCACATTGTCTTTACTTTATGTCTGTGTTTGTCATAAAGTTCTATAGCTCAAATAATGGCATTCTATATTTAGTGTTTTGCTCATACGTTGGTTCTAATCTGTCAAAACACCACTCTAAGCCCTTTTCCTTGACGGACGAAAGTTTCAGAGTTTGTGTGTCAATATGATTGACACAATGTGAGATTGAATTTATTTTTTAACATGCAAAATTTATGGATTCAGTGTGCAATAACCTTTATTCTTCGGAATTATTATCTTCTGGTGATGTCCTCGAATGTGTCAATGTCACATAGCATTTCCATTCCTCCCATATGATGTTTTGTGCATCAATGACTCTCATCTGCTTAATTTGCAACTTTGTTTACTATTACTTTATTTTTATGCTTCCTTTTGCACATTTCGTTGACTGTACATTGCATTGCAACTACATGCCAACTAATTCTTATTAGTGAAAACCAACAGACATTAACCCCAACTTACATTAATCCTAACCTCAAACTTACAGTCTTCAATGAGTATTAGTTGGCTCGTAGTTAAATTCCAATGTAACATCTCCCAAATTTGTTAATGGGACCATCAAAATAAAAATAATAACCTTTATCCTATTGTGAATTTTGAAGACACTGATTACATTAATGTTGTCAGTATTCTAAATATGTTTATAGATTTTTTTTTGTGAAACTTCTACATAGACAAAACACATAAAGCAAAGCATTTAGCAGAGGCAAAGCATATAATTTGCAAATTCCTGGCCCAATTGGAACTTGAACCTGCTGAAGAACTGAGCCGCCATGCAACCCCAAATTTGATCAGGAAGTGAGTACAGAAGGATGCACTGGGAAAAATGCAGGCAGTGTTATGCGCTAGACAAAGTATTCATTGACATCATCCTTTTATTATTAAAGAATAGAGCTCTATTTTAAATTATAACAGAATATTAAAAGTTTAAAAAGCATTAAACTATCTGACTCTTACCGGTTGTCAATGTTTCAAATTGACAAGCACATGAAAATGATTATGTAAAATATAATTTTTATTAAGCAACCAAATGGACATTATAATCAAAATAATTAAAACCACAGTGGAAGGTGTACAAAGTACATATACTGTAAAAATGTTCAGCTTATATTTTGAAGTTTTTTTTGAAGCACAATTATAGTAAGTCACAATTTGTCAACTGCATTTTTCCACCAGCGTTTAACAATTATTTGTCTTATCTCTTTGGTTTGTAAGCCATACACAATAGGATTTAGCCCTGGCGGTACGATATGAAACATTATACTAGCTAGTTTCCTGTTTTCAGAATACTCAGGAAAACGATGGAAAAAAATCATGATGGCACAAGAAACAAACATTATTAAATATACAGCTATGTGACTGCTACATGTTTTGATGGCTTTGCTGTTGAGTGCTTTGCTTTTACTGATTATACAAGCAGTAACAATCCTAGCATATGCTATAACCATCAATGCTACTGATATTATGAGGGCTGCCACAGAATAAACTATTCCAAAAATGTTATTAATGGCAACATTTTCACATGACAACTTGTAAAGTGAGGCGTTGTCACAGAAAGGGTTTTCGATTTTAGATCTGCAGCGAGACAACCGTACAGTGAGACCTATCATAACTGCCACCACAATTATCGGTAGTGTCCAGGCCGTTGCTGACAATTTAACCACCATTTTATCTGTCATTACAGCTGTGTACAGTAATGGATTGCATATAGCCACTTGTCTGTCATAGGCCATGGTTACTAGGGCAGTGTGGCTTGCTGTTGTAAATATGTGCACAAAATATGCTTGAACAACACACTCGACATATGTCATAGAGCGCTCCGAGGTCTGCTTAAAAATGTCACAAATTAAACGCGGCAAAATGACAGTGGTGCCTATTATATCATTCACTGGCAGATTACAGAAGAGAAAATGCATAGGATGATGTAGCTTCTTCTCAGTTGCTATCAAAATTATTAGTCCAATGTTACATCCCATAGCAAAGATATAAAACAAGAAAAGCAGGATAAAAATAGGATAGGAAGATGGATATGTAACTTTCAATCCCTCCACGAGGAGAAAGTCATTTGTGAATGTCAGGTTGTCCATTAGTTGCTCTATGTAAAATCTGTAAACAGTAACAACAAGACACTTCAAACAGTCAATAACAAAAACACATAGAAAAATTGTATTGCATTATTAGGAATATACATAGATTATTTCGACAAGTATTTGTGTTCTATGCAGTTTAAACCCAGCCTAAATATTTCTTATGTATGTCAATTCTGATTACATTTTCTGATTACGTCTGCCATAGTTTCATTTAAATTAAATATACGATGCATATTGGTAAATAAAAAAAGATATTTATTATAAATCATAAGTTAAACCTATGAATGTTGGTTGTTACTGTAATTACCTGTGGAAAAATTATCCACCGGCTCTTCTTCGAAGAAATCTTTGCCTGCTCTTTCCTTTTATTATATGAGTGTTTGCTGTGCTGTCATCACCCAAGAGGGGTTACTAACACACTTATGTCATACATCACTATGAGTTTTTTCTTAAAATATCCTGCACTAAATGTGTCACAATGAAAGTAGTTCATTCTATGTGACTCAGTAATAGCATTCGGACAAAATTCAGTATCGCATCAAAGTGTGAAGGAATAAATTATGACATCATGATTCAGATAGTGGAGGCCTATCTGCAAGTTGTGTGGTTTCTTCTTATGATTTTTCTGTTCCAGGAGGTTAATCAGAAGCAAGAAGAAATGCTATACCTGGCTGCTTTGTAAAAAGTGTCATAGAAAACAAGTGTGACAACATTATAGCTGTTTATTCACATTCCTTCCCAGGAGGAGGGAAAGTTCAATGCTATGTGGAAAATTCCACCATGGGCATTTTGTGAGAAGCCAATCATCTGAAAGAGTAATTAAATGGGCTAATGAAATTGGCGGCGCAGCATGCACAACTGACAGTAATTCATTCATTAATTTTCTTGTCAGCTTAGTCCCTTTATTATTCCAGGGTCACCACAGCGGAATGAACCACCAATTTATCCAGCAAGTTTTTACGCAGCAGATGCCCTTCCAGCCGCAACCCATCTCTGGGAATCATTCACACACACACACACTTATACACTATGGACAATTTAGCCTACCCAATTCACCTGTACCGCATGTTTTTGGACTGTGGGGTAAACCGAAGCACCCGGAGGAAACCCACGCGAAGGTAGGGAGAACATGCAAACTCCACACAGAAACACCAACTGAGCCAAGGTTCGAACCTGCGACCCAGTGACCTTCTTGCTGTGAGGCGACAGCACTACCTACTGCGCCACTGCCTCACCCACTGACAGTAATGACAATCAATATTGTATAAAGATGCTAACTGTGCACCTTTTCACTTTCAGAGCCTTTTACGCTTCTGAGAGAATCTTCGTAAGGGTTCCTTTAAGCTTCAAGGAAGAGAAGACAGAAAACGAAAAAGCTGGCTGATTGAGTGTGTGATATGCAGCGACAGACGGTCGAGCTGGGCTTTCTCCCTTGCCTGGGTATTCTCTGAGTCTGATCTTTCTACAGTGGTTTGTATAAGGACAAGTTTCCTAAAAGAGCAACATGGTCGTGCACTTTCTTTTTAAAAGATGTAGTTCCGACCGTGCGTTTCTGGATGCGGTGGTTCTCTGTCTATGGATGTTGGGCACGAGCACTGCATTGCATGTCTGAGGGTTCAGCATGTTAATGCGGTGCTCGATGGCAACACATGCCATCACTGTGATGGCATGTCTGTTGCGCAGGTAAGATCGCGGCTGGCTCTTGCAAAAGCACAAACCACCCCTGTTGTCCCCCGCAATAACGGTTAGCACTCGGGCAGATCTGAGGGTTACAGTAAGGGTCACTCCCTGGGTGTAAACAAACCAGGGAAAAGAGAGGCATGGTCTCGCTCAGTAGCCAAGGTCATTGGACAATCACAGACTGGGCTGGCCTAAACTCTGCCCACTATAAAACTTCGATGATGTGAACTTTCGTGGCTTTTCGCTTTGGCTTCACAAGGATTATCTATGCACAAACTTTGCGTTGCATGCTTCCCGTCTTTACAACACACCTGTCGGACATTGCTTTTGGAAGAACTACCAGGTAAAGCTTGCTCCTGTCTGCTGTTACATCACTACGGTAACGAGAACCCGTTCATAGCAGCTCAAGCTGCTTCTGTGTAAGTTCACGACTCGCATGAACTCTGACCCTGTTCTGACCCTGTTCTGCTCATATAACCTCTTTCCGTGAACATCCGCCCCATCCAGCAGTAGAGACAGTGTAGTAATTCTTGATCAAACCGCCATTCTATTATGAGAGAGGGGAGATGTTATGGAAGGGTGGGGAAAGATCATACTAGACAAACTTGCCCATCCAGACCAAATTCTTGATTGGCCATCGGAAAGATCATACTAGACAGACTTGCCCATCCAGACCAAATTCTTAAAAGGCTGTCGGCGTTCCCGTGGGCGGCACCGGCTCAATGCTGGACTTTAAATTGGAAGTCCACCTGGAGGAACCACCTGGTGACATGGGCATTAGTGTCTTTTGCTGCTGCCATTCACCAGGGTGAAGGATCATACTAGGAGACATAGGAGGTATTTCAGCTCCTGGACTGCCCACTTTATAGCCAGGCTCTCCTTCTCTACAGCCACGTATTTCGTCTTTGCAGGGAACAGCTTTTAAATCCCGTATGAGACTGGGTGCTCCTTTCTCTCATGGAGTTGTAATAACACGGCACCCAGTCCGGAGTTGAAACCGTTGGTCTGGAGGATGAAAGGGAAGCCAAAATCAGGTGCATGCAGTACCTGGGAAGAAGTCGGGCCTTATTCACTCTCAGGAATGCCTGTTCTGCTGCTGGGCTCCATGGATTTTTCTCTGGCTGCTCTTTCTGTGTCAGGTCTGTTAGCGGGCTGGCTATGGATGAGAAATTGGTAAAGGCATGCACCTGGGATTATGTGGTGGGTTGGAGAGTATTCTGGATGGCTTCAACTTTTGACTGTTGTGGCTGGATCAGCCCTCGAATGTAGTCGAACCAGAGATGACATTTGTTGGGGTTGGCTGAAAGTCTAGCCCGCTGGAGTTCAAGGAGCACCCTACACAAATGAGTAAGGTGTTCCTTACAACACCTCAAGTGGATAACCAGGTAGGCGGCTGCGTTTGTTTAGTGAGGTTTTAACAAAATGTCCATCAGCCTCTGGAATGTGGCTGGAGCCCCATGCAGCCTGAAGGTAAGGACCCGGTAGTGCCAGTGGGCCCAGGAGTGGTAAATGCAGTCTTCTCTTTTGCTTGTGTGGGGGGTACCTGCCAGTATCCTTTTGTGTGGTTGAGCGTTGAGATGAATCTGGCACTACCGTGTCGATCCAGGAGTTCATCCACTCGAGGTATTGGGTACCCCTCGAAACTGGATGTTTCATTGAAGTTCCTGATGTCCTTACAGAAGTGGGGAGTGCCATCCGGTTTTGGTACTATCACAACTGGGCTGGACAACGGGCTATGAAATTGCTTGATGATCCCTAATTCCTCTATAGTCAGCTGGTGAGCTTCTGGTACCCAATCGGGCCTCTGACGAACGATGACTCCAGATGATGTTGCAATGTCATGATTGATAACGGATGTCTGCCCAGGTTTCTCACTGAACACATCCTTGAACTGACTGACCAGGGATTGTAGTTCTTGCTTCTGGAAGAGGGACAGCTGTTCTCCCATGTGGATGATGGGTCAGCCTTCGTCCGCAAAATCAGTCAGTTATTCGGGTTGTGGGACCCACTGTTTCAGGATGTTAATATGGTACAGCTGTTCCTCTCTTCTTCTCCGTCCCAGCTGACACGCTCACTAATTCACCAGCCTGACCCACTCGATAATCAAGTAAGGACGCCTTCCAGGTGGCCAAAAACTTTGAAGTTGTGGCGGGGACCAGTGCCATTACCTTGTCGATGGGATGGAACTCGCAGGGTTAAGCGGGCCAGTCAAAGAGTCTTTTCTAGACATGCTGGGTTTCAAAGAGGTGTTGGCGGACTAAAGGCATCACTCTGTCAATCTTCTCCCTCATGTCCCATACGTACTCTATTACTAATCAGGGTGGGCTGGGTCCTGTTCCCTGTGTGGCCTGGGTCCTGTTCTCCATTCAGGAGAACGCATGGCTGGAGGCTTGGGGAACCTCATGCATACCAAACAACATGTATGGGATCATGAGGTCACAGTCGATGCTCACATAAGACTCAATATCAGTCATGGCATTCTGTGGTTCTAACACCTCTACAAATCGCCTTCTTTTGCTCAGTATGACTTTATTTATTTATTATAACCACTAATTCAGTAAATGAAAGTCATTGCTGAGCAAGTTCAAAAACAAGTAGTCTATAAATACAGCCATTATATTTCACCTGTGCTGGAACTTATAGGTGTAAATTTTATCCAAACAATTTTTAACATGTGTCAGTTGTAAATGGAACTAAAGTATTAGAAGTCAATTATTATGCAATTATTTTTGATTGTTTTATCAAAAGTCTATAAATATATGTACATTTTATATGCAATTATTTTTGATTGTTTTATCAAAAGTCTGTAAATATATGTGCATTTTAAAAATAGTGACAGACAAAATGTACTCCATGACAGCTCTAGAGTTAATAAAGGTGACCTTACAACTTAGCAAAGCTATGTTGTTTTGTAATTGTGATCTCTACTGTATGTTTTCATATTCGCTTCAGATAGCTCACATAGCTTTTTCCCCGACTCCTGCATGCAGTATTATAGTTTTACTTACCATGAAAACTATTCTAGTCATGTTCATATGATGAATAACACAGTAATACAAGAACAACATTTCTTACATTTTATATAGATTGTAAATGACTATAAAATTATTTTTCCATGGTGCAGATTCCACAGCTTGCCACTTCCAACGTGAAACAGCCTTAATATTGTCTTCCAGAGACTGTGACTGCTAATACTGACAGTTTGTATTTGATGGTGTACTGGAAGCTTACACCTGTAGGTTACTGTATGATCAATCAATCAGTGCTTTAACATTGTAGCATGAATTAATATAGACTAGAGACCATTATTTCAGACAAACATTTAGATATTAGTTTAATCATAATTTAATAAACACATTTTTATTGGTGTAGGGTGAAATTTTCACAAAAAGCAAAACAAAAAAAGACATGCACCCAACATTGTCAGACTAACACAGCATTTTTTAAAATAAATATAATACATGTTATAGACTATTTATTTAAACAGTTTTGTTTAACAAATATTAATTAGAAAAGAATGTGATCTGTGCTGAATCATTATTTTCTGTTTCTGTTAATTTGACATTAACCTTTTTGTGCTACGGCAAAATTTAACAGTCTTTTGTCTTATTTCTTTAGTCTGTAAACCATACACTAAAGGATTTAGTCCTGGTGGTACAATATGAAACATTATACTAGCTAGCTTTCTGCTGTCAGAATATTGAGGGGGAGATCGATGCAAAAAAACCATAATGACAGAAGAAACAAACATGATTAAATAAACAGCTATGTGTGTGCCGCATGTTTGTATGGCTTTTCGATTGAATGACTTGTTTTTGCTGGTTATGCATACGGTAGCAATCTTTGCATATGTTATGAATACAGATCCAAGTGAGAAGACAGAGACAAGAATTGTAGTACATATTCCATACACATTATTAACAACAACGTCTTCACAGGACAGTTTAAAAAGAGAGGCATTGTCACAAAAAGGGTTTTCAATGTTAGATCTGCAACGAGACAGGCGTAAAGTCAGTGATATCAGAATTGTCACTGAAATTACTGACCACCCCCAGGCCAATGCTGATAGCTTGACCACCATTTTATTGGTCATTATAGCTGTGTATCGCAGTGGATTACATATAGCCATATATCTGTCGAAGGCCATAATCAACAGCACATAGTGGCTTGCTGCTGCAAATATATGTACAAAATAAGCTTGAACAACACACTCCACATATGTCATGTATCGCTCTGAGGCTTCCCTTAAAATATCCTGCAGTAAGCGTGGCATAATGACAGTGCTCCCTATTATATCATTCAGTGGTAGGTTAAAAAACAGAAAATGCATAGGATGATGCAGATTCTTCTCAGTTAATATCACAATTACAAGACCAATATTGCATCCCATTATAAAGAGATATACCAAAAGAAGCAGGATAAAAACAGGATAAGAAGAATGTTGTGTAACTTTCAGTCCCTCTATGAGGAGAATTCTGTTTGTGATTGTCAAGTTATCCATTAGTTGTTCTTCAAAAAAATCTGATAAAACAATAATGAACAGACTTGTTACTATTTTGTCATATTTAAATATATTACACTGCATATAGTATAGATCAGGGGTTCTCAACTGGTTTGGCCATGGGACCCACATTTTTACATGGTCATCAACCCACGACCCAAATTTTTAGGAACTAATGATATAACTTTAGGAATTATAATTAATTTGTATTTATTTGTTAACATACACAAGTAGTGACAGATAAATCATAACAAAATCACCAAGACTTACAAATAAACAATTTTCATTGCTGTCATTTAACAAAATGTCTCAAATTATCGAAATATTACAAAGTAAAAACAAAAATGTTTGGTTTCTAAAAGTGCTCTTGTGAGCGCACATCACTACATATCACACACTGAGGTTTTAAGCCTTTTTTGTCATCAATATATGTAAATCCATACTTTACATATTCGGGGTCGTACTTGCGCTTTGACATATTTTTTTGCTATAATTAAAAGAAATTCACATGTCAAACGATACAGTTGTCGCTCGCGCATTTCAAAATAAAAGACTTGTATAAGCAAATTAAATTAAAAATTAAACATTTAATATTTTTTTTGACCACACACTCTGCGACCCACTGAAAATAATCCCGGGACCCACTTTTGAGTCACCACCCACCAGTTGAGAAACACTGCTATAGATAAGAAACACTGCTCTCTGCTAAGACTTTGCAATCAATCTGAACTATTTTCAGAACATATAGTAACATGAAAACTCAATCTGTACAAGGTTTGTTTATCTAAAAACAGTTCATACCTACACCAAATGTTTTCCGTTATTTCCAAGATCAAGCAACAAGTAGTTGCATCACACAATTCGAGCTGGCTAATGTTGTGTAGCCATCAGTTCCATTAGCATTCTGTATTTCAGATACAACTGAAAAATCTTTGACTTGCCTTTTCCATTATATAGTGAATATGGCTTGAACATGACATCATCACTCAAGAGGGGAATGCAGATAGAGCTTGGCGCCATGCTTACAGTCTATCATAATTGTGGTAGTTGTGTTTGCTTTCCTGTAGGGGTCCTGATTCTTTGTTTATAGCTGTCAGTGGTTTTGGCCATTTTCAGGCTGAATTCCAGCTATTTCCAGCCTGGTCTTAGCTGGTCAGGTTGGGAGATGACCAGCTAAAACCAGCTTGACCAGGCTGGTGTAAGTTGAGTTTTAGCTGGTCATTTTACAGCCTGTCCAGCTAAGATCAGGCTGGAAAGGCTGGAAACCAGCCTGGGAATGGCCAAACCCCTTCTAAAACCAGGCTGGTCAGCCAACTTAAACCAGCCAACCAGCTTAGGCTGGTTTAAGCTACATTTTTTACCAGGGAACTGCCTTAGAGTCCCAGCACCATCACGCTGGCTCTCTCAAGCCAACATCAAGTCCGTCAAGAACTTTAGGTTCTAGTCATTATTATTACTACAACATGTATTATTTAATCTATGCTTTAATAGGGACTTATGAAATCGATACGTCACATGTACCTCCACTGGAATATTATTGTCGGCTGAAACAACTGCCTGAACATAAAGCAATTGTTGCAGCTATTGGTTGCTGTTCGATTTTTTTTTAAAGAAGCCCGGATCACCCTCTCCCTTTTAACAATCAATCAACTCCGGGACCTTATTAAATTATTCTAAGCATTCATGGCAGATCTATACATCCTATGAGCTTACATGTGATGTAATACAGAGGGAGAGCGATTTAAGGACTGAAAACAATACACCTTGCCAACTGTTTTTGTATATTAGATTAGATTAGATTAGATTAGATTAGATTAGATTAGATTCAACTTTATTGTCATTACACATGTACAAGTACAATGCAACAAAATGCAGTTTAGGTCTAACCAGCAGTGCAATAGCAGCAAGTGCAGTTATAGAAAAACTATGGTGATATTTACAGATGGATGTACTATGAACATTATATACAGGTTGGATAAGCTATGAGCAGATTTACAATATATGAATATTTGTGCAGGTTGCTATTAATAATCAGTAGTGTGCAGATAAATAAACATGATTACAAGTGTATATGTTACAATATATGAATATATGTACAGGGATAGATAAACATGATTACAAGTGTATATGTTACAATATATGAATATATGTACAGGTTGCTATTAATAATCAGTAGTATGCAGATAAATAAGCATGATTACAAATGTATGTTACAAGTGTATAGTGGGTGTGTACATAATTACAAATGTCCATATGCAGTGATTATGTACAGTTCAATAAGTAAACAGTTCAATGTGGTGCAGTGAATGTGGAAATTTTTAAATGTGCAAATGTTAAACAGTGGAGTTATTGCAAGGAGTTTAAGTTAGAGGAGAGTGGGGGGTGTATTGGGGGTGCAAAAGAGTCAGTGGGGGGCAAAGGAAACTCTGGAAGCTGGCCCAGAAGTGGAGTCCCACCCTACTCCTGCCCCTTCCTATTCAGGACTTTTACAAAGAAAAAAGTGATGCAAACTGACAACATATTTTTTTCTAATTATTTACTTCCTTTAAACTTTTGGTCTGAACTATGTAAATAAAGTCAGAAATATATCAGGAATATGACATAGCCGAAAATACAACTTTTTTAGTTATATGCAATTTTTTGTTTTCTTTTTTAAAATAAAAAGTGATCTCAGCAAACCAATTATGTCTAAACTGTATACAATTATATTTTCAATGTGAAGCAGGAAGAGATCTTTGAGCAGACATTGCATGTATTTGCAAATACAAAAACTGTGATGCAAGCCTTTTTTGTATTTTTTTCTTGTTGCTCTGTAACCCATTATTGTACGTCACATTACTGTAGCCCATTGTGTTGTTTTTTCACTTGATTTAAATGACAGCTTTTTTTCTTTTTTGCTTGTAGTGAGTCAAAACTAATATTCTCTTTTCTCGTCATTTATTTTCTCTTTTCCAGGTAATGTGTATACAACTTAGATTTAAATTACTTTATATATGACGCAAACAACTCCCACACAAAAAAAATCTGATAATTACTGAAAATAAATGAGTACAGAACAAAGTTTGTACTGTTGGAGTGCCACAGTTTATCTAAGGGTAAATATTTAAAATTTCACATTTGTAAAATACTATGTTATTTACTATGTTACTATGTTATCATTATCTTCTTTCTACACCAGAGTTTCACAACCTTTTCTCTAATCTCTTTGGTTTGCAAACCATATACTAAGGGATTCAAACCTGGTGGTACAATGTGAAACATTATACTAGCTAGTTTCCTGTTGTCAGAGTATTCAGGAAAACGATGAAGGAAAATAAAAACGGCTCCAGTAAGAAACATGATTAAGTAAACAGCTAAATGAGTGCTGCAGGTCTTTATGGCTTTGCTGTTGAGTGCTTTGTTCTTGCTGGTTATACATACAGTAGCAATTTTGACATACGTTACAAATATAGATAATGCTGACAGACTGAGTGCAACCACAGTATAAACAAGTCCGAACACATTATTAACAGACACATTTTCACAGGACAGTTTAAACAATGAAGCATTGTCACAGAAAGGATTTTCAATTTTATACCTACAACGAGACAGGCGCAAAGAGAGTCCTACCATAATTGTCACGAAAAGAAAGGCCAAGCCCCAAGCAAGTGCTGAGAGTGCAATAACCATTTTATTGGTCATTATTGCTGTATATCTCAGAGGTTTACATATAGCAACATATCTGTCAAAGGCCATGATCATCAGCACATAGTGACATCCTGCTGCAAATATATGCACAAAATAAGCTTGAATAGCACATTCTGCATAAGATATGTAACGCTCTGAGGGTTCAGTTAAAATATCCTGAAGTAAACGTGGCATAATGACGGTGGTCCCCATTATATCATTCAGTGGCAAGTTACAGAACAAAAAATGCATAGGATCGTGCAGATTCTTTTCTGTTGAAATGAGAAATATAAGTCCTATGTTTGATACCATTGCAAAGATATAAGCCAAGAGAAACATGATGAAAACAGACTGAGATGACTGAGGTGTGACTTTCAGTCCCTCAACGAGGAGAATGCTGTTTGTGAATGTCAGATTGTCCATGAGCACTGCACACCGGAGCTTGCTGTAAAAAGAATTGCATAGTTGTTATTTACATGTTATCATCTACACATCATCATACATTATCACTGATTTACTCATTATTACTGAATCTAGGCCTGTACAGTAGAATGAAGTAAAAAAGATAGAAAAGAAAAACAGTATATTGCTTATTATAAAACTTTTATAAAATTGGTCTTTACAGATGAGGCGAATTAGCACCCAACTCTATAACTATTCAAGTCTATATTTTAAATGTAATAGCAGCCACTTGCCGAACACTACATAAAGTCCTCTGTATAATGATCAGATGTTTTGAAGTGTGGTTTATATAAAGAATTCTATGACACTGTCATCATCTCACAAGGGAAAACACTGTATAGCGTTTGTTGCTATGAGCAGTATACGCCTACTCAATGTTTTTTTGTGGCAAAAACTGCAATCCACTAGTAATTAAATATAAATAAATAAATAAATAAATATATATATATATATATATATATATATATATATATATATATATATATATATATATATATATATATATATATATATATATATATTTGTAAAATATATTTACAATTTTGCCAGATAATTTTTTAAATCAAGAAATTAAATATGTGTAAATTAAATACTCTGGCTACTTTAATGCACTGTTTGCTGGCTCATCAGCATCCTCTATTAACAAACGTCAGCTAGTACAAAATGCAGCTGCCAGAGTTCTGACCAGGTCTAGAAAATATGATCATATCACCCCAATTTTATCCTCCTTATACTGGCTGCTTGTTAAGTTTCGAATTGAATTTAAAATATTGCTTTTTACATGTAAAGCTATAAATAATCTAGCTCCTGTTTATCTAACCAACCTTCTGTCTTGCAACAATCCAACTCGCTCTTTAACATCTTAAAACTCAGGGCTTCTGGTAATACCTAGAATAACAAAGTCGAGTAAAGAGGGTCGAGCCTTCTCATTTATGACTCCTAAACTATGGAATAGCCTTCCTGATAACGTCCGAGGCTCAGAAACACTCTCCTAATTCAAAACTAGATTAAAGACCTATCTGTTTAGTAAACCATACACCCAGTGCATCACTTAGCGGAATGATACATGAATGTACTCCACACCGGTTTCTGCATCTTGTTTAAATACACTAATAACAGCAGCTACACTAATTATTCTCTTTATTCTCCATTTCCACCTGGGGAGACTCATCCCGAGGCCCTCTGACTATGCAGAGTCACTAATTCGATCCAAGACCAGCGACGAGATGATCCCAAGGTTTCCATATCCTGGACCAGGCCGTATCCTGAGCAGCTGCTGTGGTGGTCATGGAGGAGTGAAGAGCATGAGACTGATTCCTGTGACGCTCCAAGGACAGACGAGTCTTCGATGAGGTCCAGCTTCCAACCTCTGGTGCTGAGACTGCAGCTCTGCAAAAGACGTTTGGCGAACGGAGAAATTGAAATGGTCGTGCCCAACTGAGTCTGGTTTCTCTCAAGGTTTTTTTTTTTTTGTTCTTCACTTTCGCCAATTGGTGAAGTTTTTTTTTCCTTCGCCGATGTCGCCACTGGCTTGCATGTTTTGGGATCGGTAGAGCTATGCATAGATGAATTTGCTCTTCAGTGTTTGGACTCTCAGTAGTGATTACTAAACCATACTGAACTGAGCTAAACTGAACTGAACTTAAACACCAAAAACTGAACTGAAAAAACTGAACAGTACCAATTTATTATGATCTTTTATGTGAAGCTGCTTTGACACAATCTTCACTGTAAAAGCACTATACAAATAAAGGTGAATTGAATTGAATTGAATAGTAGACAGTAATAAAGTAACTTATTATCAGCAAGATAGAATCATAATCAATCAAAAACTTTTCTCAAGTATTTGATACTTTATCACAGTACTATGTACTGTATGTAAAAGCAGGTTCTTTCTATTCACACTCGCTGAAACACCTCGGTCACAGTCAAGATCGCCCTCACCTGATTTCTCACAACTCAACCACTTGCAAATCACTCCAGCTCCATAAATCCCCTCACCGTCCCTCACTCTGTGTCCGACCTCGTTGCTAGAGAAATAAACCTGGACACCACCATATTTCAGGACCTGAAGTGGGACACTCACATTGACTCCGTTGTCAAAAAAGCTCAACAGAGGATGTACTTTCTTTGTCAGCTGTTAAAACAGTTGTACACCTCCATTATTGAATCAGTCATCTGCACATCGATAACTGTCTGGTATAGCTCAGCTACCAAATCCGATTTCCAAAGACTATGTCGAATAGTTCGGACTGCTGAGCGAATCATTAGTACAACCCTCCTTACTATCCAAGAACTGCACTTATCCAGAGCAAGCAGAAGAGGTTGCCAAAATCACTCTGGACCTCTCACATCCAGCACACTGCCTCTTTGAACTGTTCCCTTCTGGTCAACGCTACTTAGCACTGCGCACCAGAACAGCCCGACACAGAAACAGTTTCTTCCCTCAGGCAATCCATCTTATGAACACTTGATAATAATAATTGTAGAACAAACTACTTGTCATACACTTCTATACACATATACACTTATTTAACAACACAGATTACATGCCATATTGCACATAACAGATATAACATCATACTGTATATAGTAATATAGCTCTACATGCAATTGTCTATTTGTATATTTCGGCATTCACTACTTACTGCTACATTCAATACTTATTGCTATATATATATATATATATATATATATATATATAAATATATATATATATATATATATATATATATATATATATATATATATATATATTATCTGTTTTTTGTCCTGTCTCTGTAATTCTGTTTCACTGTAGAAGCTCTGTCACGAAAACAAATTCCTCGTATGTGTGAAATTCTCATGGTCGGTGAATCCTATTAGGATTAATTATACTTACCTGTCTGTTTCCAATTTATCTCCAGTGGCTGGTTCTCTCCTTTCTGGTGTGATTTCCTCCTGGCTGTGGGTTTCCCGATATCCTTCGTGTTCAGTTTCTATCATCAGTCTCCGGTACCATTAAATTAACTGGTCCACTGCTCATCCTACCAAGATAAATACTACCTGTTCACATCATTCCTGTTAATATTTTTCAATAAACTGCTATTCATATTCACAGCTCTGGCCTTGTTCCTCTATAGAAAGCCGGACTCATTTCATTTTAGGACTCATTTCAGATGCTTGTGGACTCACTCAAACCCAGCACTTCTGCACTCCACATGACTTCATCTCCGCAGGTCAATGACAGTCCCATGGTTTGGCCAGCGCCATACTCATGCCTTACGGTGGAGTGCAGCAGGTTCAAGATCACTTTCATGATATATCTGCTTTTAGGAAAGGCGCTGTGCTGGGCTGAAACCGTGTAGATGCAAAAGGGAACAATAACACAATCCATAAAGCTGTTTACCGTTTCATTGTTAATTTGTCGACCGTTTGGCACTGCTCAACAAGTTTGGCACTTTCACTTTCATTCACAAACATTTTATGCACGCCTTCATACAGATTTATACCGCATGCTGAATGGAAGAAAAAAAAAACTAGATGCAGGTGTCTGTGGTCTGCACTGACTGGGTAGGTGCAAACAGTGTCAAACCACTGTCTGTGTGTGTATGTGTGTGTGGACTGTCCTGTTGCAAAACGTAACATGACGGTAATAGTTCAATTAAGGTGTTTACATGTCTGTACTACGCTTCAATAATGCAACCAAAATCGGTATACTCCACATGTCTTAATTCGATTTCTCTTTAGTTCGATTATGACCTTAATCTGATTAAATTAATCAAAAATCACTGTTTACATGGTCAGAGTATTGTCTTAATCACATAAAAATTGAATTGGTTTCCATGTAAACATAGTCACGGAAGCAGAGCGGCTTCGTTAGCTGAATTGGTGTATATAATGTGAAAGAGTGGGGGATTTCTGAGTATCATGCTCCATATGTCCACCACGCCCCACAATGGGTGCAATGCTATGCATGCTATGCAAGAAAACATTCTACCTCTCACCACTGTTGTGACACTTAATGCACCTAACATCTTTCTTCCAGTGGTCACACTCATTGACTCCGGTTCAGCTGGCAGTTTTATCTCCAGTACCCTGTGCCATCAGCTCTACTGTAAGACCCTATCCACAGAAAAAAGCTATAATTTACAGTCCATCATGAGAAAGCCCTTAAATTGTCATTACACCAACAAAATAGTGGATTCTGTTCATCTATGGGTTGGGCTATTGAAGAGGATAAAGAGGATATGGCTTGCCATGGTAACCATGAAGAGGATATCGACTTATTGTTTCTGGGTGAGTGTATTCCTGAATGCTTTGTTAAGAAAGCTAATAGATCCATGTCTGTTTTTACTACTTCTATAGAAAGTTTTGTTGATCAGTGCTCTGAGAAGATTCCTCATTGCTATCAAGAATTCAAAGACAATTTCTGCCCCAAAACAGTCACCCAGCTTTCCCCTCACAGGCCATGGGACTGTGCCATTGACCTGATTGAGGGTGTCCCCATGGAAATGTCTACCCCCTATCTATTCCCAAATGTAAGGCCATGGAGAAGTACATAGAAGAATGTGAAAAGGAGGTTGTCACTGGCCTGCACCAGACCTGCATGTAAACCTTTTTTTAGCACAAGCGTTCTCTGGGCATGTCTCTCATGCTATAAAAAGGGCAGAGAGCGCACAGTATAGTGTGGAGTGTAGGAGTAAGGTTGTGGAGTTTTGCGAAGCAGTAAATTGATTTATCGGATTTCTTTTCTTAGATCCAGTTCCTTGGCTGGGCTGAGTATGCGCAAATCTCCCCATACCATACTGCCATTGGACTCATGCCCTTCAAGTGCATACTCAGTTTCTAGCCTCCCTGTTTCCATGGTCAGGTGAACCATCTGACTTCCCGGCCATTGACTACTGGTTCGGAGAAAGCAAGGAAGTCTGGAGCCCAACACCTCTATCTCCAGAGGGCTGTGCGTAGACACAAGAACTACGCCTACCAATGCCGCGCTGATACTCTCAACTGAGGTCAGCCAGAGATACTGAGTTTCTACTTGTAATATGTGTTGGCCCACACGGAATCTGCAGATTTTTGCCCCTACATTGATTCTATTTCTTTACTTTTGTATATGTGTGTAAATTTATATTTATTCTGTTTTTAAATTAACTTCAGTATTAATACTGACTAATATGAAAATGGTAATTTGATTTATTTACAATGCAGTTTATAAAGTAATATTTTCTGTCTTTAAATTGATATATTACATGATAGACTTGCTTTGTTTGCCAATAAGTGGATCTAGATGGATTTGCATCGTAAAAATTAAAGTTTAAAAAGCTATTAATTTTGGTATCATATATTAAATTATTAGTTATGATAGTCCCAAAATAATTCCACATAAATCCGCATTTTTTTTTTTCTCAAAATTGTCCACAGAAGTAGCTAAAAATGTCTGCAGATCCTGTCTGGCCCTAGATATGCATCTCCGGCAGCCATGTAAAAAAGCTGAATTGCTGGTTCGATGGTCCCTTTCCAATAATTAAAATATCAACTTCTGCAACTTCCCCAAAAACAAGATTCACCCATCCTTTCATGTGTCCCCACTAAAACCCTTCTACCCTCCGCTCTTGACAAAAACTTGTCCTGCAGAATAACCTTCTCCTCCTCTTCTGGTTGAAGAAGGACAAAATCCTCATGATCAGTGAATCCTTATACGATTTGTTATACTTACTTGTCTGTTTCCAATTTATCTCTAGTGTCTGTCAGTCTATCAGATTGACAGTCTTCAGTTCCATTCCATCATCTTGTCCTCCACTGATCATTCTACCAAGACAAAGACTACCTGTTCCCATCATTCCTGTTCACATTCTTCAATAAACTGTTATTCATACACACAGCTCTAGTCTCATTGCCCTTCTGTGACAACTGCATCATTAAGAGTAACAGTAAATGCAAGGATGCAGAAGATGATCTTGATGACATGTAATCGCTATTGCTGCTCAAGTTGATAAACATACTAGCGGCAACACACTAATAAAGTAATCCAATCACATGCTAAACCAAGGAGTCCTTTATAAATACTGCAATGCTAATTTACATTATTTCAGTGTCCCATGAATATGAATGACTCATGAATTGTCATAACTTTTCTCCCTCCAAACACTTGATTCTCCTCTCTTTAGTGATTGATCATCAAGAAAGCTTACTGGGTGTAAATTCTTATTACTGCAACTCCAAAATATGCTGCGCATATTAGTCCATATGTTTACTACTCTGTTTATTGCGGTTGAGTCTTTGACCATTACATTGTTTTCTGAGGAGGACCTTCATTTCAAGTGAAGTGAAACTTGAATGAAGCTTGGCCAAAATTGATCCTCTACCTCTACAGGATCCATGCCATCATGAATAAGTCTGTATCAATTGAAGTGGCAAGATTGGCGTACACATACACACCTTGTACTATGGCATTGAAAGAGGATCCCCATGTCTTCTCAGTGTGTCTGCCTATTTAAATCTGTAATGGCCTAAAAAAGTCCTTGCAAGTACTGTAAAATAGTGATTAATGGAGTCTCAAGCAGGCACAAGGTGGATCTTCCATTTTAGCAATAGCTGGCGTATTGCAAGGAAGACTTCTGGATAGCTCCCTGTCCTCTGAATTTCCAGAAGTTCCTTCTTATCTCTGTAAAATCTCTCTCTAGTGCTGGGTGGCACAGCTTGTTATTGTAGTTCTCGATTTGTAATTTAGAGCTTAATTGATGAGGATGTAGTACTATGGCATGGTTTAATGATTTAGGCATTTTTTTTTTTTTTTTATAAAAAAGGGATCTCAACAAACTAACTATATCTAAACTGTATACAATTATATTTTAAGGTGAAGCAGGAAAATATCCCATGTTTCTACAAACTTTGAGCAGACATTGCATGAATTTGCACATACAAAGACTGTGACACAAACCTTTTTGTCCTCTTTCCCTGTTGCTCTGTATTCTATTATTGTATGTGACAATAATGAGTAACATAATTTTTGTCCATTATTGTGTCTGTTTGTTCACTTATGTTTTTACTGTTTTACATTTTTATTTTTAGCTTGTAGTGAGTCAAAACTAAAATTCTTTTTTTTTTTTGTAATTTATTTTCTTTTGCAGATAATATGTGTATACAACTTATTTTTAAAATAGTTTATATTTGACGTAAACAACTCCCACACAAATAAATATCTGATAAATACTGAAAATAGCATGAGTACAGAACAAACTTTGTACTGTTGGAGTGCTACAGTTCATCTTAGGGAAATATTTGTGTAAAATTTCACATTTATAAAATACATTGTTTTTAACTGTGCTACTATGTTATCATTGACTTCTTTCTGCACCAGAGTTTTACAACCTTCTGTCTAATCTCTTTGGTTTGCAAACCATATACTAAGGGATTCAATCCTGGTGGTACAATGTGAAACATTATACTAGCTAGTTTCCTGTTGTCAGAGTATTCAGGAAAGCGATGAAGGAAAATAAAAACGGCTCCAGTTACAAACATGATTAAGTAAACAGCTAAATGAGTGCTGCAGGTCTTTATGGCTTTGCTGTTGAGTGCTTTGTTCTTGCTGGTTACACATACAGTAGCAATTTTGACATACGTTACAAATATAGATAATGCTGACAGACTGAGTACAATCACAGTGTAAACAAGTCCAAACACATTATTAACAGACACATTTTCACAGGACAGTTTAAACAATGAAGCATTGTCACAGAAAGGATTTTCAATTTTATACCTACAACGAGACAGGCGCAAAGAGAGTCCTACCATAATTGTCACGAAAATAATGGCCAAGCCCCAAGCAAGTGCTGAGAGTCCAATAACCATTTTATTGGTCATTATTGCTGTATATCTCAAAGGATTACATATAGCAACATATCTGTCAAAGGCCATGATCATCAGCACATAGTGACATGCTGCTGTAAATACATGGACAAAATAAGCTTGAATAGCACATTCTGCATAAGATATGTAACGCTCTGAGGCTTCAGTTAAGATATCCTGAAGTAAACGTGGCATAATGACGGTGGTCCCCATTATATCATTCAGTGGCAAGTTACAGAACAAAAAATGCATAGGATCGTGCAGATTCTTTTCTGTTGAAATGAGAAATATGAGTCCTATGTTTGATACCATTGCAAAGATATAAGCCAAGAGAAACATGATGAAAACAGGCTGAGATGACTGAGGTGTGACTTTCAGCCCCTCCACGAGGAGAATGCTGTTTGTGAATGTCAGATTGTCCATGAGCACTGCACACAGGAGCTTGCTGTAAAAAGAATTGTATAGTTGTTATTTACATGTTATCATCAACACACCATCATACATTATCACTGATTCACTCATTATTACTGAACCTAGACCTGTACAGTAGAATGAAGTAAAAAGATAGAAAAGAAAAACAGTATATTGCTTAACACAAAAGTTTTATAAAATTGGTCTTTACAGATGAGGCGAATTAGCTCTCTAGTTACTCTATAACTATTCAAGTCCATATCATAAATGAAATAGGAGCCACTTGCCGAACACTACGTAAAGTCTTCCGTATAATGATCAGATGTTTTGATGTGTGGTTTATATAAAGAATTCTGTAACACAGTCATCATCTCACAAGGGAAAACACTGTATAGCGTTTGTTGCTATGAGCAGTAAGCCTACTCAATGTGTTTTTTTTTTTTTTTTTTTGGTTATTGTGGCAAAACCAGCAGTCCACTAATAATGAAATATATACATTTTTACAATTTTGCCAGATTCCTTTTCGTCAAAATATTACAGCAGCAAAAGCAGAACCCACAGCAGACAAATATAAGTCATATTAAAATGCACCAGCAGTCCACTAATAATGAAATATATACATTTTTACTGTTTTGCCAGCTTCCTTTCCTTCAAAATTTTACAGCAGCAAAAGCAGAACCCACAAAAACCAAATATAAGTCATATTAAAATGCTATGCAACTCTGCAAAACTAGCTTTTGATGATATGCGTATCAAGCTGCAAATAAATCAGAAAACCTTTAGGTTGGAGAGAAGATTGTGGATTGTATTTTTGATTTTTCTTCTAGTTGTTTATATTTCAAACAAGATGATGTCACTACACCAGCCAGTGTTGAGTAAGCTACTTGGAAACTGCAGTGGGCTAAGCTATTATTTACTCTACAGGGGTCACCAACATGTTGCCCGCGAGCACCAGGTTGTCTGCAAGGGTTACATGAGTTGCCCGCAGGCCTGTTCTAGAAATAGCTCACAATAGCACCACTTACAAGTAAAAGCTGCATCTAATATTTTTGTAAGTATTCTTTTTAAATCCCACTTGCATTTGTGTAAATTTGAAAATGACATTAAGTTAACGCATGCGATACTTAGAAATATTTTACGCGTAAAAAAATATTAACGCAATTACCTAGTTGCAGTTTTTTTTTCCTATTGTGGTCGACATGTGTTTAACATGTAAAGAAATATGGATAAGACCAGTGAAGGAATCTTCGAAGGAAAGTTTCAGTATAAAGTTTCAGTATAAAATATTCAATTTCAGAGATGTACATATATTCATATATTGTAAATCTCCGTTCATAGCTAATAAAACCTGTGTATAATGTTGATAGTACATCCATCTGTAAATATTACCATAGTTTTTCTATAACTGCACTTTATAACTTATATCTGTATCGTGCACTTGCTGCTATTGCACTGCTGGTTAGATCTAAACTGCATTTGGTTGCATTGTACTTGTACATGTGTGATGACAATAAAGTTGAATCTAGTCTAATCTAAAACAATTAATAATACCAAACTATCCAGCATTTCCTCCAAAGTTTCATGTCATTTCGGGTTTAACTGCAGTTTGGTATTTTCACTTTCATTCTGCAACATATTGTTCATGCCCCATGACAATTATTGGCTGAGAATATGAAGTAAGGACTGCTGAAAGAGTGTTGTTTTAATGGAATTTGATACCACACGCTGAATGGAAAGAAAAAACCTCTGCATTTCGTTGGGTGTCTGTGGTACTTTAAGGTAATTAAAAATGGCTGTTTACATGGTAGACTCTTAATCAGTATTGTCTTAATCATGATAAAATCGTTGTAATGGTGTCGATGCAAACGTATTCAGTGAAAGTGCCAGATGATGTCCTTTAAGGAGATTCCATGAGCCCTCAAATGTGTCATTAAGTTTAATGTGTTTCTCTCTTACACACAACTTTTGTAAAGCATCTGCTTCATGCTGCTGTGTCAGAATCCTTGCTTGTAAAATATAGCCATACTTTAGAACGCTTAGTTAAAGCAAATTTAATGAACGTGATTGTGCGTTTTGATGAATCTGCAGTGGTGTAAAGAGTACAAAAAAATCCTACTCAAGTAAAAATACCACTCCTTGCCTAAAAATGTAGTGCAAGAAGAGTAAAACTATCTGTTGTAAATATTACTCAGAGTATAAGTAAAAAGTAGACCTTACAAAAGTACTCAAGAGTAGTGATGCTGATGTGATTACATATAATTTGTGCATGTGTGTGTAAGCGTAACATTCTGTAGTGCATTTAGTTATTGCCCAGCAGGCACACAACGTCATAAGATGAAATATTAGGTTGGATTTAGGTTGTGATGTCAGGTGACCAAAATTCAATGGCTCTTGTTTCACTCTTGCTGATGCTTGTGCTCTCATGCATTGCTTGGTAAACTTTTCACCAATTGCACAATGGGCACAGCAGCTGTGGCGTTTTGCTTACACTCCCCCAACACCACGTTGGAGGGAAACTTCCTGGTTTTGTCCGAAACCCACATCCTCTGAAGAAGGAAAAATAGACACTGTGTTTTTGTTGCCACAGCAGCTGGGTATCCATTTGTAGAGCTAAATGTTCAGCGATTCTTCTGAGAAGTCTGGCTTGCTCTCTTGCGCATGCTGGCTGTATACTCACTATGATACAATAACAGCACGTGTGGGAGCTGCGCTATGCCAACTCTTAGGCATTCATTGGCCCATTATCTTACTCTACAAAGTGATTGGTCAGCTAGCAATCTCCCAAAGTGTGTAGACACCAAGTCCATTACACTATAACAGACGTAACCATGATGTTTTGCAAACACTTTAAACAACTTGCATGTAGAGGTTTTTAATATAAGCATACCATGTATTTATTAACCTAAATATATCTTGCAAATCAGTACATGAATGATTCTCAGTTACTAATGTTGCAACCGACCAGCAATAAAATAAATGTTTAAAGTTTATTTTAACAAGAATACTAAATCCCAACCTTGTGCAGTGTTCCTGTTCCTGTTATTTTACAAAATATTTCTACACTACCCTACCCTACCACATAGACAGACTTCCGCTGAATCATAACCTGTAAGTGTGATTAAAATAGTTGCCTCCTTGTTCATTGTAAAATACAAAATATGTATTTAGTTGTACATCGTATTCAAATGGCATCTAAAAATTGATGAAGGGAGCTTTCTCCGTTTTTGAGCTCGTGATCCTGTGATGTCTGTCATTGCTAGACTAACATCAGCTGTTTTTCATACTAGATGTGGAAAGCAATGCATTAGGAAGCCATTCACCTTTGCTTTTATTTTAATAGCTTAATAAAACACACCTCCAACAAGATCCCACACTCCACAGTTGGAATTCAAATTAGTTTGCAAATGTTTATTAATTATTACTAAATCTATATTGTTGGTATTACTAGCAGTTGTGGTTAGGAATAGAGCGATATGCTAGTGTAACTGCATTGTTTTAATAAAGCATTCATGGATTGACCTTACAATGCATGTACTCTGTAATATGGCTTCAACTGCCAGGACTAGTAAGCTTTGTTAGCTTGCCCAGGTTTGTCTGATTGTGGTTGGAGCTAAACTATGCAGGACATGTCCTTCAGGATTGTGTTCGAGCACCCCTGGCATACTGTAGTGTGTTCATGATTTTGAAGGTCTTTTTTAGCAAAAAGAACACAGAACAATGGGAGTTTTAACAACAGGCGAAGAGACCATGGATAAATCATGGCACAACACTGCTGTCCATAAATTTATGTAGTCCCACTTTATGAATGCCTTCATACTCAAAAGGTCAAAAGGTGGGATATGTAGGTCCAATCCCAATTCTTTTTTGTACCCCTACCCCTTCCCCTTCCCCTTGGCCCTTACAACCGAGGGTGAAGGGGAAGGGCTTCAAAATTTACCCCTAAGCATTGGGACAGCACTTGCGATTTCTTGCTTCATATGAGATCAGAAGATCGCGACTGCTGTAGTTATTCCAGTTGTGTTATTTTTTGGTATTTATCTTCAGGAAATCACTGAAGGCATATATCATGTTATCATAATGTGGCAATAAGATCGTAATACTGTGCATTTAACACAGTGGCCATACTCATCAATTCAAAAATACAAAAACAGCATTAACATTATAGCAGACACTGTAAAAAGCTCATTGACAGCCACACACTTTTCTGACAGGGTATTCCAGTGTCATCGAGTGCCAGAAAGTTGTGGGACTGCTGTACAGGAGTTATGATTAGGATTATAGATCAGGAATAGATTGCGAAATTTAGCAGTTTTTATTTTAACATTTTTTTTTTAAAGCTTGACGGTAAAACATAAACGCGGTTATGAATATATTAAAACGTGTTTGTTTGTTGTCAAATTCATAATAATGACATAAAATACTAATTTGTGGATCCCCTTACTTCCGGGTGCTGCTGTTAATGGGGTCTTCTGGGAATTTTGTCTTACCCCTTGGTTTCAAGTGTGGTCCTGAAAAGTCTTCGTTTGAAGGGGTGTATACCCCCTGCCCTTACCCCTACACCTTCAAGCTAAAGAGAATTGGGACACCCCTACCCCTTCACGGGCACGCACAAAACGAGGGGTAGGGGTTAGGGGAAAGGCTAAGGGGTAGAATTGGGATTGGGCCATAGAATCAATGACCTAAGACCCTGTAGTCTGGGACATGTGTGATACTGTACTCTCACCTCACTTCATTTTAGGGTTAATGTAAATTGTTAAATACATCTAGTAATTGTTGGAGGTGCTGCAGGTCATGGCATTGGCAAATTCATGACTTTCAGTGTTCAGTTAGAAAGCATTAAAGGAGGAGGAAGAATTGGATTTGGGAACAACTGAATATATTTTGATGCACCCTATTCATATAAGCAGGGCTTGACATTAACTTTTTTGATTACCAGCCACTGTGGCTAGCAGATTTCCAACATTACTAGCAACTCGCCATTTTCACAAGCCACACTTTTCCTGTTGCGAAAATATGTTTTATATGCATAAATTTGACTTTGACATGCTAAAATTACTTGATTTAGATTTTGTGTTATGTCCACATGCCCTCTAATTCATTTAACTTCTTGTGTGTGTTGTGTATGAGCTTGCTCAGTGTGCATGAGCAAATGGGTTGTGTCACAATGCAATCAGTTTTTATTTCACAGGACTTTTCAGGGCTCAAAATTAATTATTTACCACACCAAATAAGTATTTCTTAGCCACAATTTTTTAATGTGTAAAAACAAGGGAAATATAGCTTTATAGGTTCACTTTTTAATTCAACAAAACTTTTCTTCAAAAAACATTACATTTAAAAATTAAGTATTGTCATAAATCTAAAATATGCACAGTAGTCTGTCCTGGCCAAAAATCCCAGACCACCAGTTAACTACACATACACGGGGAGGAATCTTCCATTAAAGCAATGTTTATGTAAAATATATATATAATTGAACCATATTAACAAAAATAACTGTAAGTGAAAGAAAGCAGGTGAAACATACCGCTTTTGATAATGAAAGGATGATCTCATGCACATGGTTAATTTAGGCCTGTTAATAATCTGTTCAAAGAATAATTCAAATGAATGCAGTGACTGCTGCTGCTTACAAAAGAATGTGTATTTTTTATTTTGAGCTCTTGAAAGCAGCAGGACTATCATCGCTCTTTGTCCAGTCTATTTCAAAGGGAACAAATCACACCAGTTGTGCTTCTTCTAGGCATGGTTGCTTTGCGTAAGTAAATGGAAGCGTGCGCGCTTTTTAACAGTCGCGTGCATCACATCACATCACCTATGCGCGTGAGTGATCATCCTCTCGTTCGGTATTTACTTTCTTTTTTTGCTGTTTTGCTTGCGCGAACATAGTTATTTTTGTCAGTCGTGCTGCTTCTCGATTCTAAGATTACATTTGCACGAATATTGGGCCATGCTTATTGTCGAACCCTGCTTTTAAGAAAACTACACTTTGTAGCAGATTTCCAACCAGCCAAAGTGGCTAGTGGAGGTGTCTGTCCAACCCGCCAGAGCTGAAATCTACCCGCATATGGCGGGTTGGCGAGTGATAATGTAAAGCCCTGCGTATAAGTAACGAAGATAGCACTGTCTGTTTAACCTTTTACTTAAATGTTCAAATTTTTATTGTAAGTAGATTGTTTTGCTTATAGTAAGCCAAAATCAACATGTGTTTTTTGGCATTTATTTTCCACCATGTATCATATGTATACAACTTATTTTAAATTAATTTTAGTTTCATGTAAATTATTATACAAATACTGAAACAACAAGAGTACAGAAAAAAGGTGCAAAATGCAGTCACATTACTACAGTTTTCTCAGCCATACATGTTTAATTTTTCACATTCATTAAAATCTTTTATCTGTAATAAAAGTATATAATCAGCTAAAGGACTCACTTCTTTCTACTCCAGAGTTTCACAAACTTTTGTCTAATCTCTTTGTTTTGTAAACCATACACTAAAGGATTTAAACCTGGTGGTACAACATGGAACATTATACTAGCTAGTTTCCTGTTGTCAGAGTATTCAGGAAAACGGTGAAGGAAAATAAAAGTGGCTCCAGAAATGAACATGATTAAGTAAACAGCTAAATGAGTGCTGCAGGTCTTTATGGCTTTGCTGTTGAGTGCTTTGTTCTTGCTGGTTACACATACAGTAGCAATTTTGACATATGTTACAACTATAGATAATGCAGACAGACTGAATACAACTACAGTATAAACAAGTCCGAACACATTATTAACAGACACATTTTCACAGGACAGTTTAAACAATGAAGCATTGTCACAGAAAGGATTTTCAATTTTATACCTACAATGTGAAAGACGTATTGTAAGGCCTAACATAATTGTCACCAAAAGAACGGCCAAGCTCCAAACAATTGCTGAGAGTACAATAACCATTTTATTGGTCATGATAGCTGTATATCTCAGAGGATTACATATAGCCACATATCTGTCAAAGGCCATGATCATCAGCACATAGTGACATGCTGCTGTAAATATATGCACAAAATAAGCTTGAACAACACATTCCGCATAAGATATAAAACGTTCAGAGGTTTCCCTTAAAATATCCAGAAGTAAACGTGGCATGACAACTGTGGTCCCAATAATATCATTCAGTGGTAAGTTACAGAACAGAAAATGCATAGGTTCATGCAGATTCTTGTCTGTTGATATCAGAAATATAAGTCCAGCATTTGATATCATTGCAAAGACATAAGCCAAGAGAAACATGATAAAAACAGGCTGAGATGACTGAGGTGTGACTTTCAGTCCCTCGACGAGGAGAAGGCTATTTGTGAATGTCAGGTTGTCCATGAGCACTGTACACAAACTCTTTCAACAGAAAAACAAACAGATATTAATTACATATAATCATATACATATCCTACATTATAATTTCTTAAACTGCATATAAGCCTTACTACTAATGCTAACTAGAATCCAGCTCTACCAATATTGAATTTTACTTTAGAAATATAACTACAGCATCTTGCCTCTGTGGAATGTTCCCCCTGAAATGATTAGGATAAAAAAATAATGGTCCTTGCCTTTTAATATGTGGTTTATATAGAATCTTTGACATTGTCATAACCCAACTGGGGAAAGCCAAATTTTGCATTTGTTGTCAGGAGCAGCAAGGCTGTGTGTTTCCAGCAACACATAAGGTTGTTGAATAATAAGTCTGAAATGTGATTTATAGAATTTTTAAAGAAGCAAAGTAATAAAAAAAAATATAAAGAGAGATATAATGCCTATTAAAATGATTAGAAACCATTGCCAGAAACACCCTGGAGTTTTGACAGTAGGCTATGCTTAACAGTCTAGGTCAGGCATGTCCAAACTCAGTCCTGTAGGGCCGATGTCCAGCAAAGTTTAGTTCCAACCCCAATCAGACACACCTAGGCTAGCTTATTTAGCTCTTACTAGGTTTTCTAGAAACATCCTTGCAGGTGTGTTGAGGCAAGTTGGAGCTAAAATCTGCAGGACATCTGGTCTAGGTTATTGAAAAATGGTACTGAATATGATGCAAACATTAAAGAAAGATGTGTTTTAGATTATATGGATTATGCTTCTATGTAAATTGCGTTGAGTTGTTTCTGTTTGAATCATACTACTGTTAGTCTGTAATGTGTCCACTGATGTACATTCACCAGCAACAACATCCACATTCAAACTTCTTAAGGCTTTTTTTGCACAAAATATACACTCCTGAATAAAATCTTTATACTGGGGGAAACATATAAAGTATTCAAAATTTGCACTGGTAGATCGTAATCAGGTTGTGATTCTGCTTTGAAATGCCAAACAAAGATACAGGTGCAACACATAAAAAACAGAGAGTAGACAATGAAACATTGAAATTACATGAAAATTGCACACAAACTCAAACAGGCTGTTCATCAGCTGATCAAAAGTTTAGGACCATAGACTAACTTCATGCGGCCGCCATTAAAAAAAGCAAAATCGAGGCTGCGGTGGGAACGTTGGAATGTTGCCTACCTGGCTGTATATCTTATCAGTGAAGAGAAATCGACACAAATTTATCATTTCACCAACTTCCGAGTGACCCGAAGGTCCGTTCTGAATGGAAAGTGAAAATAAAAAGGCATATCAGACCTCGGGGTGGCGCAGTAGGAACAGGAACAGTAAGAAAGTCGCTGGTTCGAGCCTCGGCTGGGTCAGTTGACGTTTCTGTGTGGAGTTCTCCCTGCATTCGTGTGGGTTTGCTCCGGTTTCCCCCACAGTCCAAAGACATGAACAGGTGAAATGACTTCCCACACCACAAAATTGCCATTTTGGAATTTGCAAGGGAGCCCTAAAGATGGGACATTGAAAAGTGGAATAAAGTTTTGTTCTCTGACAAAAAAACTTCCAACATTACTGGCATGACAAGGAGATTCCACAGGAGATGTTTTCTTCACAGCACAGTGGTGGAGGTTTCATTATTATATTCTGGTTTGTTTTTTTCTTCAATGGTAAAATTAAACTTCAGGTTATGCAGGGGCATCAAACAGCTGCTGGTTATGTGAATATGTTGCAGCGGGCATTCCTCTGTACTGAGGGCCCTCATTTGTGCAGTAATGACTGGATCTTTCAACAGGACAACACTACAATTCACCATGCCCGTCTGACAAAACGGTTCTTCCAGGAGAACAAGAAGTTGTTCTTTTGGACAATCCTGCATACTCCCCTGTTGTAAATCCTATTAAGAACATTTGGGGATGGATGGCAAGGGAAGTTTCTCCATCTTAAAGCCATCTTAAACACATGGAGCAGCGTTACCATTAGCGTCCTGGAAACACTTGCAAGGCAAGGCAAGGTATGTTTATTTATATAGCACATTTCATACACAGTGGCAATTCAAAGTGCTTTACACAAACAGGAATAAAAGACAAAAGTATTTGAAAAATAAAAACTAATAATAAAAAATATTAAAAGCAGATTAAAACAAATTAAATGTGTTAAAACAGATTATAAAACAATGAAAAAGAAGAGAAAAACATAATAGTGCGATCTGTCAGATGCAGCACAGTGCTTATTCAGTAAAGCCACAGCTAAACAGATGTGTTTTCAGTCTTGATTTGAATGTGCCTAACGTTGGAGCACATCTGATCATTTCTGGAAGCTGATTCCAGCAGCGAGGGGCACGGTTTTTCAGCACGGTTTTTGAGATGATAGTATGCTGATTTACTAACTGCTTTGACATGACTGTTGAAACTCAAATCTGACTCCAAAGACACACCAAGATTCTTGACCTTATCTTTTGTTTTTTTACCCTTAGTACCAAGGTACGCATTCACCTTGAAAACCTCATCTGAGTTCCCAAATGCAACAACTTCAGTTTTCTCTTTGTTTAACTGAAGAAAGTTTTGGCACATAGAAATGTTAATTTTGTCAATGTATTGGTAGAGGATGTCAATGGGGCTGTAGTCATAAGGCAGCAAGTAGATCTGAGTGACATAGCAGGGGTAGGAAATTTGGTTCTTCTCATTATTTGGATCAGAGGAAGCATATAAAGGTTGAACAGGAGAGGTGACAAAATCGAGCCTTGTGGGACTCCACATGTCATAGGTGTCCCTTCAAGGTAAGATGTGAACCATTTGAGGACCATCCCAGACAGCCCAACCCAGTTTTCCAGCCTATCCAGAAGTGTGCTGTGATCAACAGTGTCAAATGCAGCACTGAGATTGAGCAATGCCAGCACTGTTAGTTAATTTTGCCAATGAAAAGGAGATTTGAGATTGGCCTGTAATTGCTCAATAGTGGTTATCCAGGTTGCTCTTCATCAAAAGGGGTTTAACAACTGCAGTTTTAAGTGATTTTGGAAAAATCCCTGATTGAAGTGAACCATTTACCTCTTCCATTTCTAAACAGTTAAACACTGTTTTGAAGAATGATGTGGGGAGCGTGTCAAGACTGCAGGTTGATGTTTTCATAATTTGCTTGACCTCTTCTAAGATTTTACTATTAATTGCCAAAATAGAATCTATTTTATCTAAATATCTGTTCATTGCAGCGGTACATTGGGACTTAATGACTGAGATTTCTCACATGACAGCCCCCCCCCCCCCCAACTACCCATCTGAACATCCTCCTATAAGTTCGGGTCATTCTAGTATTAACTGCACCAAACATACAAAACCGCTTCGACCCTACTATGCAGAAGGATACCACTGAATTCATCCATAAATGTGCTCCATGCATTATGCACAAACATTCCCACCTTCAACCAGCAGGTCTCACGACACATCGATGTCCATCGACTTTGTTACTGACTTACTGTACCTCCCTCTCAGGGCAACACAACCATTCTCACTGTTATCAATAGAATCTCCAAGGCCTGTCATTTGATGCTATTTCTTAAGCTCCATTCTGCACTTGAGATAGCAGAGCATCTGTGTAACATTGTATTTTGTTTCTAAGGACTCCCAGATGACATTGTGTCAGATCGCGGGTGACAATTCACAACTAGAGTATGGAAGGCAGTCTGCCAAAAACTCACTATTAACATTAGCCTTACATCCAGATATCACCTCAAATCTAATGGTCAGGCGGAGAGACTGAATCAAGAATTAACCAGATTCCTCAGAACACACCACAGCAACAACCAGACCGACTGGAATCAATACTTAATGTGGGCAGGATATGCATAGAATTCTATCCTTAAGCATATCACTGGTGTGTCCCCATTCAAAAGTATTTTAGGATATCAACTTCCATTATTCCCTTGGTCAGGCAAACCACAGATGTTCCAGAGTTGGTAGATGGTGCACAGATATAATTATTGGCTAAACTGGCATTGGATGGGTTAAAAGAACCAAAACAAAGACAGACATTTAAGCACGAAATGCAGAATTTCAATGCAGAATGTTTTTCAGATAAACAAGTATGTTCACTTCATATTTCTTAAATATCTGCAAACATATTATAATATTTTTATGCTTTAGAAGAGTCAAAAACCTACATACAGCACCTTTAAAGAACAACAAACAAAAGCACCAGGTTTTTATGTTGTCTGTGATGTTGGCTAATGTTGATGTTCGCTCCGATGTTGATGCTGTTCAACAGCATTTCTTTACTTCATTTTGATGGGTCTAATGTGACAACAGATGAGCAGACGACTATACCTTAAAATAAATAACTGTTTTAATTAACCTAAATGCATAACAGTTAACATTCTTGAAAATACATGTTTGGAAATAGTTTGGCATTTGTCATTTTTTATACGGTTAAAGTTTGTTTAAAATAATGTGTGTTTCTACTTATAGACACCTGAATGTGCATAACAGACTATTAATAATGCTCTTAGTTGTATAAAGATACAAAAAATTTGTTGAGGATTTGTTGCATGTCTACTAATACACCACCAAAAATCACCCAAACTGGTAAAGATTTACTGGCTAATATATTGTAATGATTGCATAAGAACAATTTAAAGATAAACTCAACCTAGATGAAAGTAAACAGAAATTAATTTGTAAATGAACTTATGGTAAGCAGACTATTTCAATGAGGACCATCAAAATAAAGTGTTACTATATTTTAAAGAAAGCTGAAAATCCGTAACCACTAACTTTCATAATAGGAAAATAAAATACTATGGAAGTTAATGATTGCAAGTTTGTAACACTTTTTGAATAATTTTTGAATTACTCAAAATATCTTGTTTTGTGTTTAATAGAAGAAACTCAAAGAGGGTTAAAACATGTAATAGGTGAATAAATGATTTGAGAATATTTTTCATTTTCTGTGTAACTACACCTTTATCTGTATTTGGTTATGGGAATAGTTAAATTGGTTATAAAAAAGATGTATAAAATGCTTAAAAATAATAGCCTTCAATGGATAAATATGTTAAAAAATATTTATTGATCCTGTTAATAATTTCAACAAAAATTAGCTTACACCTTGGTAAATTATAAAGGCTGTTAAGCCTGTTTTTTTGCATGGAAAAAAAAATGATATAGGAACAATCATATTGCAATTTTGATTAATTAACAACCAAAAAGTAGCAAGTAGCACAGTAGCGAGCACAGAGATTGGATGTAAAAAGACACCCATTTTTTAATTTATTTTTTGTCAAATGTAGTGCAGTACATTTATTAGAATACAATTCATTTAAATACATTTAACAGAAAAAGAAACTTATGGCATGCATAATATGAGAATAGTGTTTTAACAAAACCAATGTTTGGATAATATTTTAAACAGTTTCATAAATGCATTTCACAAGTACAGATTGATAAATTCTGTCTTTTATTAGTTATAGCAGAATGAGAAAGAAAAGAATTGAGAACTGTACTAAATTACTATGTATTTTCAAGATTTAGTAGCATGTTTACAGAAGTAGAAGGGATACAAATTTACTTTACATTAACCTTGTTTCTAGAGCAAAGTTTGCTAGTGTTTTGTCTTATCTCTTTGGTCTGTAAACCATATACTAAAGGATTTAGTCCTGGTGGAGCAATATGAAACATTATACTAGCTAGTTTTCTGTTTTCAGAGTGTTGAGGGGAACGATGTAAAAAAATCATAATGGCACAAGAAACAAACATGATTAAATAAAGAGCTATGTGTGTGCCACATGTTTTCATGGCTTTACTGTTGAACGAGTTGTGTTTTCTGTTTCTAAAGGATGCAGCAATCTTTCCATATGTTACAAATACAGACCCAAGAGAGAAGGTAAACATAACGACAGTAGAAAATATTCCAAACAAATTATTAATAACAACACCCTCTTCACAGGACAGTTTAAACAGAGAAGCATTGTCACAGAAAGGGTTTTCAATGTAAGACCTGCAACGAGACAGGCGTAAACTAAGTGCTATCATAACGGTCACGGCAATTACTGACACCCCCCAAGCCAATGCTGAGAGTCTAACCACCATTTTATTGCTCATTATAGCTGCGTATCGCAGTGGTTTACATATAGCCACATATCTGTCAAAGGCCATAATTATCAGTACAGAATGGCTTACACTCGCAAAAACATGAACAAAAAAAGCTTGAACCACACACTCCGTGTATGTCATATATCGCTGTGAGGCTTCCCTTAAAATGCCTTGCAGTAAGCGTGGCATAATGACAGTGCTCCCTATTATATCATTTACTGGCATGTTACAAAACAAAAAATGCATAGGATTATGCAGATTCTTTTGAGTTAAGATCAGGATTGTAAGTCCAATGTTACATCCCATTGTAAAGACGTAAATCAAAAGAAGCAGGATGAAGGCAGGATAGGAAGACTGAAGTGTAACTTTCAGTCCCTCCACGAGGACAACGTTGTTTGTCAATGTCAGGTTGTCCATTCGTTGGTCTACACAAAAACTGCAAAAAGACAACCAAACCTGTCTCTATTTGTTTACATATACAAAAGAGCCTTATGCATACATTTTATATAACAGTATCTAATAATTGTCTGATCAATTTTTACTCACTGCAGTAAAACTTAAATATGTAATGCAAATTATTTGTAGATCAAAAAAATATTTTAAACTTTCACTAAAAGTTGTCTGTAATTACCAAAAGTAAGTTCTTGCTTCACATATGTTTAGTTGCTTAATATTAAGTAGCTAGTAGTGTTCTATTTGTACATCAACAGTTCTCTTAAGACCTTTACCTGTTTTCTGCCTTTTTATAGAGCATGTAGCTTGAATATGTCTTGCTTTGATGCTGTCATCACCCAAGAGGTGGAAATAAATAGTTCTTCGTTGTACAGTATGTGTATAGCCTCACTCTGCAGCAAACTATATATATAAATATAGCCACATTATTAACCACATTTTTTGACACTGAACAAGTTGAAAGGTGTCATTTTATCGTCTTTGCTATGACAGCCCATATACATAGAAATGTCCTGTTAGGTCATTATTTTAGTGGGCTTTGCTTTTCTGGTGAGCATAAGTGGGTCATCCATAGATACAGGTACATTAACAGTATATCAACAGAGTGGACTAGAATATTGAGCTACTTTGAACATTGACTGTGGTGCACACTCCAATATGGTCGGCATAGCAACAAACTGCCCTTGCATGCCACATTGAAATGAATTGGTTTCATAGCACAGTGCTTTCCACATCCAGCGTGAAAGCCACTTCAGCCCATACAATCAATACGCCTTGAGTGTGAAAGTGAAACCAGCGAACTGAACACTGGGTGGCAGTACAGTGCAGCATAACCATTTTTCTCCTTCAACCAAAAAGCTAAATATGCCAATTTCAGTTCATTATTTTCATTATGTGATGTACAGTGCATTCATAGCGTTTCACTTTTTCCACAATTTTGTTACAGCTTTATAAATTCAATTTAAATTAATTTGTTTTTTCAAAATTCTACACACAATACCCCATATTGACAATGTGAAAAAAAAATTAAAGTTGCAAATTTCAAGTTTATTAATAATAAAAACCTGAAAAGTCACATGTACATAAGTATTCACAGCCTTTGCTCAATACTTTCTTGATGCACCTTTGGCAGCAATTACAGCGTCAAGTCTTTTTGAATATGATGCTACAAGCTTGGCACATCTGTCTTTGGGTCTTTTTGCCCATTCCTCTTTTCAGTTCCTCTCAAGCTCTATCAGGTTGGATGAAAAGCATTGGTGTACAGCCATTTTCAGTTCTCTCCAAAGATTTTCAATAGGATTTAGGTCTGGGCTTTGGCTGGGCCACTCAAGGACATTAATCGAGTTGTTGTGAACCGTCGCCCCAGTCTGAGGTCAAGAGCACTCTGAAGCAGGTTTTCATTCAGGATGTTTCTGTACATTGCTGCATTCATCTTTCCCTCTATCTTGACTAGTCTTCCAGTTCCTGCTGCTAAAAAAAATTCCCACAGCATGATGCTGCCACCACCATGCTTCACTGCAGGGATGGTATTAGCCTGGGGATAAGCAGTGCTTGTTTTTTTCCAAAGATAACGCCTGGTATTTACTTTAAAAAAAGTTACATTTTAGTCTCATCAGACCAGAGAATTTTGTTTTATATGGTCTGAGAGTCCTTCAGATGCCTTTTGGCAAATTCCAGGTGGGGAGTGGTTTCCATCTGGCCACTCTACCATACAGGCCTGATTTGGGGATAGCTGCACAGATGGTTGTTCTTCTGTAAGGTTCTTCTCTCTTCACAGAAGAACGTTGGAGCTCAAATAGGGTGACCATCGGGTTATTGATCACCTCCCTGACTAAGGCCCTATTTACACTAATGCTTTTTCATTAAAAACACATAACTTTTGCTTTAGTTACACCATCTGTCCACATTACGCCAGAGTTTCGAGCACCGAAAACGGAGCGTTTTTGGAAACGCTGAAGAGGCTGTTTTCATTCTAAAACGCTGCTGCTCTGTCTCACTGTGGATGGGGGAAAATGGAGACATTTGAAAATAGAGGGGGGGATGCAGACATTTGCCTCTCTGATTGGGGCTTTTCCTCAATATTAAGTAGCCTACACACAGTTTAGTCCTGCATCCTCTCCTTGTAAGTTCAGACTTTGCAAGTTTTATATGGAAAAGACTCCCGAAGACATGTCGGGTAAATCTTCAAAGGAAACAGTGTACTTTATAACCTCAATCATCATCCTGAATACATACTTATATCTTAACAATAAACTGAAAACATGATATAAGGAACTGCTATTTTCATTTTGATATTAACAACTTAACAGACAGCAGAAATGTTGAGGTCCTTTAGCTTTACCTTCAGTGTATGCATATTTATAACAAAATGGAGCCTATAACATCTCTGCCTCCTTTCATTTTTATTAAAAATGCGAAACACACCCTCTCTTTTGCTGAATATCAGTTTAAATAATCAATAATGGCCATTAAAACAGTATAACGTACAATAAGTTTACACATTATAGGAAATAAAGGCAGACAATTAGTCAATATACAGAATGGACGTAGTTGCATTAATTATTAACTTATCATTGCACTCAGCCAAAACACGTCACCTGAGAACAAGTATAGATTCAAAAGACAACAAGATGAATTAAATATCACGTTTAACAAATATAGATAGATTAGATCCAGTGGTTGATCCTTGATGAACAGTCCGGCAAACACAGCCCTCATCTGGCTAGATATGCTGCAGCGCATTTCAGAGTGTGTGTGGTCATGTGATGTGGGTTTTCAGTGGTGTGGTGTAGACGGAGAGTTGTTCAGAAACGCTGTGTGAAACGCTAGTGTGGAGGCGGATCGTTTCCTTCTAAAACGCCGTTTTAAAACTAAAACGTACTAGTGTAAACGGGGCCTAAGGCCCTTCTCTCCGATCACTCAGCTTAGATGGCCGGCCAGCTCTAGGAAGATTCCTATTGGTTCCAAACATCCTCCACTTACGGATGATGGAGGCCACTGTGATCATTGGAACTTTCAGATGAGCAGAAACACAGCCTTGTGCTTGTTTCTGTTTGTCTACAGACAATTCCTTTGTCCTCATGCTTCGTTTGTGCTTTGACATGCACTATCAACCCTGGGACCTTATGTGTATGCCTCTCAAATCATGACCAATTAACTGAATTTACCACAGGTGAACTCCAATTAAGCTGCTGAAACATCTCATCCATTTTGGAATAAGGCTGTAACATAAATAAATGTGTAAAAAGTAAAACTTTATAAATACTTTTCAGATGCACTGTACTATCGGCAGTGAAGAAGGATAAACTGGTCAGAACAAGGATGGATAAAAGACTGGGATATCAAGTGGCGATGAAGGAGAGTTGGGCTGTTATATGTTGAGGAAATTGAAACCTCAGACCTGTACTCCGTATTTCACTTTCAAATTAAATTCTTTGGCTGACCCCATTACCTTTTTTAACCCCATTTTACCTAATGTATTTGTTATTTTGTGCAAGGGATTAGTCACTTGCATGATAAAAATATTTAACACTCGTTTAAAACGTATAAAATATCATACATGACCTTAAACAAGGCTCAATACAATATTTATTTAAAAAAAAAAAAAAAAAAAAAAAAAAAAAAAAAATATATATATATATATATATATATATATATATATATATATATATATATATATATATATATATATATATATATATATGACGTTTTAGTGTATCAATTACAAAATAATTAATTTTAATTTACTTAATATTTCTTTTAAATTCTTACATTTATTTAATTATAACTTTGTTGTTGTATATTTATATTTATAAAGTACACACCCAACACATTTTAACACCCCTCCATCATATCTCCGTACATAAACAAGTTAAAGAGTTTTTGATGCAAAAGCAATAGTAAATATGGAATAAGTATTCCCCTTATTGGTGTTGTTAATTTTAAAGTACATACTTATTATTACTGTCAGCTACTAATATATTAATTTTGAGGACCAAAAATGTAATAAATGCACGATTATTAAATAAAAAAAATATTTAAGATTAATCTATACACAATTTCATAACTTGATTATTGCAACATGTGATATGAATCAGTTTTCCCTCTGGGATGATAGTATCATGGCAACATCATTGAACCGCATATTAAAAGGAGAAGACTGGTAAACATTTCTTGAGTGAAGTACAAGTTTGTATACAAGTAACTCTTCACACTAAGGCAACTGTGACTTTATTAGGCAACATATGAGTCAAAATTTGAAAGCAGTTAATCAACTACGTTTGCAATAAAATCGACAGTAAGTATGTGTTGCTTTATTAAACATTCATTTAACACTAGGTAATTAGAAAGTATTTCAGAAACTTTATTAATTGATATTTCTTTTACTTACTCAATGCATGGTTTCCATCTTTTTCTAAAATTCTTATTTTCAAACAGTGGGGACTGTTTAGTTAGAAAGTGAAGTATTTTTTTATGTGGACATAACCTGTATATGAGTATTGTCACAGAAAGTATATATCTTGTTGATATGCATTTTAACTCATGAATTATGTACGTATAAATCTCAAATTATGACAGCAGCAGTTTTGAGCTTACATGTTAAGAATGTAAACGGCATGTTCAGATGTTACTCAGTTTGCTAGTTTTGTGTTGTACAGGCAATGGATAACCTGACATTCAGACACAGCGTTCTTCTAGTGGAGGGACTTCAAGTTACGCCTCAGTCTACCTATGTGGTTTTTGTTCTGCTACTTATTGTGTACATCTTTATTATGGTTGCCAACATTACACTTGTAATTCTAATCTCAACTGAGAAGAATCTACATCATCCTATGCATTTTCTGTTTTGTAACTTGCCGCTGAATGACATTTTAGGGACCACCGTCATTTTGCCACGCTTACTTCGGGATGTTTTAATAGAAACTTCAGATCGCTATATCACATTTAATGAATGTGTTACTCAAGCATATTTTGTGCACATTTTTGTAGCAGCATGTCATTATGTTCTTATTATAATGGCCTTCGACAGATATGTGGCCATTTGTAATCCACTGAGATACACAGCGATAATGACCAATAAGATGGTTATGAAACTATCAGCAATAGCATGGGGATTGTCAGTTCTTATGGTGTCTATTCTGTTAGGCCTCACAGTGCGACTGTCTCACTGCAGATCGAAAATTGAAAACCCTTTCTGTGATAATGCCTCACTGTTTAAGCTGTCCTGTGATGAAGGTGTCGCTGTGAATAATATCTATGGGATCATTTATACTGTGGTTTTGTTTACCTTCTCAATTTTGTCTATATTTATAACATATGGCAAGATTGCCGCTGTATGCATAACCAGCAAAAACAAAGCACTCAACAGCAAAGCCATAAAGACCTGCAGCACTCATTTAGCTGTTTATTTAATCATGTTTGTTTCTGGTTCCACTTTCATTTTTCTCCATCGTTTCCCTCTCTACTCAGAAAGCAGGAAACTAGCTAGTATAATGTTTCATATTGTACCCCCAGGATTAAATCCATTAGTTTATGGTTTACAAACCAAAGAGATTAGACAAAAGTTTGTGAAAATCTGGCGCAGAGAAAAAGAATCATCTTAATTCATTACACCATTAAACAACATTATACACTGGTTTCAGCACTCAAAATGTTGAATCAGTGCTGTTTACAGACTATTTTTTTTTGGATCAATAAATATCAGTCATGTGTTAAAAATGCTAATATGATAATAAAGTCTTTAGTAACTGCTTTCCAACTTATTAGAACTAATAGTTATTTTGATGTTTCCTCAACAGACATTCTGCTGACAAAACGTTTTCACATACATATAAATATATCCTATTCATTTAAATGTACAGTAGAACATTAATGATTTATAATTGTTATTCATGCATTCAATTTATCCAGGCTAGATTACAGTAATGCTCTATATGCAGAATTAACCATTCAGTCTTCCATATCACATTTACAACTGGCACAGAATGCTGCTGCTCGGTTTCTGACAGGGACAAAAAAGAGGGAACATATTACCACTGGGTTAGCTATACTTTAACGGCTACCTACTTTTGAATATAATGCACAACATTGTCTTGGTCCAACTCACAATTAAGATCTTCAATTCTTTTCTTCTGGGAGAACCCTCCAATCATCCTTCCAGAAATGATTGATTATCCCAGCATTAGAGCAGAGCTTTTTCAGTTCTTTGTCCTATATAAATAGGTGCTATATGAATAGACTTGATCTTTACCTAATCTAGCGTTTATTAGTTCAATGAGAATTATCTGACATGTAGTAGCAAACTTTTTTCAACCAATAGAACATTTAAGGGAAACTATCAAATAAATTGAATAGAAACTCATTATTTGCTTAACCATTTAAACTCTGCTGCAGTTTTGGGATTTCCGCCTGGATTTCGCCTACCCAAATTTAAAAGCTTCCCAAATCCACATGCAGAGATGTAAATGCAAAAATGTGGTATCATTTTAAAGAAAACCCTTTGAATTTTTTTATAAAACACTATTGAAAGTGTTTAAAATAACTGTATATGTTGTCTGTGTAATAATAAACACCTCAAATAAGAGATGCTTTTTGTATTTTTTTATTTATAAACTCAAATTTGAAAGTGTACCTTTTAGGTTCTGTGTGGTCTAGCGTGCTGTAATTAATGTTGGTGGTTCCTGCACATGTCTGTAATCATAGGAAAAAAAAATGTCTTCACCATAATCTATGCAAAAGTTATTGTATTTCAACTGATGAGAGGTTCAATACAAGCCACAGAGACCAATCATTGTTTTCATATTTCACTATTCTTTTGTTTGATCAAATATAATTCATTGTGTTTGGACCACGTCAGACATATAAAAGGATTACTTATGCACATCACCTCAAAAACAGAGGAGAATGACCCTGAAGCGCACAGCATAAGGTAAGAGATGACAGCTGTCTGTGCTATCTGTGGCTGCTTATTGATCATAAATGTATTGTTTTCACTTCTGCGCCATGGAAACACCGTAATTAATTCTGCAACTGTTTGATATGTGAATATAATTCAGTAAAAAGAATGCTAGAACCGCATGAGCACCGGCAAGAGCTTTAATTTGAGCTATAACTTGTACATGTGTCATATGAAAACTATGAAAATGAACTTATGTAAATTACCTTATTCGGGTCTCGAAAATACTGTATTTTTATATAATTGTAGAAAAGTATATTCTTTTGAAATGTGTTACATTTACTACAGCAAGTTACATTTATATTTACCTATATTTACTATAGTAAGGTTGGTATTTTCTGTATCTGTACCATCACTGTACGGAATATAGTATCTTGTAATTTTTCTTTGGGGGGGGGGGGGGGGGGTACATATATATGTGATTTACTGAATAAATAGTTCCCAGTATTTTTCATAATCGAGTGTGTATCATTACTGCATCTCACATGAACATTTATATTATCCTTTTTTTTGTTTTAAAACCCTTAAAAAGACATTGTATTAGGCTTGTTGAATTTTTGTTCGTAGCTGACCATCAAAACCAAATAGTTAAAAATTAGCTTAAACTCTTGTCAGGTACACAATAACCAACAACATTTTCAAGTGTTAAAAACAAGACAGGCACCTGCTGAAAGAGCTTTAAAACATTACTTTTCTTCTATAACTTATTATTACTGATCTAGGTTAGCTGGTAATATAAATATAAATGATTATAAATTATTAAATAAATATTACAATTCTTTTTGAATTAACTTATTGTATGTTGATGACCATCACTGATTTTTTTTAGACAAGTAAAGTTAATGCCTGGGTAATGTTGCTTCACATTTGTTTTAATGTTTGTTGTTTTGCCACTTTCACATGGTTTTCCCATGCCATAGTGCCTGCACATTGGTTTGCTTAACCAAAGAATTTCTGAACACATCCATGAAGACATGTTGCAGCATGACAATGCAGGGCCCCAATGTTGCAAGGATCTGTACCAATAACTGTAAAAAATATGGAAGGGGCGACAGTGCCATTTTCTATTGAACGTGACAGACACAAACTGTAGCAAAAATAGCTGAAATTGGAGTCTGTGCATGTGCAGATGGACTACCAAATGGAGCTAGAGATGAAGCTGCGGAATCAAGCTTCCAACCAAATGCTTGTACATCAAATCAACCACGCTCCCAACTTCTCATTTGACTACCCATATGTGCACTACAATAAAGGTTCACTAATATAGTTATAAGCACTTACATTTAAAACATGTAATAATGATTTATTAAAAAACTGCGTGGTGTAATCTGTTTTTTAAAATAATTTAATAAAAAACAATATTTGTTCGACTGCAGAAATAATCAATCTTCATTCACTATAGCCTGAGTTAGAGAAATATGAGCACAAATAGTATTTCTCTTATTGACCTTATTCTCCGAAGACGAGCGGGCGCTGCCATATGAATCTTTTTGGCACGAGACTTCCGGTCTCATTCACTTCCATTCATTTTAAGACATTAAAAACTGCTCGTTTCGCTGTTTGATCTTGCAAACTGATATTTCCTTGTTATATTATTCTACTTGGTCTGTATAGTCATGCAAACATTTGTTTGTAGAGCAAGTAGTTTGACCGTTTTTTGCCGTTTATTATTCCTTGTCATTTCTCCCATAGGCGACTGAAACGGAAGTTCTAAGACAATCGCGAAAACAGGCGCACTTCCGCATTTTAGAATAAGGTCAATAATGAGTTGTTGGTATTTGTTACCTCATAACACTTGTAAAATATAAACAATAACATATAAAAAAACACATTTACTTTTTTAGAAAGGTTTTTATTAGCAATCAACAGGACCAAAATACACAGTGCACAGCTATGGATATTTACACATCCCATCTCTGCACTTCATAAAATAGCCCTTATAAATTTGTACAATAAACCTAGCTGTATTAATACTCTACTGATGTCAATCAACTGCTGCAACGTCCCTTGTATATTGCTTATATATATTTTTTCTTTGTCTCAGTTTTCATCTGGCTTATTCAATGCCTTAATATCTGGCAAAGAGGAATTTACATTATTTTTAAAGTTTATAAGGTGTTTTAAAATAAAAAGCCAACTGTAAATGGTGTATATAAATAATATATAACATTTACAGCTCCATTTGTTATATAAGATTCTGCTTCTAGAACACTAATACTTTATAACAGCAAATTCAGTAGATTAACTTGAACATGCTGAAACTCTAAATGTCAGAGATGTCTTGTAAACCAAGTTCAAATAATGCTACAGGAGATCGATGTGGAGATAGGCTAACATTAGTTTTGTCTTCGTAATTATTATTTCAGACCCGTAAAAAAAAGAATTACTGCTAGATAACAATCACCTGTATTTTCCCCTAACGTTAGGCGTGTTTGAGCAAACTAAGATAAAGACTGATAAAACCCTTACCGCCCTCACCTTGAGGAATAAACAGTGATAAATCAAATCCTGTATGTCAGAAAGTATATCGTTTACTACTGAACAACTCATTTTATCATGTAAAATAACACAAAATCAAACATTGATACTTCAGTCTCCTCCCGAAGCTCTGACAGTCTGTCAATCACAACTGTCAATCATAATGACTCGTCCCATTTTAATAGAATTAAATTACTGCCTAAAAGCATACAGTTTACAAAAATGAAGATCTGAACCAATATCAGCGTGATGACCAGTGCCTCATTTGACCAAAAATGATCTTTCGGGACATTTTATTCCAAGTGTAATTCTTATTTTTTTTTTAAATTTGGGCTTAATTCTTGCTCATTAAAATGGAGGCGGGATTTATTACTGCAGTCAGCCCTCTAGGGGCGATCTAACGGCCGGGAGCGTCACTCAAAAGTAGGTGTGTCCAATAGTATCTAGATGCAGCCCTCTATGATGCAAGCTGAAATTGCATCACTCAGAGATGCAATGTCAGACATAATGCACTCGATAGAGCTAGTGACATCCCTGTGAGGGGTAGGGTTAGCGGTGGGATTTGGTGAGCACATTAAAAACCATTGAATGCAGCTCAGATTGCATCTGCACCGAGTCTGCAGCCAGACCCCTCTCGGCGTGTGGCACACCTGATCTGTTCACAGTTTGTGACAGCTGAAAAATCAGCAAACTCACTTGACATGCACCCACTGAGCAATTTTAGGATGGATCGGCATATACTGTATGACAACAGTACTTGCCAATATCCAGCAACATTGCACAACCATTGAAGATGATGAGTGGACCAGCATTTTACAGGCCACACTTAACAAACCTGGGTGCATTTCTGAAAACCACCTTTAGCCAACTTCATTGCTGGAATTATAGATTAGCAATTTGGGTAATTAACCGAATCTGTCATTACAAACAAATGTTCGCAAACATTGTTTGCGGATGAGACGCAAAACATGAGATGCGATTGTCTTTCGGATGAGACGTTAAACCGAGGTCCTGACTCTCTGTGGTCATTAAAAATCCCATGGCACTTCTCGTGAAAGAGCAGGGGTGTAACCCCGGTGTCCTGGCCAAGTTCCCTCTATCGGCCCTTACGATCATGGCCTCCCAATCATCCCCTTCCACCGAATTGGCTCTATCACTGTCTCTCCACTCCACCAATAGCTGGTGTGTGGTGAGCGCACTGGCGCCGTTGTCCTGTGGCAGCCGTCGCATCATCCAAGTGGATGCTGCACACTAGTGGTGGTGTGGAGAAAACCCCCTCATGATTGTGAAGCGCTTTGGGTGTATGGCCATATACAATAAATGCGCTATATAAATACACATTACATTACATTACATTACATTGTTTGCAACTATTCCTCTAGAATTCTAGTGAGAAGCATAGTTTATGGTTGTGTTCTTTTCTGAGTAATCCCCCCTTTGTTCTATTCCTTTCAAATGTTCCAACATCCACTTTCAATGATTAATAAACACAGCTTAACGTTATCTCTCTTCGATGTAATTTACTTTCAAAGTAAACGTTTACAGTTTACTTTTACTTCTGACAATCGCACTCCCTTGAGAGTCATGACAAAAGTTATAGGTGACTTATGATTTACAAGTGGAAATCTAGGGGACATCTCTAAGACTATGAAAAAAAAATGCGATTTCTGAACCTAAATGTAATTATGGCAAAAAACAAAGTAGTTTTTACATCATTATTTAACCATATATTTGATTTATGAGATATTAGACTATGTGTTAGCTATTGTAAGCCGTTTTATATTTTAGGACAGAACATATATTCTTAAATATATTCTTCAATATTCTTGAATGTGTTTGTAGATTAAACATAGGCTTTATATGTGTCGATTGCATTAATATGCAAAATAAATGCATGTTTTTATATAAAATATAAAATTGAAATATTTTCTCTAAATAAATTGTTACTCTGCAATAACACGATTATATGATTGGATGAAATATAGGCTTTATATGTGTCGATTACATTAATATGGAAAATAAATGCATGTTTTTACCAAAATATAAAATTGAAAAATTTGCTCTAAAGAAATTGTTACTCCACCCTATTTAGTGCATCATTAAGAACATATTACTTTATAGCTAACCTGGTTTAAGCAATGGGTCTGCAACAGAGCAACTATGGTTTTGGGAAACACTTGCCACAACATTATTCATTTCCTAAACAATGCATTGTAATATAGTAGATCAGCCTCAAGTTATGTCGTTATTCGGGAATGCATCCACTATAACTGTTTGCAAAGGAGATGTGTTGCAATGCATGATGAAAATGATGGTCACACCAGATACTAAAACAGCATTTTTAAACAAGGAAGCTCTCCAGCAGTTGCCCGTCAATGGTGTCATATCCATGTTAATGTCGCTTTCCATCTTAATGACAACAGAAACATGACAGCACAGTCTGGTGAACAAATGTGGCAAGGTTGTAGCATTAGCCAAGCAACTAGCTTGTTTTGCGCAATCAGTTACTCAGCTATTCTTCACCATTTTCAGCTGGAAATATAAAGAAATACTGTATGTGTTATGGATAAATTTCTAGTATTCATGAAATCATTGCTTAAATGGCTTGAGTATGCAAAGCATTTGCAACATATATCACTTTTAACACCCTTGATGTTGAAAACATGTGTGAAATATTGAACTACTATATACAGTGATGAAAATAGTAGTACAATGTACTCTGTATTGTTTGTAATTGTATCACTAAATTAAAACTCACAGAAAATGTGAGTCTATGATAGTTGTGTTTTAAGCGAAAATAATCATAGATACTTCTGTTATGCATCACCATATGTCTGCATTGAGGACCAGGACCATGCTCAATTTTGTTTATCACATCAAAATCGTATTATTTCACCTCAAGATGTTATATTTGTTTTCCACAAAATCATGGCGTTTTAAGCATTTTAATGTTAAAGCAAATATTTCTCATACACAGCGTCACAAGGTTTGGGCACCCCCTTTTTTCATTATACTGGATTTCATTTCACCAATTTTAACAGGCAAACTTTCCACCAAATAGCATAATCAAGAACAATTAGCAGAGCAACATTTAAGAATAAGTTGATAAGAATAAGTTTTTTTTGTTCTGTTATTTTATTCAGAAAATCCTTTGGGGCTTTTAAGTCTGAAGAGAGATCAAAAACTGCAAAACATCATTTAAAATTGTGTACCGAGCAGTACTGCGTACGGATTTCGTTTTTACGCCCCTGTTAAAAAAAAAAAAACTAATAAAGTCTGAGGAAATTCAAATGTAACAAAGTAAATCTAAAATGATTTTAAAAACATTTTGTCCATGAATATAATTCAAATGTAAGATTAGTGCACCTATAAACAAACAGACAAAAAAAATTATATATATATATATATATATATATATATATATATATATATATATATATATATATATATATATATATATATATATATATTAGAGGCGCACAATTCTGGCTAAAATGAGAATCACAATTTTTTTTGCTTAAAATAAAGATCACGATTTTCTTACGATTCTGTATATGTAAAATAAAGGTATGGTAAAAACAAACATATGGCACAACATCGATAATAATAATATGTGTAGGTCTACTGGTTTCTATAAATAATTCTATTCTACTTATAATAATTCTGATGTTGAATTATTATGTTTGAGATATATGCTTGCAATCTGTCATATTAGACAAATGTATTCACTGGTAAAATCAGACATTTGCCATTATCAGATTATATTCAACAATATATAGGCTAGAGTAGTTATACTGACATTGTAAACATTTATTTTCATGAACAACTGTTTTCGCTATGAAAGAAAAAAACATCAAATGCTTGTCGTAATCATAACTAAAATTCGATATGATCATTTAAATAAATTGCACACTTTTGGTTTCATTTTGACTGCTAAGCGCTTGTTCATACTTTGCGTGGCTCCCAAACGATCACTCTGTGCCACAAACTGAATGTGATTTACAACTGTATTACCTGTTACTCGCAACATATGTAGGTTCTGTTCACTGTCGCCCTCTCTATAACAGCTCATGGTCAGCAGGTCACGGCACGTGTGTTTTTCCCATCCGTGAAAATATCATTATATGAAGACAAAAATGACATTTTTAGGTGAACTATACCTTACAAGTACATTATGTGACTCATTCAACATCAATTGGAGGTGTCAATGTCACTGAGCAACATGTGTGAAACAATGAAAAGACTCGTGCAGCCGCCTTTTCTTCTCTCCTGAACTTGAAAATATGATTGACAGAATCGTAGAAATGCTGGATTAAGATCGTCTAGGGGGTCGAATCGAGATCGCAATCTTTTAACGATTAATTGTGCAGCTCTCTCTCTATATATATATAGTAATTTTATTCACAATACACAAATAAGTGCATAGTTCACACAAAAAATTTAAATAAATTACTTATAATTTACTTAAGTTGTTCCAAATATGAGTTTCTTCTGTCAAACACAAAAAGATAATGTAAAAACTGAAAACTTGCCAATGCCATCGGGAAATGTATAAAAAAATAAACAAACAAACAACAACAACAAAAAACTTCATTTGTGATTACAGACAAAAGAAACTCATTTTTTTAAACAAATAAAGAGTGACTAAATAATGAGAATGTTTTTATTTTTGGGTAAACTATCACTTTTATGTTGTAAAATGATGTTACATTAAAGAAGTACTTGTTTTTCTGCGGCAGAGTTTAACAAACCTCTGCCTTATCTCTTTGGTTTGTAAACCATATACTAAAGGATTTAATCCTGGAGGTACAATATGGAACATTATACTTCCTAGTTTCCTGCTTTCAGCATATTCAGGAAACCGATGAAGGAAAATAAAAATGGCTCCAGAAACAAACATGATTAGGTAAACAGCTAAATGAGTGCTGCAGGTTTTCATGGCCTTGCTGTTGAGTGCTTTGTTTTTGCTGGCTAAACATACAGTGGCAATCTTGACATATGTTATAAATATAGATATTGCCGACAGGCAGGCCACAATCACAGAATAAACAACCCCAAATGCATTATTAATACTTACATTTTCACAGGACAGCTTAAACAGTGAGGCATTATCACAGAAAGGGTTTTCAATTGTTGATCTACAGTGAGATAGACGAAGAGTCAGTCCTATCATAACTGTCACCACAATTATTGCCAGTCCCCAGGCTGATGCTGATAGTTTAATAACCATTTTATTGGTCATTATAGCTGTATATCTCAGTGGATTACAAATAGCCACATATCTGTCGAAGGCCATGATCATTAATACATAGTGACATGCTGCTGTGAATACATGCACAAAATAAGCTTGAACAACACACTCTGTGTATGATATATAACGCTCTGAGGCTTCCTTTAAAACGTCTTGCATTAAGCGTGGCAAAATGACAGTGGTCCCTATTATATCATTCACTGGCAAATTACAGAACAGAAAATGCATAGGATCATGAAGATTTTTCTCTGTTGATATCAGGAATATAAGTGTAATGTTTGATATCATTGCAAAAATGTAAGATAAGAAAAGTACAATGAAAACAGGCTGAGATGACTGGTGTGTAACCTTCAGTCCCTCTACTAGTAGAACGCTGTGTCTGAATGTCAGGTTGTCCATTGGCTGCTGTACAAAATGCCTGTAAACATTAGCAAACGGTTAGCTTATTTATATATTGCATTATTTGTTTTCATTAGATATATAACATTTTGCAAATTAAAGATATGTCATTGATGTGACTGAGAGAATATTTTAAAAATATGAATTACTTACTGTGACAATATTGTCTCTTAACACTATTATTACAAATGTATAAGCTAAACTGTTTAAGTTACATATATATGTTGATTTAAAAATGCTTAAACAAAAGGTTGCCTAATGTAAATACAGCTATATCCAAGTTCAGAGCAGTCTATATACAGTACATGAATGTTATTTTATAATTGTAAATGCTATGATTTGTCTCAGTCTCCCTTAGGTCCTCGCTGTAATGATTTAGTCATACACTGTGACTTGCAGTCCGTTTTAAAGGTTTCTTCTGTCATGCTTACCTTTTATATGAGTATTCAGTTTAATCAACCCAATAGAGAGAATTGTATCATAGCATCTGTTGCCATGAGAAAGGAATCTGTTTTTTCTGCAACTCTGGAAAGAGGCCATTTCAAAGTTATTTTTTGTTTTTTTGCGTTTGGCTTTAATATGTATGCATTTTGAGTAAAATTATCATTTTTTTGTTACATAAACTACTAATGATGTGTCTTCAAAATTTCACTTCTAGTCAAATTGTTACAAAATTCACAGGAGTATTTATATTTACCCCACAAGCAGTCACAAAACCTGAAATAAAGAGATCCAATACTAAGTAAAACGTAGAATGGAAGAGATCGAACCAAATACCTGTGTTGCTTCTTGCAAATCTGGTTTCTGGTTTACAGGTATATATATATATATATATATATATTAATAAGTTAATAAAGCATTTACCAACATACATAATCATTAATATATGCCTGATTAATAAGAATTATAAAAGTTAATTTAAATAGTTTATTAATCATTTACTTACTCATTCTGAATGATCTTATAAACCAGGGGTCACCAATCTTGGTCCAGGAGGGCCGGGGTCCCTGCAGGTTTTAGCTCTAACTTGCCTCAATACACCTGCCTGGGTGTTTCAAGTATATCTAGTAAGACCTTGATTAGCTTGTTCAGGTGTGTTTGATTAGGGTTGGAGCTAAAATCTGCAGGACACCGGCCCTCCAGGAACAAGTTTGGTGACCCCTGTTAAAAACCTTCAACTGCTCAAATAAAATTGGTTTGTAAATAATGTAATATTTAACTTAGTAATGAAAAATAAATCATTAGCAAAGCATGCAAATACAATTATTAAGCACATTATAATTTTGTTTATAAGTCAAGAATTCAGCATTTGTAGCTGCAGTTATAAATGACTTACTAACACTTATTTATGCTTAAAAGATAATTAATTTACTTAATGCTTTAAGTAAAATTATTTATAGCATGTAGTTATTAATAATAGTTACCGCATTCTTCTGTGGTTACAAACTAAATAAACCTCATTTGTTACTGTTTAGAACCAACTTTTCTAAGACTGTATAACAATGGGATGGATTGTGGACAGTCATGGCTTTTGGTACCTTCTCTTTCATAGGAATACAGAAGGGGGGAAACTGAAACATGCTATTGAAGACACTGCAAATGTGAACACATTAAATATCACACATGAAGTTTGTTTGCTGCTTAATTTTATTTACCATTAGACTACCTGAGGTTATACTGCATCTATCACTCAGTAGATGTAGTATAACCTTTTTAATTAATCCGTTAATTATACTGTATATAAAAACAGTGATTTTATATGTCACACATATATTCCATAGTTCCACTGTTTATCAAAAGGCAATTTGCTGATGACTCCATTGGTTTACTGTTATATTCACACAAATTATGTTTATGAATAAAGGAATGTATATCAAGGAATGTAAACCAATGTATATTTCTGTTTAAATGCTATGATTAGTACTGAAGTAAAATGTCATGTTCAATATCATTGATTCTTTGGTTTCCTTTCTAAATCAGTGAATTTGAAATATACATAAAAAAGTAAAAGGTCACATGAAGTTCACTTTACTTTTGGAAATCAGTTTAAATAATCTCTGTCTTATTTCCTTGACCTGCAAACCATATATTATGGGATTCAAGCATGGAGGAACAATATGCTTTATTATGCTTGATAGCTTTCTACTGTCAGACAATTCAGGGAAACGATGAAGAGTAATGGTGGTGAGTCCAGAAACCATCATGATTAAATAAACAGCCAGGTGAGTGCTGCAGGTTTTGATGGCTTTGCTGTTGGTTGCTTTGTTTTTGCTTTTGAAACATACTATTGCTATTCTAAGATATGTTAATGCAATACTTCCCAAAGAGGATGTGAGTAAAACTACTGTAAAAGATAATCCATAAATATTATTAATCGCTGTACTTTCACAGGAGAGTTTAAACAGTGAAGCGTTGTCACAAAATGGATTTTCAATCACAGATCTGCAGAAGGACAGACGCACAGTAAGGCCGATCAGTATTCCCACCAGCACGACTGCAACACCCCAGGCTGCTGCCGACAGATGGACCACCATATTACTAGTCATTACAGCTGGGTATCGCAATGGATTGCATATCGCCACATATCTGTCAAAGGCCATGATCATTAGAATAGTGTGACATGTTGTTCCATATAAATGTCCAAAAAAAGCCTGAATGACACACTCCACATAGGTTATGTAGCGCTCAGAAGGTTCTAATAAAATGTTCCTCAATAATCGAGGCAAAAGAAGCGTGGTCCCAAAAACATCATTCAGTGGCAAGTTGCAGAGGAGAATGTACATAGGCTGGTGTAAACTTTTTTCTGATGAAATCTGAATCAAAAGTCCTATGTTAAAGATCATAATAAATATATAAGCAATCAAAACGAAGATGAATGCAAGTTGTCTGTATTGATTTGCGACTTGTAGTCCCTCCATTAATAGTGTGCTGGATCTGAATGTCTGGTTATCCATTTTTAACCTAAAGAAAAAAACACAGAGCTGAGATAGCATTATTTATGACAAAGGATCTCTGTAGAACCACTGCTTTGAACTTTTTTATGTGTCTCTAATCTGACACACATATTCAATTCATGCAACTCTTTACTAACAAGCTGATGATCTAAGAAAGACAACATGCACAGAATAGCAGTACAGAAACTGAAAGAGATGTCGTGCTCCATGGAAGGCCTCTGTTCCTGTATAGTTAGCTACTGTCCTTGTTTTTGCACACAGAAACATCCAATGAAGGTCTTACTAAGCATACTACAGAAAGTTGAGGCAATATTGTGTTGGGGCAAAACGGTGTTAAACTCTACAGGACAGTGGCCCTCCATACTGACACCCCTGATGCGATGACACCTTTAAAAACAATAACCAAAATACAGACGTAGAGAGTGCATAAATATAAGTTCTACAGAGAAACAGAAGTACAATATGAATTGTCTGAATATAAAAAAAATCACAATGTTGTAAAATAAACTTATTAAAAAACAGATAAATATTTACCAATCAAGATTTTTTTTTATGTAAAAGCTTAAAATAAAATCCTTAATTATTTATATTATTTATACCAATTACTTACCAAGATGTAATGTAAAAACCAGATGACTGGTTATACAAATAATCACCTGTTGTCAATATATATATATCTTAATATACAATAATATACATTCACCAAAACATGTTAAACATGATACTCAATAGCAAACCTTCATTTGTTTGAGCAGAGCTAGCTAGACTACTTTATACAATATGTTGTAACAGCTATTGTGTTCTTTCGTCATGCCCCAAGAGTGTAGAATTTAAAAATATCTATTTTTCTGTGGCTGTTTAACCAGTGCCTGGTGATCAAGTTGAAAAAACTTAACAACAACAACTCAGTGGCTTCCGCTACAGACATGGCAACAAATCATATCAGCATAACAGATAGCTTAGTCGGTTTGTATGTTTGGCGTGGTAGAGGGCCAACCCCTGGTTGCTGTATATATATATATATATATATTCCAGAGATGGGTTGCGGCTGGAAGGGCATCCGCTGTGTAAAAACATGCTGAATAAGTTGGTGGTTCATTCCGCTGGGGCAACCCCGGATTAATAAAGGGAGTAAGCTGAAAAGAAAATTTATATATATAAATATAATTTTAAATATATAATTGAAAATTATCATATGTATTTGTTTATATGGCAAAACATGTCGTTTTTCACTTAGAAGGTACATACAGATTCCAAAGGCAGATGCTGATTAGATCAGGGTCGGGTAATATGTGGACTTTAGGGGTTTTACGATGTGGTCACAAGTTGGTCAGTTTGTATATGTCAGTGTTTGAGCATTGGTCACATGGTCAAGAAACATACAAAATAGCTGGTAAACTCTGCTCTTCCTCTTTTCCTGCTCTGCTCCTGCTATCAAGCTCTCTTTGAGGCCTACCCTCTGTCTCTCTCTCTCCCACCTCCGTCTCTTTCCCACCCCAGGTAACTTTATTTTACATTTATGTTGGGTACAATTAATATCATATGGTTTTAATATTTCATGTTACTTTTTTAGTTACTTTGTGACTAATTTAGTTGTAACCATAGAGAGTTATTGTCACTAAATAATTTTATTTTCAAGTATTTGTCATTTACTTTTGATTTAACATCAACACAATTGCTGCTTATGGTTTTATGAACTGCCAATGTTTCCTGAACCTAAGCCTTCAGCCCATGGGGGTTAGTAGAACTGCCAGTACCTCCTGAACCAAAGTCTCCTTACCCACTCTGGGTGTATGACCCACTTGTGTCTGCTAAACCAAAGGCCCCAGACCTACTTCAGCTCCACGCTCCTGGCCCTCCGCAGCTCCATGCTATATGTACACCTCCGCTAGATGGTACTGGCCCTCCATTCCTACCCTCTGTTCCACCTCCACCTCCGCTTCACCTCCCTCCTGGTCTGTATTTGGAACATCTGAAAGCCGCTCTTTGAAGGGGAGCTCAAATGATCACATTAGGTCATATATGAAGTTATGAAAAACCATAGGAAGCAAACAAAATAATATATATATATATATATATATATATATATTACATGAATAAAAGACAACCATGACAGCCAGATCTGGTGACCCCAAAGAGTTTGACATCCTCGTTTATTACAATAGGAACAGAGAGCAGTGTGCTGTGAGAACACACTCAGACACACATACTATGCTTACACACACAAAGCAGTGGACAATCATTTGTTGTCAGCCCTGGAAGCAACTGGTGGTTTAATGCATTTCTTAAGGGCACAGCAGTCATGGATATTGAAGATGGATGAAACAGCTAGTCATTCACTCTCCCTACCGTCAGCTCCAGGGAATCAAATCTACAAACTATGTCTTGTAGGTATGACTCTTGATGCATCAGGCCCCTAAACATCAACTGGCCCCAACAGTTTTGTGACAGAACCTTGCATTTGAGTTAAATCTTTCTATTAATTGTTTTATTTATAGTAGATAAAATAATATTATATCTATATTCGTTATGTTATCAACTGACAAAGCCAGTTACCAGTTAGTGCATATTTCTTAGTGGCTTTTCCCCCTAAATTCACCAATGCATATCCTGTACACACAAGCACTGCTAAAAAAAAAACAAAAACAGATCTGCTGACGATTCTATTTACAATTGAAAAGAGATCAGATTAAATAAATATCTATATATCATCAAACAGAAAATAACATCGCATTAACTTTGTTATTTGCAAAACTTGAAAAGCTTTTGTCTTATTTCCTTAACTTGTAAACCATAAATTAAGGGATTCAACCCTGGTGGTACAACGCTGAAAACTATACTTGCTATTCTTCTATTTTCATAGTATTCTGAGAAGCGATGGAGAAAAACAGCAACAAACCCTGAGACCAGCATGATGGTGTAAACAATCAAGTGAGTGCTGCATGTTGTTATGGCTTTTTTGTTTCTTTTGTTCTTGCTGGATATGCATACGATTGCAATTCTTAGATATGTTAATGAAATACTCCCCATTGAGACAACTATTACAGAAACGGTAAAAGTTAATCCGTATATATTATTAATCTCTGTACTTTCACATGATAGTTTAAATAGTGAAGCGTTGTCACAAAAGTGGTTCTGAATCAAAGACCTGCAGTGAGAGAGACGCACACTTAAGCTGATCATAATTCCCACCATTACTGACATGGAAATCCAGGCTCCTGCCGACAGTTTGATCACCATTTTATTACTCATTATTGCAGAGTATCGTAATGGATTGCAAATTGCCACATATCTGTCAAAGGCCATGATCATCAGAATAGTGTGGCATGCTGTTCCGTTCAAATGTATGAAAAAAGCTTGAAGGGCACACTCCACATATGTGATGTAGCGCTCTGAAGGATTTGTTAAAACATCCCTCAGCAATCGTGGCACAATGACAGATGTGCCTATAACATCTCTTAGTGGCAAGTTGCTGTAGATGCTGTACATGGGCTGGTGTAAATCTTTGTCTATCATGATATTCAGCAAAATCCAAAGGTTAGATACCATAATGAAAATGTACACTGTTAAAAGGCTGAAAAATGCTACATAGCTGTATGGAGGTGAAACGCTCAATCCCTCCACTAATAGTACACTGTATCTGAGGGTAAGGTTGTCCATCTGTTACCTAAACAAAAAGGTAGAGACACACATGGTGACCATATATTATTATTTGCATATTTCATCATAATTATTTTTTTGAGAGAATGGTTTTTTCAAGAGACCATCCTGAGGTGTCAATTTCTCATTTTTCCTTTAACATTTTTTTTCATCCATACTAGCTCAACATTTACTCACTATTTATTAATCCTCAAGTGAGTTTATGTGAGTTTCTTTTTTCTGTGGAACACAAAAGAAGATATTTCGAAAAATTAAAAAATAATAAACATTATTTTTTGCATAATTCATCATAATAATTTTTTTTAAGAGAATGCTTTTTTCAAGAGACCATCTGAGGTGTCAATTTCTCATTTTTTCTTTAACATTTTTTTTTCATCCATACTAGCTCAACATTTACTCACCTTTTATTAATCCTCAAGTGAGTTTTTTTGAGTTTCTTTCTTTCTGTGGAACACAAAAGAAGATATTTCGAAGAAATTTAAAAATAATAAACATTATTTTTTGCATAATTCATCATAATTATTTTTTTTAAGAGAATGATTTTTTCAAGAGACCATCTGAGGTGTCAATTTCTCATTTTTCCTTCAACATATAATCCCCAAGTGAGTTTTTGTGAGTTTCTTTTTTTCTGTGGAACACAAAAGAAGATATTTTAAAGAATTTTGAAAATATGTAACCATCGACTTTGATAGTAGACAAATACCATGGAGGTTAACCTAATATGTTTCCAACATTTGGTAACACTTTATTTTGATGGTCCATTTGAGTATTAGTAGAATGTCTGTTGATACTGCTCCTTGAAGACATATAAGAAACTGACTATAAGAAACTTTGCAGATGCATGTCAAAAACTTGCACTAACCCTAACCCCAACCCTTATCCCAACCTAAAAGTCTATTTATAATCTAATGAGAATTAGTTGGCATATAGATGCAAATTAACCTGATTCACCAAACAGATCATCAAAATAAAGCATAACATTTAAAAAAATATATTTTCTTTTGTGTTTAACAGAGGAAAGCCATTTATAAAGGTTTAAAATAAGTAAAAGGTGAGTACATGATGACACATTTCCCTTTAAAATATTCATGGTCTCTGTAATATTGAAATATAAGAATGTCTGAAAATATAAAATACAAACACTTAAGAAATATTATTTGCTTACCAAGTTATTTGACAGGTAGATGCAGAGCTTTCTTTTACTTCATATACTGAATCAGCCTGTTATTGCTGTCTTAACTACATAGTCTTATAGGTATAAGGAGTTTCAAGAGCACAACATGCTTGTGTCTGAGCTTATATGGCAGATTTATGTGTGTAACCTCCTCATCAAACCCCTGGAGATAACACATGTCGATAACACTTTATGATAACAGTACCTGAATAATGATGTATTAATATGTAAGGTAAATATCACTTTATTATGAATCAATGATGAATTAAGGTGTGTGGTAATCATGAAATAACACTAACTACAACATAATTCACAAGAGTTCATGTGTGAATAATGGCTACCTTAATTACTTGTTAGTACATGTTGTTAATTAATGTATGAATTACTTTAATTAGTTCATGAGGTATTAATCTACAATTATGTCGGACTTGACTTATTGGGGCAAATCACTATTAACTCATCCTTAACTGCTTATGAACTCCTGTGTTTAAACTGTTTGTGTTGATGTTGACAGAGCAATTTTCTATTGTTATTCAGTGTAAACACACTAGTTGGACATGCATAAGGAGTTTATGAGTAGGATGAGTTACTGGTGACTATTCACCATTAGGATGAGTTGATGGCCATTATTTACACATGAACTCATGTGACTTATGGTGTAGTAAATTTAGTTCATGATTAGCACATGCATTAATTCATCATAAGTCGAAAATAAAAATAAAAACGTCGGGGCTAGGGTCAATATTTCAACTCTAGAACCACATTTATACAATAATACTATTAAGTTATGTTGCCTCTAAATGTGTCATCTTTAATAAAATAATTCTTAAAGAATTGAGAAAACAGGGCAGCAAGGTGATTTAGTGGTTAGCACAAGAAGGTTACTGGTTCATATTGCAAACTGGGTCAGGTGGTATTTCTGTGTGGAGTTTGTATGTTCTCCTCGTGTTCATGTGGGGATGCTCCGGTTTCCCTTATGATCCAAAGACATGTGTTATATGTTAATTGGATGGGCTAAATCAGCTGTAGTGTGCGAGTATGTGAAACGAGAGTGTGTATAGTTTTTTTTTGTACTCTCTGTGCTGGATTGTGGTGGAAAGAATATCTGCCGTGTAAAGCATAGGCCAGAGTATATGGTGATTCGTTCTGCTGTGGCGGTCACTGATAAATCAGGAACAAGTGACTGATAAGTCAAAGGAATGTGAGTGAGAACACATGACAATAAGAGTTGTTAATAGTTTTGTTAGAATCTCTTTCTGGCCGACCAATAGTCTTCCTCCATGGTCTCCCCGAACTCTTCCTAGGCCCGAGTTTTTGCTTCCGCAACCACCCGGGCTGCAGCATGCTTGGCCTGTCGATACCCATCAGCTGTCTCGGGAGTCCTGCAAGCCAACCAAATCCTGTAGGACTCCTTCTTCAGCTTGACGACATCCCTTACTTCCGGTGTCCACCACCGGGTTCATGGATTGCCGCCCGACAGGCACCACAGACCTGACTGCCAAAGCTCCTTAAGGCAGCGTTAACAATGGATTCGGAGAACATGGATCTTCAGCATGCACTGGGGTGGTTTGCTGCCGAGTGTGACATGGCTGGGATGAGAATTAGCACCTCCAAGTCAGAGGCCATGGTGCTCCACTGGAAAAAGGTGATTTGCCATCTCGGATACAAACGGCCGAAATTAGTTTCCTTCGAAGGGTGGCAGGGTACACTCTTATGGATAGGGTGAGGAGCTCTGACACCCGGGAGGAGTTTGAAGTAGAGCCGCTGCTCCTTCACATCGAGAGAAGACAGCTGAGGGGTCTTGGGCATCTGTTTCGGATGCCTTCTGGACGCCTACCTAGGGAGGTGTTCCAGGCATGTCCTACCAGGAGGAGGCCTCGGGGAAGACCCAGGACATGCTGGAGGGACTATGTCTCTGGGTCGCTGTAGCTTTGATTTTTATTTAAAAAAAAAAGTTTTCCAGCAACTCGTTAACGGCTGCTGCGATCATATTTTCCCTCCTATGCAGTTCTCGGAGTGTCAGAAGTTTTCAGTCACTTTCTTGCAGTTTAACTTCAGCTACAATGGGCATCAAACCAAGAACCAATAGGATCATCAAATCTATGTAATCCATGAATTTGTAGCATAATATACATATCATAAAGTTCATTGTATTTTATAGTCATACTGATTTTTGCACATTCTTTTTAGTGTGTGTCTAACTAAATTTAAATCCTTTTAGAAGGATTTCGTTTCAAATGATGACTCTGATCCATATAGCCAACAATAACGGAGCATTTTATTTCTGTTACAGAATCTGCTATATAACTGAAACACACACAAAATTAAATCTCTTCATCTTATATTTTAGTTATGATGCACAGCTAAAAGTTGCTTTTTCTGTGAAAAGAGAAAGGTTGGTTTCAGTTGAGATAAATTAAATTTGTCTTGGCATAAGACAGACATATTTTTGTTGTCTATAACAACATTCACCATCAGTGTGCAGCATTTACCTGGATGACGCGACGGCAGCCATATTGCGTCCGACCACACACACTGAGTAGTAAAGAGTCCCTGTCACTATACTGGGACATTAGGACCCCACACAGACCACAAATTGGGTCCCACTGCTGGTCTTACTAGCATCACTTTCGGCAGCAACCTGGGTTTTCCATGTGGTCTCCCATCCAGGTACTGACCAGGCGCAGCCCTTCTTAGCTTCAGTGGATGACCATGTGAGAGTTGCAGAGAGCTAGCTGCCGGCTTTAGTCATTTTAGCTCAGTTTAGATCAGATTGTGGGTCATACAGTTATAAGCTGCTGTCAGGCTACACGAGAGATGTCATAGTAAACTCCGCCCTATTGGTGTGTGCACATGCGTCAGACTCTTTGGTGCAGGTCATCCGAGGAACTGTTTATTTGCCAATACTGGCGAACTGGCTTTTATGCTCTATACTAATACAGTTCTGGGGGCACTGTATCACTTCACATGTCTGTGTTGTGATCTTACCTTGCCTTTGGGATAACTGAGGTTAAACCAGTAGCTACAGTGAATTGTTAGGCTCTTGATAAGGCTTCTGTTGTTTGAGAACAAATTGAGGCTGTTGTTGACTGGGGCAGTTTTGTCTGATGTAGAGCAGAGGGCAAGTTAAGGCTTTACTCAACAGGTTTCAGTCAGTTTTTTCTTCCCATGGGGGGGATCTGGGATGCCCAAATTTGATCTCTCATAATATCCCAATGCTAGACCCCATCCCCATCATGCAACAATATAGGCATATCAGTTCATGATGTAGTAAAATCCAATATTAACCACCCTCTGGAGGTGATAGTCATCAGAAGAGTAACAGCTCATATGTTGTCCTAGTTAAAAACAAGATGATAATCTGTACATGTGTGTTGACTACCCAAAAGTTAAATGTGAGAACAAGACAGGGAACTTTTCCTCTGCCTCTCATTGAGGAGTCACTAGACTTCTTCAAAGGGACCTGTTGGTTTTTCACTATGTACCTGGCCAACAGATATAATTAGGTCTAAATCACTGAAGGAAATTGACAGCCTTTTTGCACCACTTTGGCCCATTTGAGTGAAATAGAATGTCGTTTGGGCTCTGCAATGCCCCAGGTAAATTCCAGTGTTAATGGAGTAAATGTATTGGGATCAACAGCAAAAGTCATTCCTTGTCTACGTGGATGACATAATAGTGTTCTCCTCTTCTCTGCCCCAACATATAGAGCATCTTGAAGGTCTTGTTTAAAAATGCCTTAAATACATATAACCAGTTTATTTATTTAAATGTTGCTAATTAGTTTGTATTTACTATGACCTTCTATATGAAGCTGCTTTGACACAATCTACATTGTAAAAGAACTATACAAATAAAGGTGAGTTGAATTGAATTGAATATTGAAACCGGTGCAGAGAACTGATATTGGTACCAAATACAGAAATTTTGTGACAACCCTAGTAACTAGTATCTTTAATATTCATTTCATTTATGCCTGAACAGATCTAAAATTGTGATATTGTTTGCCTCCAAAGTATGATTTAATTTCATAATGTTAATGTGTATTGGTTTTTATTCCCCTTTTTAAATTTAATGTTTTGTATTTCCCCCTTCTGCAGTAATTACAGGAACACTTCAGTCCAAATATTTCCTTAGAACTTTAACCCTAATCTTATTCCATACTGCCTGCAACTATTAGTGTTTTCTTTGAATTCTGTGAAGGGACATTATTATGTAGCATTAACAGTAAAAAAGGCCTACCTTTTTACTATGGAAATTAGTCAACATTTCCTAATGATGGCTGTATTTTATGGTTTATGGAGCATAATGATAATGTTGTAGCTTTGTCTTTTATGGATATTGTAATGGCCAATTTCATAAATATGCCAAGTATTCTAATAATTTTGTCCACCACGTGTCACACTCGATTTTTGGTGGACAGAGTTTGACATACCTGACATAAAATAATCAGATCACACTCTCAAAATAATCAAAAGAACAAATTAACTGTACTTATTTATAGTATTAATAGTATTTATTTTGAGTACACCAACTGCACATTTATTTATTAATTATGCTAACAGTTACACATATTTGTCTTCTAAATGTATAAAAACGTGTGTGTTAACTTATTTTTCACAAATCCCTATACACACACAACACTAGACAGTACAATTAAAACTAATTTAAAATATAAAATGAAGTGTTACACAATTAGAATTTGCATTTAATTGCAAATAACATGCAGCGGCTGCTGTCTTATAATGGAATGGATTTCATGAAGGATTAACCTTTTTTACACAAAGCTTTAACATTTTATCTTTTATTTCCTTGGCTTGTAAGCCATAAATTATTGGGTTTAATCCTGGCGGTACTACATGAAACATTACATTCCCGAACTTTCTACTCTCAGTATACTCAGAGAAACGATGGAGAAAAATTGGAACAAAACCAAAGATTATTGTGATAATATAGACTGTCAAGTGAGTGGTGCAGGTTTTAATAGCTTTGCTGTTTGTCGCTTTATGTTTGCTTTTTATACAAACCATTGCAATTCTCAGATATGTCAATACCACCCACCCCAAAGAGGATGTGAGTAAAACCACAGTAAATGTTAATCCATATACATTATTAATGAATGTATTTTCACAGGACAGCTTAAACAGTGAAGGATTGTCACAAACGTGGTTTTCAATCACAGATCTGCAGTGAGAGAGACGCACACTAAGGCCGATCAAAATTCCCACCAGAACGATAGCAGCACCCCAGGCTCCTGCAGAAAGTTTAACTATCATTTTATTGTTCATTATTGTTGGGTATCTCAGTGGATTGCATATCGCCACATATCTGTCAAAGGCCATAATCATTAAAATAGTGTGGGATGTTGTTCCATATAAGTGTGTAAAAAAAGCCTGTAAAACACACTCGATATATGTGATGTAGCGCTCAGAAGGGTCTGTTAATAAATCCTTGAGTAAACGTGGTATAAGGACAGTTGCTCCTATTATATCACTCATTGGCAGGTGACAGAAAAGAATGTACATTGGCTGGTGTAAACTTTTTTCTGCTAAGATCTGAATCAAAATCCCGATGTTAGATACCATTGAAAAAACATAAACAGTCAACAGGAAGATGAAAGTCAGCTGGCTGGACTGCTGTGTAATTTGTAGTCCCTCTACAAGAAGTGTGCTGTATCTGAACGTCCGGTTATCCATCTGTAACTGAAACACAAGAGCAGTTGTATTAATAGCACATAAGAACGTGTAACATTATTTATTTTTAACTTACCATGAAGAATGGCAAATAGGTACAAATATTTTTGTATAAAAGTTTTTATATTTTGCAACCTACTCTATTTACTGTGACTAATGAATAACATCATAATCTATGACTATCATCATAAGATTCAGAGTTTGTCTTAGTATGGATTTGGTTGCCTTTCTTATATGGTTGTCACAACATCCCATGAGTAAAGACAAAGGTACAGCTCTATTCTGTGATAGGTGGATTGCTGATCATCTGTGTTGGCTGAGAACATGGGTGGATCATTCAACTAATTGGGTCAATTGGGTATGCAACCCGTCCCCCCAACCCCAACCCTGTGCAATTTAAAGTTGCATTTTATATATACAGTTTGTCAAGACTAATTTAGATTTAAACAAAACAAATAGGCGTCATGTTGGCGCTGTGAGTAGCATGATTGCTTAACAGCAAGAAGGTCACTGGTTCGAGCCCCGGCTGGGTTAGTTCCATACCGTGCATTCTATTTTTCTTAAGGCAACTTAAGAAGAACCGGCTTTCATCAGCCATCCTGGTGAACTTCTACCACTGCACAATAGAGAGCATCCTGACCAACTGCGTCACAGTCTGGTATGGAAGCTGCTCTGTTGCTGAGCGTAAGGCACTGCAGCGGGTGGTGAAAACTGCCCAACGCATCACAGGGGCCACACTGCCAGCCATAGAGGACATCCAGAAGAAACACTGTCTGCACTGAGCACGCAGTGTTCTTTAGGTCTCCTCTCACCCAGCTCACAGACTGTTTTCTCTCCTGCCTTCTAGCAGGCGCTTCAGGCTTTCCTGGACAAAACCAGCAGACTAAAGCCTGGTTTATACTTCTGCGTCAAGTGACCGGCGTAACTCACGGCGCAGTCAACGCGCGCAGCTGTGCATGTATACTTCTGCGCGCTGTCTCTGTTGGTCTGCATTAACACTTCCGAAACGCTAGTTGGCAGTGAGGTGTAAATGTTCCTCTGTGTCGAGTTTATTCGCTTCTGTTTTGCTTTTCCTGAACAGTTGTACAAGTGGCTCAAACTCGCTCATTTTGAGGCAGGAACCGGCAGACGTGCAACAACTTTAACTATGAGGTAAACGCAAAAGAAAACTTTCCATCCGGAGCTCCTTCACGGGACTCCACACTTGTAAACAATCGCTCCATCAGGCTCGCACCATTCACGCGGCTCTCAGTCCCGCCCAGACTCATCAGCGATACCAAGCCGACCAATCACAGAGCTTGCGCTACGCGTTGTTGCGACGTGTAGTTACATTTTTTGAGAGGTGCATGTAAGTGACGCCGACGGCCACGGCGAAGGGCTATGCGTCAGCGCCGTAGCATAAGTAGAAGTATAAATCAGCCTTAAAGAACAGCTTTTTCCCCAGAGCTGTCTCCCTTTTGAACTCTGCCCCCCACTTACTCTTTTGCATTCTTTTGCCCTCCTAATACACCGCCCACTCTCCTCTAACTTATACTCCTCATAATCACTGCACTATTTAACATTTGCACATTTAAAAATTGCATATAACTATTGCACCGCATTGCACTGATTCATTTATTTGAACTGTACATACGCATTGCACATGGACATGTGTAATTATGTACACACCCACTGTACATGTACATTTGTAATTATGTTTATCTATCTTCACACTTCTGTTGATTAATAGTAAGAAAGGTAAGAGACAATGTCTTATTTTCAGCTCTTCCTCAGGTCTCTCCACTTCCCGGGGTGAGCCCTCCCCTCCCAAGCAGTCCCATCCACTAGCATGTCAGCGATTGCTCCGATAATGCCATTAGTGCAAGCTCTGCTAGCCTGGTTAGTAGGGACAGAGCACCCTCTGGCACCCACGCCCAGAGCTCTGGAACCTCCACGTATAGGCCATAGACAGAACGTGGAAGACTTAAGTGGTATACCAGCATCTGCTAGCTTTATGAGGCATGCCTACATACTAAAGTGGAGACTATTCACTCCGAGAAGACCCCCGAACTTGCCATTAGCATTCTGTTGTGCTTCCTTCAGGATAAGCTGTAGAATAGGCTGTCACCCTTTACACTAAAGGTTTACATTGCAGCCATCTAGGCTCACCTTGATGCCGTGGATGGCAGCACGCTTGGGAAGAATAATCTAATCATCCAGTTTCTCAGAGGTGCAAGGCGATTAAATCCACCCCTACCCCCATCTTGCCCTCTTGGGATTTTTCTGCTGTCCTGGCGAAACTGCAGAGAGATCTGTTTGAACCACTTGACTTAGTATCCGTAAAAATTCTGTCTATGAAGACAGCTCTACACTGACATGATACTGAGACCCCAATGCAGCTATGAACCCAAGGTTCCTACCACCCTATTTAGAGAGCAGGGGCTGAACATGCAACCTGCCTCCTCTTTTTTTTGCATTAGCACGCAGCACCTCTCTCACAGATATCTGTAGAGCTGCGGGCTGGGTGACAATTAATATATTTGCAAGGTTTTATATCTTTGAGTGGAGCTGGTTTCCTCCTGTTTACTGGGTAACCCTGGTCAATCGGGAGGAAACTAAGTTTGGAGTTGCACATCCCCTGGAAAGGGCTAGTCCATATGTCCATATTGCTAACACATGGCCTCTGCAGCATACTCCCCCTTCGGGGACTGGCACGTTTTCCCAACAAACTGTAGTAATTTAAATATCCATAGACGACAATTAGCTAGGTGAAAGCAAATTAGCGACCTCTGATCTAAATCCTTTCTAAATTATTCCCATGTAATGGTTATTTAATGACTTAGGGTAGGGGTGTCAAACGTACGGATCAGGGGCCTCATGTATCAACGATGCGTGCGCACAAAAACTTTGCAAACGCCAGGTTTCACGCTCACGTTTGGATTTACTAACAATAAAATGAACGTGGGAATGTGCGCAGGTTCACTCCAACTTCATGCCTGGCGTACGCACATTTCTTGTGCGTGTCGATTTTATTTTCATTGGTGACTCCTAGAGGCAGTTGTGTTAAATTGCACTCTACAAAGTGTCTTTGAGCCGTGCACTGGCAGCTGTATGGGACGGATTTACCCGCATGTCTAGCAGGTTTATAGGGTTTCCATACCATGCAGTTGATCAGCCAAACATTAAAGCGCAATTTACAGCGGTCGCCGTTTTTCCCCAATGTAATCGGAGCGATCGACTGCACGCACATTGGTATAAAGAGGCTATCTGAAGATGAGTTTGCATACGTGAATCAGAAACATTTCCATTCAATAAATGTGCAAATAAAATATGATGCACACACTTATTAATGATTTCTATTTGTCTTCCTCGTGATGAAGAGTAAAGGCGAAATCTGATATGTAGCGGGGAGAAAAAAGAAGAATGAGTTGATCAGAAGCTGGATTCGAACCGAGTTTATGCTTGAACGTGTCAAAACATGATGCCATGCGTTTTACGAGCTATGCCACTCACACTGTTGAAGATACTACATTTTACACCTTTAGATTGCACTGTTTCTTTTTTAATCCACTCATTGTCCACGCTGTGTTCAGACCCAACTGAGTTAACCGCATCAGCTAAACTCTCTCACTCTATTCTTTTCTTTTGTTATTAATTCCAGAGGACAAACTTGACTTAACAAATGACACCGTTTTTCTCCAGTCTACCTCCGAAAGCAGCACCTTCAAATCACATTCTGTTAAAAGTTTCTCTTCTTGCTTTCTTTTGCCATTGCTTTTTCGTTGGGTTTTGCCAAAGTATAGTAATTAGCATATTTATACTTAGAATTCTACCTAATCAGTGATGAATATTCAATTAAATCATCAGCAATAACGCATGTGTATGTAATATTTGATAGCAACCTTTCATTTTAAAGAAATAGTATCTGGATGCAGCCTTTATGATGCAAGCTGAGATTGCATTACTCAGCAATGCAATGTCAGACACAATGCTCTCAAATGGAGTGACGTCATTGTGAGGGGTAGGGTTAGGGGTGGGGTTAGCCCATCAAAAAGCACTGGATGCAGCTCAGATAGCAGAAGTCTGTATTTCAAACACTCCCACTCGCATTCTTGTTCACATTGGTGAGGGAGATAGATTTCGAGATATTCTTGAAAAACAATACGAATTTTAGGTGAGAGTAAGACATCACAACTTAACTAAACTAGCTGAACCGGCGACTTCACTGTGACATAAAACATGTTGATGACCTGTTAAGCTGTCTGGTGTTTATTGTGGCCACAAATATCTATGATATTTAAAGGTCAATATTTTATCCTGTTTCTTGCCAATATTGAAAAATACCATCATTTTCTCTCTGGACTTCAAATTAAAAATAAATGCGATTTCTCTTGAAAAAAAAAAAGTGTGATGTATTATTTTTTTCTTTAAATATGCAATGCTTTTGATTCATTCCCTAAGTAACTATTAGAAATCAGTAACCAGTCAACACGGCAAGACAATGAAAGGAAGATGTATTTTAATGTTTTCACTTCAATATAACAAGACTCAGCACTGATATGTGTGTGTGTGTGCTGTTTATATAGTCCTGTAATCATTCCATGAGCAGCTTCAGCTGTGAGTGTTTGTAATCAGACAGGATTAGGAACCAGTGTGTGTGTGCAGTGCATGACTGGATCTTGTAGTCCATATAATGGCGGGTTTGTAGTTCTAAGTGATCTGTTTAGATGTGCTTACCAGCAATCTACAATTATTGGATCGCTGGTAATTGTGACACAGACAGCACCCTAAGCCTTGCACATTGTAGTTACATATGACTTTACCTGCTCATATATTTAAACATTAGAAGCATACATTAATATAGAACAGTACTGCTAATTTAGCATGTTTAGGAGAAAGGTGCTTTTACTTGTGACACTGTTTACTTTTGAAGAAGTTTGGAGTCAAAACAAAAATTAAATAAAATGTATTACATAAGAAATGTAAAAACATTGATAAAAGGGTGGTACAGTAACTTAATTAAGTACTATGAAATGAGTCTATTTACTGTATAAAGATAGTAATTTATAGAAAGTGTAATTAGTTTTCTAACAAAAAGAGTAAATAAATTAAAATCACTTTGCATTTAAGTCATTTCTAAATAGTTTAAAAATCTTTTGTCTTATTTCCTTGGATTGTATACCATATATGATTGGATTTAAACCTGGTGGAATAACATGAAAGATTATATCAGCGAGTTTCCTAGTTTCAGCATATACAGGAAAACGATGAAGAGATATTGCAGTAGATCCAGAAATCAGCATGATTATATAAACAGTCAAGTGAGTGCTGCAGGTTTTGATGGCTTTGCTGTTTGTCGCTTTGTTTTTACTTTTGAAGCATATCAGTGCTATTTTGAGGTATGTCAGTACAATACTCCCCATTGAAGAGGTAAACAAAACAACAGTAAAGGTTAATCCATATACATTATTAATCACCGTATTTTCACAGGATAATTTAAATAATGAGGCATTGTCACAAATGTAGTTTTGAATCACAGATCTGCAGTGGGAGAGACGCACACTGAGGCCGATCAATATCCCGACTAGCACAACTGCAACACCCCAGGCTGCTGCTGATAGTTTAACCACCATATTACTGGTCATTATAGCTGGGTATCGCAGTGGATTGCATATTGCCACATATCTGTCAAAGGCCATAATCATTATCACAGTGTGAGATGCTGTACCGTTCAAATGAGCAAAATAAGCTTGAATAACACACTCCACAAATGTGATATGGCGCTCAGATGGGTCTGTTAATATATTCCTCAACAATCCTGGCAAAATAACAGTTGTCCCTAAAACATCATTGAGTGTCAAGTTACAGAAAAGAACATACATAGGCTGATGTAAACATTTGTCTGCTGAAATCTGAATCATCATCCCAATGTTAGATACCATTATAAATGCATAAACCATCAAAAGAAGAATAAATGTAGGAAGGGTTGATTGAGATGTAACTTGCAGTCCCTCCACTAATAGTTTGCTGTATTGGAATGTCTGGTTGTCCATCTTATATCTAAACAAAACACACAAATAAAGTGGCAGTTCTCAATAATGTGTACACATGTATAAATCTACCATATTTCACCTTGTTCTTTTCATTTTTTTGTCATTACAATGAATTTTACTATGCGTCTGAAAGTGCTGCCAAGTTTTCTCAAGTAATTTTATACATGAAAAAGAACCTAAATGTGAGCATGTAAAATTAAATCACATTTAAAATTTACAATACCTGTATGATTTTTTTGAAGAGTAGTGCCTAAATGATTTGTGCATCTGTGACTTGACACTCGTCCTTGCGCAGTGTTATTTAATCTGTTTACTTAGTTATCATGACCTTCCTTCTCTGAATATATTTAGTTTGCTTGGCTACTTTATATGCAAATAAAAAAAAACAAAAACTTTTTGTCGACATACCCCAAGAGTCTGATTAGTGTACAACTGAGCATGTTTGATTGTTACAAACAGAGGGCCACAGTAAAGGTTGTGACGTTGCCAAGTTAAAAAAAAGTAAAAAATCAGAAATTCAAGATAGGGTGCAAAAAGTGACACTTTGGGATAAAAAAAATGGTATTACATTTAGATAAGCTCAACTTTACTTTTTTTTAACAGCTTTGGTTTTGTTATTAAATCCAGATGAAAATGTTTTGTTAAGTTTACATGTGCAACAAGGGGATGGAAGATCAGTTGGATTTAAAGAATGGAATTTTTTGTAATTGTGTCTGATTTAATGTAAGTAGTACTAAGTACAATTGGGGTTTTTTTCTCTCAACAATATGCAGGTCAGACACTTAAATTAGTTTTGTACATGTGTTCATGTGCTTTATCGTTTTCAATGTTTTTTTTCTTGAAGGAAGATAATTCGAATGTTTGAAATGTAATGTTTTTACACAGTTTTCTTAAATGTTTTAAGCATCTCCAATGTTTTAAATAAACAGTGTTTATTTTGTTAATATTTTGTAATTGTGTCTTTTTTATGTCAATAGTACTAAAATAACATTAATAAAATGATATGATAAAATATTTAGGACAAAATTAAAAGGTTTGCAGTAGGTAACTGTTTCCTTGGTTTTTACAGTAATTAACCATTTTCAGACACTATGGAAACATGCTGTAAACTAATTTACGATTGTATACTGTAAATCTCAAATACAGTTACTGTAAAAACCCTTTGAAATGTCTAAAAGTGTATTAAGGTTCAATAGCTGTGGCGTTTTACATACATTTCCCCTATAGTGGAAGTTTTTCCACATTGCATTTTCATTCCCCCTTTTAGAAAACGAGGGTTACATAGTAATTGTTTCATTCTTGATGACACTGGTGATGGAAAAGTTTTTTCTGTTCTTGCAGACATCACAACTTACCTATTCAAGCTGAATCTGCAACTTTAATGTGACATGTAACATGTTGATGACCTTTTGGGCTGTTTGGTGTTTATCATTGCCACAATTATTTGTGAAATTTAAAGGCAAATATTTTATCTATTTCGTCGTTTCTATCAGGACGTCAGTATAAAATAATTTTTTGGAACGAAAAAAAAATGTTTATACAAAATACATTTGTAGAATAATATGCCTTTTATCTTTAAATACTTTTCATACATTAGCTAAGTTAAATAACTAGAAGAATGACTGTCAACAGTAATACTACTTGTGTTGCTCTTTGCTTAATTTAAAATAAAAATGAAATATTTTACAGTTACAAATAGCTCTCTTATATTTAAACTCTTATATTTCAACATCAGAGGCATACACTATTATAGTGTTACAGTTTTGCTCAGTGGCTTTGGTGCATTTCTCACAACACTCTTTACATTTGCACAACAGTTAATGCATTTATCAAAACAATTAGTACAGACTGCAAAACCTAGTTTGTAACCTGCAAAAGCGTGTCATTTGCTTAAATTGGATAGCTCATTCCTCAAAAGCAAGTATCCAGCCTAAACCACGACGAATGAAGTTCTGCACAAGACTTTTGGCCAGCGGAGAAATTAAAATGGTCGTGCCCAACTGAGTCTGGTTCTCTCAAGGTTTTTTTTCTTCACTCCCATCAGGTGAAGTTTTTTTTCCCTCTCCGCTGTCGCCACTGCCTCGCATGGTTCAGGATTGGTAGAGCTACGCATCGATGAATTGGCTCTTCAGTGTTTGAACTCTCAGTAATGATTAAATCACACTGAACTGAGCTAAACTGAACTGAACTGAACTTAAACACTAAAAACTGAACTACACTGTTCCAGTTACTGAACCACACTGTTCAGGTTACTATGACCATTTATGTGAAGCTGCTTTGACACAATCTACATTGTAAAAGCGCTATACAAATAAAGCTGAATTGAATTGAATTGAATATTTAAGATGAAGTGTCCTGACACCATTGTTTATGAAGAAGATAGTCAAATGCCTTTATCACGTTTTCATTATGACACTTTATTCTGTTTTTTTTCCAATGCAAAAAAAATCTGATTTTGTTGACACTTCCTGAAAATGCCCAAGACAGCACTATATACTATTTACACAGCCATTTGAAAACTACAGTAAAGTTAGACATCACTGCATTTATTGAGGTATCCGAGTACAAGACACTGATATGTTTCACATTTTTACTGCATTTGCTCTTTGCAATTATAATTTATTCACAGCATTGTGCAAAAGGATAAATATACACTTCTTTACAACAAACATAAACTTCCTTTGAGTCGAGCTGTGCACAACTGTAAACAATATTGCAGTACATATTAAAACTGAACCTACAGCATACACAGGTCTGTAAATCATTCATGAAATTGTTCAATTTAGAAGACATTTTCAGGATTTATTTATTTATTTTTTTAATGTTTATAATTTTTTGCGTGACAGATTTTGACAACTAGTTCAACATTTGTGGATGTAATGACTCAAGTACTGAAATAAGGACTATTAGTTTTATATGGGATGACTATTCAGCATTTACAAGTTTAGTTAATTTTGACTGACATGACATAAGCGAATTATAATGTTATAAACAGCAGAAACTTGTATGAAAGCAATTGATGCATGTCCAAAAGCATTCGCAATTTGTTGGAAGGAATGAGACACTGCTACTATGATGTGCACAAATGACTAATTGTTTTGAGAAAGGCATTAACTGTTGAGCAAATATAAATAGTGTTGTGAGAAACGCACCAAAGTGACTAAGAAAAACTGTAAATGTGCATTTAATAGAAAAGGGATCTTGTGACAGAGTTTAACTTTTTTAATACACAATCAAAAATTAAACAAATGTGTGTTTTAAATTTCACAAAAAAAAAAAAACATTGATAAATGGGTGGCAACTTAATTACTTTACTGGAGTAATATTATAAATTTATGCAGTTTATGCAATGCTATCTATAGTAAATTTCAGCATAAATATAAACTGATTAGTAATCACAGAAAGTGTAATTACAGAGTTCTACCATAAACATGTAAATAAAATAAAATCACTTTGCATTTATTTGATTTCTAAATAGTTTAAGAATCTTTTGTCTTATTTCCTTGGATTGTACACCATATATGATTGGATTCAAGGCTGGTGGAATAACATGAAGGATTATGGCAGCTAATTTCCTAGTTTCAGCATATACAGGAAAACGATGAAGTAATATTGTAACAGATCCAGAAATCAGCATGATTATATAAACAGTCAAGTGAGTGCTGCAGGTTTTGATGGCTTTGCTGTTTGTCGCTTTGTTTTTACTTTTAAAGCAAATCAGTGCTATTCTGAGGTATGTCAATGCAACACACACTACTGAAGAGGTAAACAAAACAACAGTAAAGGTTAATCCATATACATTATTAACCACTGTATTTTCACAGGATAGTTTAAATAATGAAGGATTGTCACAAATGCTGCCTTGAATCACAGATCTGCAGTGGGAGAGACGCACACTGAGGCCGATCAATATTCCCACCAGCACAGCTGCAACAGCCCAGGCTGCTACCGAAAGTTTAACCACCATATTACTGGTCATTATAGCCGGGTATCGCAGTGGATTGCATATTGCCACATATCTGTCAAAGGCCATAATCATTATCACAGTGTGAGATGCTGTACCGTTCAAATGAGCAAAATAAGCTTGAATAACACACTCCACAAATGTGATATAGCGCTCAGAAGGCTCTATCAATAAATTCCTCAACACAGGTGGCACAAAGTCAGTTGTCCCTAAAATATCATTCAGTGTCAAGTTACAGAAAAGAACATACATAGGCTGATGTAAACATTTGTCTGCTGAAATCAGAACCATCATCCCAATGTTAGATACCATTATAAATGCATAAACCATCAAAAGAAGAATAAATGTAGGAAGGGTTGATTGAGATGTAACTTGCAGTCCCTCCACTAATAGTTTGCTGTACTGGAATGTCTGGTTGTCCATCTTTGACCTAAACAAAACACACAAATAAAGTGGCAGTTCTCAATAATGTGTACACATGTATAAATCTACCATATTTCACCTTGTTCTTTTCATTTTTTTTGTCATTACAATGAATTTTACTATGCGTTTGAAAGTGCTGCCAAGTTTTCTCAAGTAATTTTATACATGAAAAAGAACCTAAATGTGAGCACGTAAAATTAAATCACATTTAAAATTTACAATACCTGTATGATTTTTTTGAAGAGTAGTGCCTAAATGATTTGTGCATCTGTGACTTGACACTCGTCCTTGCGCAGTGTTATTTAATCTGTTTACTTAGTTATCATGACCTTCCTTCTCTGAATATATTTAGTTTGCTTGGCTACTTTATATGCGAATTAAAAAAACAAAAACTTTTTGTCGACGTACCCCAAGAGTCTGATTAGTGTACAACTGAGCATGTTTGATTGTTACAAACAGAGGGCCACAGGAAAAGCTGTGACGTTGCCAAGTAAAAAAAAAAAAAACTCTGAAATTCAAGAGTTCACACTTAGCTCATGATTTATACATAGCTTGTTTGGCATGCTGTCCCGGGAGAGAGCCCTGAGCTCAAGGGATCCTCGAGCCCAGGGCGCTCCCCCTTTTGCAGGGCGAGTGGAGATTGAGCTCAGGTCTATCTCAAACTCCCCCGCTGCTGAGGCCAAGGCGAACTTCCTGAGAGTAAGACATTATAAAAAAGGTTTAGGCTTGTTTTATCTATAATATAGAGCACATTTGGATGGTGGGAGGAAACCGGGGAACCCGGGGGAAACCCACGCGGACACGGGGAGAACATGCAAACTCCACACAGAAATACCAGATGGCTCAGCGAGGACCCAACACCATTGGTATTCTTGCTGTGAGGCAACAGTGCTAGTCACTGGGCCACCGTGCCGCCCATTCTGGATAAAGGAGGAAGAAGGGGAGGAGGGGGGTTTCTTCAAGACGAAGATAGTTGTAGAAAGGAAATGAGGATATATATATAGTGATTTGGGATCCTTCGATTGGAGGATCATAATTAGTTAATGTGGACCAGCTGGGTAAATCATGAGCACATGCTCCTCTCGAAATTAGTTTAAAACTAAACTTCACTTCAAGAGTTCACACTTAGCTCATGATTTATACATAGCTTGTTTGGCATGCTGTCCCGGGAGAGAGCCCTGAGCTCAAGGGATCCTCAAGCCCAGGGCGCTCCCCCTTTTGCAGGGCGAGTGGAGATTGAGCTCAGGTCTATCTCAAACTCCCCAAAAAGCCAATGATAAGCGCTCGGGACAGCAGCCGCGTGTTTACACAGGAACTCCCCAAAGTGCAAAGAAAAAGTGCTATATCCGGCTGCTGGATATATATATTTGAAGAACTGATAAAAAGTGGGGGAAAGCTTTCTAGGGAGTGTGTGAAGGGCAGGGTGGGTTTGGTGGCTAAGAAATAAAGTTAGGAAGTCTAAGGGAGTCTGAGTGGCTTAGAGGGTGGGTGGAGACTTGTGTGTAAATTGGGGCTTAAATGGGCCCTCTACGGGAGTCAGTGCTTAAGAGAAGGTTTGTGAGGAGATGTAATAAAGAAGGGTGTGGAGCTGGCTGTTTAAGAGGAGGGAAGAGATTTGGTAGCGGAAGCATAAAAGGCTGTTGGGGGTAAACAAAGGAGAGAAGCTGGAGGAAACAATGCTATATAAATTACTGTATGGAATATACAACTGCTATGCAGCAGAAGCACTCAATGCTGGCATGTTGCTAGAAACTGGCAGGGAGAAAGAGAGGGGAAGGAAGCTGGTATTAACACAGATTTAATATATTAACATGAAACATTAGGGAAATACTATGCATAATAAAATGCAGTAAGCAGCAGAAGCACTTAGCGCTGGCAGAAGAAAGGAGCTGTAATTAACAAAAATATGCTATACAATTACTATGCATAATGAGCAAAATAATCAATAAGAGAGATACTAATGCAGCGGGAGCCCACAACGCTGGTAAGGGGAGAGAAAAAGGGGGGTGCTGTTGAAGTAACAAGGTTACTATGCAAAATACAGAACATGAAATGCTAATGAACTACTATGCAGAATAAACATGTTAATGCCGATACTGGTGAATAACTATAAAGAATAAATAAACTGATGCAGCGGAAGCACTCGACACTGGCAGGGGAAACTGGAAGGTGAAGGCGATAGGTGAGGCTCTTACGAGAGCCAAAACTCCTATTGACTCCGCGGGAGTCAGAGCTTGGGGTGATGTTAATGTGGAGGAAGGAGGTTGGATGAGAGTCAAACACAATGAGTAAAGGGTTGGTAGAAAACAGTAAGGCACTCAATTCTGGCAAGTGGAAAGGGGAGAGCTGCTGGGAGTAACGTGATTATTATCCAGAAATACACAATAAAATACATGAAATACAAATGGACTACTATGCAGAATGAACACAATGTAGACATTTTATCAATAACTATATGGAAAACAAATAAACTGGTGCAGTGGAAGCACTCCACACTGGAATGGGAAAAGAAATGGGCGAGGTGGCTGAAGTAACAGATATACTATAAAATTTTTATGCAAATGATACAATACAAGATATAACAGTAAACCATTATGCAGAATAAATTAATTGGAGCTGCAAAGGTGCTTGATGCTGCAGGGCAGGAAAAAGGGGGGAGAGCAGCTGTAAGAAACACAAATATCCAACAATTATTATACAGAATATACAAATTATGCAATAAGATACTAAAGCAGAGGGAGCATACAACGCTGACAGGGGGGAAAGAAAAAGGGGAGAGCTGTTGGAGGTAACGAGATTACTATGCAAAATACAGAATATGATAACATGTAATGCTAATGAACTACTATACAGATTAAACAAAATGTAGATACTGATGAATGACAATACAGAATAAATAAAATGATGCAGCATAAGCACTCATTTCTGGCAGTGGAAACAGGAAGGTGAGGGTGATAGGGGAGGCTCTTGCGAGAGCCGAAGCTCGTGTTGACCCCTGTGGGGGTCTGAGCTTAGGGTGATGCTAAGATGGAGCAAAGAGGTTAGTTGAGAGTCAAGGCAAGGAGTTAAGAGCTAAGAGTTAAGAGGAAACAGCAGAAGCGCTTATCGCTGGCAGGGGATACAGAAAGGAGAGGTTGATAGGTGAGGTTCTTACGAGAGCCACAGCTTGCGTTGACCCCTGCATGAGTCTGAGCTTAGGGTGATGCAGATAGAGCAAGGAGGTTATGGGAGGGCCAAAGGCAAGGAGTGAAGAGCTAGGAGGAAACAGCGGAAGTACTCAACGCTGGCAGGGATAACAGAAAAGAGAGGGTGAAAGGGGAGGCTCTTGGGAGAGCCGAAACTTGTGTTGACCCCTACAGGAGTCTGAGCTTGAAGCAGATTGAGCAAGGTGGTAACAAGAGAGCCAAAGGCGAGGGGTAAAGAGCTAGGAGGGAACAGTGGAAGCATTCAACACTGGCAGTAGGAACAGAAAGGAGAGGGTGAAAGGTGAGGCTCTTGCGAGAGCCGAAAACTCGTGTTGACCCTTGCGAGAGTCTGAGTTTGGGTGATGCAGATGGAGCAAGGAGGTTACTAGAGAGCCAAAGGCAAGGGGTAAAGAGCTAGGAGGGAACAGCGGAATTACTCAACGCTGGCAGGGGGAACAGAAAGGAGAGGGTAATAGGGTAGGCTCTTGTCAGAGCCAAAGCTCATGTTGACCCCTGCGAAATCTGAGCTTAGGGTGATGCTGATGTAGCAAGGAGATTACATGAGTCAAAGGCAGGGAGTAAAGAACTGGGAGGAAACAGCAGAGGAACTCAATGCTGGCAGGGGGCACAGAAAGGAGAGGGTGATAGGGTAGGCTCTTGTCAGAGCAAAAGCTCATGTTGTCCCCTGCGAAATTTGGGCTTAGGGTAATGCTGATGTAGCAAGGAGATTACATGAGAGTCAAAGGCAGGGAGTAAAGAACTAGGAGGAAACAGCAGAGAAACTCAATGCTGGCAGGGGGAACAGAAAGAGGGTCATGTTAAGCTCTGCGAGAGCTGAGGCTCAAATTTACTCCAGCGGGAGTCTGAGCCGTGAGGGGGTTTGCTAGGGATGGACAGATAGATGGCTTTGGCTTGAGAATAAAGGGGTGGCAAAGATTGGGCTGAGAGGTTTGAAAGAAACAACTTGGGTTCTTTGAGATGAAAGGACTAAGGCGAATGTAGGATTTGAAAGGCTTCAGAGAACCAATGACCGAGGGTCTGGATCTGGTGCTGGGAAAGCCTTTTAATAATGCCAATTCTGAATGAATGGCTGGAGATTGGTTCGGGAGGAAATCCTGAGAGGTGGACAACTTTGAGGTGTTTCTGGAACCAGAGATGTGATACTGGACGATTAGCGTCATCAGTAAAAAGGGGGGCTAGGGGGGTTGTTTCTTAATCCTCGAGTGTAGGTATACTAGAGAGTTTGGACTGGGTGGGTGAGGGCAGGAATGTTAAAGATGTAAATGAAATGTTCTTGTCAATAGATTTATCTTACTTTGCAGGACGAGGAAACCCTTTCTTTCCTCATCACACAAATTTAGATCTGCTATGGTGGGTTGGAGTGAGGGTTGAGTTTGAATGTTTCATGCTGTGATGTGTGACTGAAGGGTCTGAAGGCTACTACTTTAATGGTAAGTGATATGGAGTTTGGTGGAGGTTATAATGGGGGTGGCTTAAGGTAACGTCATTTGTGGAAAGGGATGGACAGGCGTTGAGTTGGGTCCACTTCTGTAGCCAGTGACCAAAGTTTCTGGAAAGAAAATGAGAGAGAGTCAGTGATTTGGTTTAGCAACCTGGCACATATTATGCAGACATGATAAATTGACTAATGTCAAATAAGACATCTTAAAAGTAGCATTAAAGCTTAGAGAGTAGGAATGCCTTTGTCTATGCATTATATTGTTTCTTCCTCAACACAATGAATGAGAATCCTAGAGGTGGACCATTCATCTCCCCATAGTATGGCGGCAGCGACTATTGGGTACAGTTTGAAGAAAGCTGGTGAACAATGGTTTCTAGAGTGGAAATAGATTGAGGGGGCCATGTGGTGGCAACCAGTGGCCTCTGAGTACCCTTGAAACCCAACTGATGGGGTAGCACCAGTAAATAGACAAATATCTAATGGGGGTGCGAACAATCTCTGCAGAAGGAACAGCCGTTCCATAGCTTAAGGAAGCAATCCATAAGCGGAGTTCATTGTGGGTGGGTTTTGAGAGAGAAATTGTTCCTTTTAAATCGTGACTTGTGGTAGGGAGCTGGAGTAGGCAAGTTTGAGGTAAATTTGCATTGTGAATTTTAGGTGGCTGAGGATAGATAACAGTATGTGTTTAACTCAAGTCTCTTTCTTATAATACAAGAGAAAGAGAAATTATTTAGCCAGTTTTCTCTTTAGGAAGAGAAGCTCGGAATTTGAGCAAATTGAAGTTGATGCCTAGAAATTCAATACATGTATTGGGTCCAGCCTTCTGCGAGCAGAATACCTAGATTGGCGAAAACCTTTTGGTGATCTCTAGGTGTTTGGCTGGAGGCAATGTGGGGGGGTGATTAGAATATCATCTAAAGTTGGATAAGGTGGGGGATTCTGCGATTGTTAGAAAGAAGCCAGTGATGGAGAATTTGCGAGTTGCACTGCTTATGGGACAAATGCGTGAAACCTTGAGTGGTGGGGCAGAGAATGGTCAAACATAAAGTGGTTGTCGATCTCTTTTTAAATAAGATGATCCACAATTTCTGGTTCAATCAGCAAAAGCTGACTGAATATTAGGATAGGAAGGGAGAGCTGAGGTGCCCGGGTGGAATCCATAGGTTAGACCTGAAATGAGAAAATCAGAAAAAATTAGTGGAGAGAACGCAGTTCTCTAGCGAGGTGAGGAATCTACAGACAGATAGTGTTTTGGTAGACGTTCATTCCCCCCAGGATAGTGGAGGGCCAAGGATATTGAGCATGGCTTGGCTGGTGATCTTAAAAATACCTCTTTAAAGTGGAGTAGGTGAAGTGATAAGTTTAAATTCCTTTGACATATTACGATCGGACTTCTATGATCGATGTGATGCTTATTGTCATTAGGTGGGTAATTTTATTTTAGAAGTTAAATAGCTATTGGAAGTGGCAGGGTTTGTTTACTTATATGTATGTTTATTTATTTATGTTAGTTATTTGTTTAATTTATTTATTTATTTAATTTCTAAAATGATGTTGTCATTTAATTTGCACTTGAACATACTTATTAAACTGTGTCAATTAAATGTTTACTATGGGCTTTACTTTAATCTGATTGATTAAATAACATTACATTTGGAATCTTAATATGAATGAATTCAGAAGCATAATTGGCCCAATTCATTCACAAAGTCTTTGCAACCAAGTCTGTTCATAACTATCGTAAGAGAGGGCGGGACCATCTCATGTTCTGACAGCTCTTGGATGGTGACACTTCTCTTTTCAGCTATTGGCTCAATGAAGTGTCAATCAAAAGGTCGGCAGCCATTTTGTTAGACTATAATACAAGTGTTTTTGTCTGAAAGATACTACTTTACTGAAAGCATTCCAGCAACAAGTTTGGATGACAGCAGTGTATCCATGTATGTTTATCAACATGTAAACATGTTGTGGACTAAAGTTTTTTTGGATTGGATTGCTTTGATCCTTGCTGTGAAATCAGCCAGGCTGTTAAAATGTTATGGACCTGTGAACAGACGGCAAGCTTGAAAGGTGGGTTTATTTGGTTTGTTATAATCTCTGCTTGTTTACAGATTATAGGAGGACGTTAAGTCCATAGTGTTTGTGTCTTTAAAATGGTTTAAATTATTTTTTATTTATGAAAGTCTTGCTTTTCTAAAGACATAAGAAATGTTTAATCTTGTTGGAGAGTAGTTTCTCCTTAAAGAGAGAAGTTTCCCCTTAAAGCATACTACGTTACCACAGGTGGACCGCTAAGAGCGGTGAGAGTTTGGCTTCATTGCAGTGGCTGAAGTCTCAGGGAGAGCAGGGCTCTGGTTGCAGTTGTAGATATTGTTGGTTATTTCCATATTGACGGGCTAAAAAGTGCAATGCTGTAAAAGCTTTTAGAGCTAAAGCTTTTTAGAAGTAGGAAGCTTTCTTCAAGACGAAGATAGTTGTAGAAAGGAAATGAGGATATATATATAGTGATTTGGGATCCTTCGATTGGAGGATCATAATTAGTTAATGTGGACCAGCTGGGTAAATCATGAGCACATGCTCCTCTCGAAATTAGTTTAAAACTAAACTTCACTTCAAGATATGGTGCAAAAAGTGACACTTTTGAATAAAAAAATGGTATTACATTTAGATAAGCTCAACTTTACCTCTTTTAACAGCTTTGTTTTTGTTATAAAATCCAGGTGAAAATGTTTTGTTAAGAGTATGGGCCCTATCATACACCCGGCGCAATGTGGCGCAAGGCGCGACGCAATTGTTATTTGCTACTTTCAGCTTGTCGCAAGAGCCGTTTTGAGGTGTTGGGCCACGCTGTTTAAATAGCAAATGCATTTATGTGCACATATGTGCGCCCATAGGCGTTCTGGTCTAAAAAAGCAGGCGTGTTTTGGCGGGCTGCTGGCGCGTTGCTATTTTGAGAAACTATAATAGTCTGTTCTTTAGACCAGAATAAAGCTGGTCTATTGTCTGGCTCAGAGTGCACCTGGCTTACACACTGTTTAATAGACCCAAGATGTAGAGCAATACACAAATATCTTTGCAAATGAAAAAGATATAAAATATTAAGGATATATATAGGATAGGATTTAATAAGGATTTATATAGGATAGAAATATAAAGCAATAAAATATTACAAAATATATCATTTTCTAGCCTGCATAAATTTAAAAACCACTGCCTTCATACTTTCTTCATCTCGGGAGGCTTTTTCAGTTCATTCAGTTTGCTTTTGTATAATGTTATCATTATTGGCAGTATTATTTATTATATCCATATTTATATTTGTTTTATTAAAGACAAGCTTAGATTTGTCCACCTGTCAGGTTTTAGACCATATGGGGCACAGCATGTGTTTTAGGATATTTTTTAACACACTTCGTAATTATTGTTAATTTATTTGTTTGCTGGAAATTAGAACTGAATTTAGAAATAGTTTTGAAACAAATCTTTGCGCTTAACAAATGAAATTAATTATTTCTAGGCTAATTGATGTCTGTGCGTACAAGCTTTCCCTATCTACGAGAGAGAAAGTGAAACTAGATTATGAGATGCCTTGGTAGATGCTCTGTTTAACTGTTTTCTTGCTAGTGAAATGCTCAGTTTTTTCCACCTACACAAACTTTACGTCATGTAAATAGCAAATGCGCTTATGGCGCGACGCAACTGGCTCTTAAAGGGAATGGGAGATGAGACTCTGATTGGTTTATTCTCAAAACACACCTATAACTCATTATGAAAATAAACCCTTTTAGACCATGCGCCATGGCGCAAAGTGCATTTTTCTGTCCTTATATTAGCAAAAGTGGATTCTGACACGCCCTGAAGCGTTTGCACCCTGCACATTGTGCATGGATCGTCAAAATAGAGCCCTATGTGTGCAACAAGGGGATGGAAGATCAGTATGCTCACCAAGCAAAGAGAGGACATTAAAATGCTCCATTAGAGAAAAAAAACACACAGGGAGAGATTGAGAGCTCTGTATGTGTTGTACAGAATACATATTTACATCAGAGCTTCATCAGGGCTGTTTCAGTGGCAGTGAAAATTAATCAACAGGTTTGGCTTTTTTCAATCGCTGTGAGGATGGTGATGTGACCTTAAACAACTGAAAGAATCACGATGCAATCTATGGTGACGTGGTGTGACCAAGGATGACAAGTAACTGTTTGTTTTTGCTGAAGTGGGTCGGCAAAAAAGTTTTTTTTTTTTTTTTTTTCTTTGAATCTGACCTATTTTATGTTTTCTATGTTAGAAATCATGAGTCGGAGCAAGCTAGCAGAAAGTTGTCTCTGAGTCTTGTGCATCTGACAGATTTGTTTTGAATGAATGTTGTGGTGTCAGAATGCATGGTACCTGGAGCTGAGTGACTGTCTGAATGAGCTTTTGATGAGAGACACCTTTTGGGGAACAAATGTTTTGTTGGGTGAGCTTTCTTGTCTTTGAACATGGCTGATCCAGTATTGATGTCCGATTGGACTTAAGCAGCAAAAAACGGGTTAACAGGTTCTTCAGTCTTGGGACAAACTTCATAATGGCACTACTGAGACAGTGTATCAGCCTTTTTGTTCCTGTAATGGAGACAATTGGTCTCTGTGAAACAGAGGCATGCAAAAAAGAGTGCCCATGAAACTTTCCTGATTTTAATTCTTTGGGTAGAGGGGAAGTTTTCCAGTTGCTTGGGGTCTTTTTAAACAAGGAATTGAGGTTTAGCAACCATCAGTCAATGTCTACACTTTTTAAATGCTGCATTCATGAGCCCCTTTCACACAGTGATACCAGTAAATATCCGGAAAATTTCCGGAACGACTTTACCGGTATATTCAAAAAAGCGCTGTTCCCACAGGCGAGGACGTTACGGAAATTTTCCGGAAAAGAGCATTCACACATCCATTCCAAAATACCGGTAAATTCTGACATCATTCACCACAAATGAGCTTTAAACGGCTGCGCTTGTATTTGTAAACATTTGACTAAATTACAAACTCTGTGGATGATCAATATTGTGAACAACTTTCGCAGGATCACTTTCGCATGTCGAGATGTTCATAATATGTGCGTGTGCAGGCGCTCATAGGCTGTATCACAGGGACACGCAAAGCTTGAAGGTAAACAAACAACGGCTTATCATAAGCATCTCATCGATGATTATTTACACAGTTGGCATTAAGAAGAACATATAAACGTGATCTGACTAACTTCTAGCAGCTAAATGTGTCTGGAAAAATATTCAAAGGCTTTTATCCTCACAAACCGCGCGGACGTAAATGTGTCTGACTGTTGTGATTGGCTAAAGCAGACGTCTCACGTCAGCACGTTCTAGACGTGCACACGCTTATTACGGGAATCTTCCTTCTGCATTCACACAGCGCAGCATTCCGGCAAATTGCCGGTAATGTTACAACTTCTCTTTCCGGAAAATAGGCAGAACGAATTTACAGGTATTTTCAAAAAGGACCTGTTCACACATACAACCTTTCCGGAAAATTGAAAGGTCTGTATGTGTGAAAGGGGCTATGGTTAGCAGCTCACAGTTGCCCTCATCATATTTCTGTTTGACAGTTTTATTTAGTAGTAAACAGATAGTTTAAGTGGTGAACCTTGCAGTTGTGAGAGAATTACTTCAATCCAGTGTTGGAAGCTCAGTTCCCACAACAAAGGGTCTTTCAGCATCTGGATGATAAAGGATTTAGAATTGTGAGAAACTATATTTGAGCACCAATTGATTTAAAGCACACTGACGAAGTGCATAAAACCAATTCTCAATCAACATCTACATTTTGGATAATTCTAAATTCTAAATCAACATCTATATTTTGCATAATCATAATAGGAGATAGAGTACATGGTTACCATTGTCATAGATCAGAACTATAGTTCAGCATATTATTTTTTCAAGAGTTCACACTCAGTGGAGGAGTCAGGTGCCTGGCCCATTACGGTGTTTGCATGCCCACTTGGTTCATAGTTCATATGTTAATGTCACCAGGTCTCCCCATTGGGCAGTAGGTGGCCTCCGCAGCGTCCTGCCCTATTGGCACTACACTTTAAAATTCCTAGAACTTATCAAGGTGTATTTTTTATGACTTCCCAAAAAAATCAAAAACCGTCTTTAAGCGCTTCACATGTAAGCAAGATAAGTTAGGGCCAGGAGGCACGTTGGAGGTCTGCGTCTCTGGTGATGATGGTGCACTTACGCAGTTAGACTGGAAAACCTCTCACCAGTGATGTAGTAAGGTTCAATTGCTATGGCATTTTACATACATTTCCCCTATAGTGGAAGTTTTTCCACATAGCATTTTCATTCCCCCTCTAAGAGAACGAGGGTTACGTAGTAAACGTTTCATTCTTGATGACACTGGTGATGGAAAAGTTCTTTCTGTTCTTGCAGACATCACAACTTACCTATTCAAGCTGAATCTGCAACTTTAATGTAACATGTAGCATGTTGACGACCTGTTTGGCTGTTTGGTGTTCATCAATGCCACAATTATTTATAATATTTAATGACAAATATTTAATCCATTTAGTTTTTTTTTTTCAGGACTTTCTTGGACCAAAACGAAAATGTGTGTACAAAATACATTTGTAGAATAATATGGTTTTTATCTTTAAATATGCAATACTTTTCATACAATAGCAAAGTTAAGTAACTAGAAGAATGACAAGTAACAGTAATACTAATTGTGTTACTCTTTGTATAACTTATATTATAATAAAAATTAAAATAATAAAACAAATAACAGATGGCAATATCAATCAGCAGGAACTAAAAAAATAGAACAGTAAAAATAATTGGAAGCAGAGAACGCTTTAACATTGTTGTTACAAAAAGTTGTACATGCTCTTATATTTAAACAGAGGCATACACTATTATAGTGTTAATTGCACATTTAATAGTGATCTTAAAAAGTGGTCTTACTTGTGACACTATTCTCCTTTTTAAATAAACAAACAAAATTAAATAAATGTGCAAATACATTGATAAATAGGAGGCAACTTAATTATTTTACTGAAGTAATATTAGAAATTTACACTGTATATGCAATACTAACTATAGTACATTTCAGTATATTTACTGCATAAATATAAACTGATTAGTAATCACAGAAAGTGTAATTACAGAGATCTACCATAAACATGCAAATATATTAAAATCACTTTGCATTTACTTGATTTCTAAATAGTTTAAGAATCTTTTGTCTTATTTCCTTGGACTGAATACCATATATGATTGGATTCAAGCCTGGTGGAATAACATGAAATATTATACCAGCTAATTTCCTAGTTTCAGCGTATGTAACAAAACGATGAAGGAAAATTGTAACAGATCCAGAAATCAGCATGATTATATAAACAGTCAAGTGAGTGCTGCAGGTCTTTACAGCTTTGCTGTTTGTTGCTTTGTTTTTACTTTTAAAGCATACCATTGCTATTTTGAGGTATGTCAATGCAACACACACTATTGAAGAGGTAAACAAAACAACAGTAAAAGTCAATCCATATACATTATTAACCACTGTATTTTCACAGGATAGTTTGAATAATGAGGCATTATCACAAACGTTGCCTTGAATCACAGATCTGCAGTGGGATAGACGCACACTGAGGCCGATCAATATTCCCACCAGCACAGCTGCAACACCCCAGGCTGCTATCGAAAGTTTAACCACCATATTACTGGTCATTATAGCTGGGTATCGCAGTGGATTGCATATTGCCACATATCTGTCAAAGGCCATAATCATTATCACAGTGTGAGATGCTGTACCGTTCAAATGTGTAAAATAAGCTTGAATAGCGCACTCCACAAATGTGATATAGCACTTAGATGGGTCTTTCAATAAGTTCTTCAGTACATGCGGCATAAAGACAGTTGTCCCTAAAACATCATTGAGTGTCAAGTTACAGAAAAGAACATACATAGGCTGGTGTAAACATTTGTCTGCTGAAATCTGAATCATCATCCCAATGTTAGATACCATTATAAAAACATAAACTATCAAAAGAAGAATAAATGTAGGAAGGGTTGATTGAGATGTAACTTGCAGTCCCTCCACTAATAGTATGCTGTACTGGAATGTCTGGTTGTCCATCTTTGACCTAACAAAACACACATATAAAGAGACAATTCTAAATAATTTGTACAAATGTATACATCTACCATATTATTGTATTTTTTGTTGCTTGAAACATTTTTACCATGCCTTTAAATCGTGCTGCCAAGTTTACCCAAATTATTTTATATTTTTAGCAAAAGAACCTACAAAAATTGAAGAAATTAACTTTATGAAATCAACTTTAAGAAATGAAATGACATTTAAAAGATGCAATACCTGATATGACTTTTCTGAATATAGGATTGGTTCCTCTGTGACTTTACACCTGTTCTTGATCAGTGTTTTTTTTTTTCTGTTTTAGGTATTATGATCTTCTTGTCTCTGAATATATTTAGTTTGCATGGCTACTTTATATGCAAATAAAAAACTTGTTGACATTCCCCATGAGTCTAATTAGTGTACTACTTAGCATGTTTGCTTTATCCAACCAGAGGGCCACAAAAAAGTTGTGATGTTGCCAAGTGAAAAAAGAAAAACATGAAAAATTCAAGATAGGATGCAATAAGTAGCTTGTTACAAAATGATAGGGATTAGAATCAAACTATTACATTTTAAAATTCTGTAACATTATAAAAAATACATGCTGAGTGACTGATAGTTTAAACATCCATTTTTAGACTTAAAAAAAAAATTCGAGACTGCTGCTGCTTTTAACATGGCAATAGTTATCATGTAAAATGTTATTCAAACTCACATTGGTAGCATTTAACACTGAAAAAAAGCACATAATCAGTACCTAAGGTTATCGTTGTCCAGTAGTTAATGCAGTTGTTCAGCCGCAAGAATAAGGCCTTATCATACACCCGGCGATCCAATTCACCAGTCAATAACAGGCCAAGAAGAAACTAAAGTGAAAGGCAATACTATTTGAATCCAGCAGGAGGCACACGGCTGTCCAACCTGGCAGTCAATAATGAGAACACAAGGCCGAAGTGAGAGCACCCAGGCGGGATGCAAGGCGACCAGAAAGGGAACGAGAAGATTGCTGGTGGGCGGTATAGAGAGACTAAAGCAGGAAGTGTGAAGGGATGCGTCGGCCACGACTGATAGCAGATAGCAGCAGGAGCGATCTGATGAAAGGAGAAAAAAGGAAAAAGGTCCAAACCAAACAAATCAAAATTAAAACTAGCACTGGAGTCTAAATGGTAACGAGACTGGACAGGACAAGATCTAAGGGACCACCAGGTGAGGTAAACATACACAAACGATCAGGTACAAGACAATGAGAATGAGAAGAATAAATAGGGAGACTAATAAGGATAATAATGAAATGATAATGATCTAATGAGTTAACTGACGAGTGGGTGGAGTGAGGCAGCGGAGCACATGGTGAGATGTTGAAACAATGCCATGTGCACCTAGAAAACACACACAAATGACTGACAACAACATGCAGGTGACAGACCATGACAGTACCCCTCGCCTAGGAGCGCCACCTGGCGCCTCAGGGGAGGGGCTTACCCAGTCGCTGGTGAAGGTCCACGACCAACGTCCAATCCAGAACATGCCGAGCCGGAATCCAACTCCTCTCGTCAGGACCATAACTTGAACTTGAACAATTAACTTAAACAATGAACTTGAACAATGAACTTGGGTGTCAAATTACGTGAGGCCATCCTGAGAGGAAAGTCCTTGGTGGATAACCATACCTTCTGACCACAAACATATCGAGAAGGGGAAGTCCGATGACAGTGAGCTGCTGCTTTGGTTCATCTAAAAGTCTGGGCCAAGACCTCCTCAGCCCTCATCCAGGTATGACGGCACCGTCGGACATTGTGGGCATACTCCACCCACGAGAGCTGTTGGCTCCAGGAACTAGGATTCTGGAAGGTCAGGGAGCGGAGGGCTCTTTTGAGTTACTGGTTGGCTCGCTCACACTGCCTGTTGGTCTGAGGATGAAGGCCAGAAACGAAGTCCAGGGCCAGGTGTGACCAAGGACTAGAGGGGATGGGCAAAGGCTGGAGCAGACCAACGGGTGCTTTGTTAGATGTCTTGTTCTGTACACATGTCAAACAAGCCAACACAAACTGCCTGACATCCGGCCCCAGAGAATAAATATCGCTGGTGAATGGCAGCCAGTGATCTCCAAACTCCTGGGTGACAATCCAACCTCATGGCCTCATGGATTCATGGCCCCACTGGAGAACCTTGGAACGCAGCACATCCGGCACAAACAACGACCCTCCAGACACCCCTCTGGTAACTCAATCCCTCGTCCGGCCTTTATTACCCGCTGCTCAATGCCCCAGGATAGGGACCAAACCACCACTACCTCAGGGAGGACGGACTCAACCGGGGTCTCCCCACTGGGGATCTCGAACAGCCAAGAGAGGGCATCAGACTTGATATTCTTGGACCCTGGCCGGTATGAGAGGATGAAGTTAAACCGACCAAAAAGAGTGCCCAGTGAGCCTGGCGTGCGCTCAATCTCTTGGCCGAACGGATATACTCAAGGATCTTATGGTCCGTCCAGAAGGGGTATGCTGCTCCCTCCAGCCAGTGACGCCACTCACCCAAAGCCAGCCTGACTGCTAACAGCTCCCTGTTACCAATGTCGGAATTGTGTCTGCTGGGCTCAGGCGATGAGAGAAAAAGGTACAAGGATGCACCTTCCCATCTTTGGATAGCGCTGGGACAGGACCGCACCTACCCCAACATCAGAGGCATCTACCTCAACAATAAATTGTTGTTCAATAGAAATAATAGGAGCAGAGGTGAAACGGGACTTAAGGGCACCAAAGGCCTCCTGAGCTTGTGTTTTCCACTTGAGTAATAACTTGGTGGAGGTGAGAGCCGTTAAGGGTGCAGCAATGTGACTGAAGTTCCTGATGAAACACCTATAAAAATTGGCAAAACCCAGGAAACGCTGCAGAGCCTTGTGGGTTTTGGGGACTGGCCATTCGGCAATGGCTCTTACCTTATTAGGATCAGCTCGGATTCCCTTAGCCGAGATGACATACCCAAGGAACGCAACCGACCTAGTGTGGAACTCTCACTTCTCTGCCTTAACAGAGTTGATTCTCTAGTAGCCGTTGGAGGACCTGACACATATGCTGAGTGTGTTCCTGTAAAGAGGATGAGTAAATAGGGAGAATAATAAGGATAAGACTAGAGACAGGTGCAAATAATGAAATGATAATGATCTAATGAGTTAACTGACGAGTGGGTGGAGTGAGGCAGCAGAGCACAAGGGCAAGCTGTCAAAACAATGCCATCTGCACCAAGAAAACAAACACAAATGACTGTGACAACAACATGCAGGTGACAGACCATGACATGCCCATAGGCGTTCTGATCTAAAAAGGATGGCGCGTTGCTATTTTGAGAAACTATTAAAGATTTTTCAATAGACCAAAACAAAGCCGGTCTATAGTCTAGCGCAAAGTCGCGCCTCGCTTACACACTGCTGAAAACACACAAGATGTAGAGCAATACGCAAATATCTTTACATATGAAAAATAATTAAAATATTAAGCATATATATATAGGATATAATAAGGACATATATAGGATATAAATATAAAGAATTAAAATATTACAAAACATATTATTTTCTAGCCTACATAAATATGAAAAAACACTGCTTTCATGCCTTCTTCATCTCAGGAGGCTTTTTCAGTTCATTCATTTTGCTTTTGTATAATGTTATTATTATTAGCAGCATTATTTATTATATCCATATTTATATTTGTTTTTATTAAAAACAAGCTTAGATTTGTCCACCTGCAGGTTTTAGACCATATGGGCCACAGCATGTTTATTGGTCATTTATTTGTTTCCTGGAAATTAGAACTGAATTTTGAAATAGTTTTTAAAACAAACATTTGCTCTTAACAAATGAAATTAATTATTTATAGGCTGATTGATGTCTGTGCGTACAAGGTTTCCCTGTCCACGAGAGCGAAAGTGAAAGTTAATAATTTATCTCTCATTCTCGCTCTGCAGATGCTCTGTTAACTGTTTTCTTGCTAGTGAAATGCTTAATTTTTCCACTTCCACTTACTTTACGTCATGTAAATAGCAAATGTGCCATGGCGCGACGCAACTGCCTCTTAAAGGGATTGGGAGATGAGAATCTGATTGGTTTATTCTCAAAACACACATACAGTATAACTCATTAAAAAAATAAACTTTTAGACCATGTGCCACAGCGAAAAGCGGATTTTTCCGTCCTTATATTAGCAAAATCAGATTCCGACACGCCCCCCTGATTGCGTTTGCGCCCCGCGCTTTGCGCATTGATTGTCAAAATAGAGCCCATAGAAACTCTTTTGAAAATAGAAATTTCAGTTGATGGTTTAAACAAAAACTCCTTTAACGTGTAAAATATTGATTTTGTCACATGGCGTCATGGGTTGTTAGGACACAGTGTTTAGCAACTTGCATTTACGTGGAGTCATCAGAGAAGGGGCCAGGTGAAAAAGTGTTTCAATTTTGAACTGCAATACCTTATTCAACCACTGGGTATCGATCTTACATATTGCAACTTTTAAGGAAAGCAATGTGGAAGTATGTTTTGATATTTTTGTTTTTCAAAAAATAAGATTAATAAGATAAGGCTTTAATTTGTAATGCAATACTTTTAAAGTAAAATTACTTAACACACGTATCACCAGTTTGAACACAGCTTAAAGCAAGTGGCTGGTGTTGGACCATCAGGTTATACACTAATTACTGTATGTACCTTTCTAGTGTTTGACCATATAGCCAATCTCAGGCATGTCTTGTCACGGTTGCACGGTTTGTGCGCTTTCCGGATTGTCTGTTTGGTCACGTGGGTTTGTTTTGTTTTGGTTGTCCATGTGTATTTATTATGGTCACGTGCTATGATGGTACTCAGTTGTTTTGATTAGCTCGCCAGCTGAGGCTTATTATCATGCCTATATCTGGGCGACGCTTCTATGTTTCTTTCAGTTCGTTGTGTTTGCTCATTGTGTTTGTCTCTGCTCAGAACTGTGAGGAGTGGCTCCCGGACCCGATCAGTCTGTCTGTTTCCAGTGCACTTCAGCCCTTTACTCCTAGTGAACCCACACTATTTCCATGTCCTATCTGGCTTATTCTGACTGTGTCAAATAAACTTTTACTTGCATTTTGGATCCTACTCTGAATCTTTATTACTGTGACATGTCTGTTGAAATTTACGTCTAGAGTTTTGAAGTCCCCCGTGTCAGTTTTCTTACTGGTTTTGTGAGAATATTCATACTGATTTGTGCAACACCAGAGGTTTCTGGTGGTGGTGTGTTGTTTTATGTGAATACATGCCCAAAGGGAACTAACACAGCAAAATCCTCTCAGTAAAATTTACTCAGTTTAGAAAATATTTGCTCCCTCTCTGAATTGAGTTAATGTTACTCAGGTTATTGAGACAATAAAAAGATTAATTAGGTGATGATTGACTGACGAAGAACACCTGCTGTTATTAAGCAGAAACAGAAGAGAAACACAAAACTACTGTACTACTGACTTCAGTCACAGCCTTAAATGTAATACATCGAATTTCTCAAAATCTCAGCAGAAGATCAACTCGATCAATAAGCAACTCCACAAACAGCAGCTTTACTTATTACTAACCTGTGTGCCTTATTACAAAGAGGGACCAAATACTTTCTGAACTGAGTAAATTTTACTCAGAGGAAATTGCTGTGTACATCTTTATGAATGTTTCTGTGGCATTTTATTTTTAAATATTCATGTTTTTGTACAATCCCATATTTATCTTTTTGTAAATCCTGTAACCTCTATAACAATGTGAACCTTCATTTTATATATATATATATATATATATATATATATATATATATATATATATATATATATATATATATATATATATATATATATATATTTATATGTTTTTTTTTTTTTACTTTAAAACACTCCATAAAACACTACATTTGTAGCAGTTATACATTTATTGAGTGAAAGGGATCAAAGGTATATTTAAAATGCACTTCAACATTAATCTGGTACTGTGTTCACATCTGTATTTTGAACGTTTTTTCATTTTTCTGATCCTAAAAATACAGGAAAATACAAAGCAGCAATATGAAATCCAATATTGTTAAACAATTCCCAATACAAATACAGAAAAAAATGTTTCAAGTTTGTGATACGTTAGTTTAAGCACATCAACAGTTAATTGTGAACCTGTCTTAAAGAACATATTACAATGCTATCCATTTCAAAGTTTTATTTTCAAACATCTTTCACAGCTCTACGCTTTTTAAAGCTCAACACCTGTATCAGAACATGTCTAACTTCAGAGCTCTGTACGCCATAAATGATTGGATTCAAAATGCTTGGAATGATATGAAACAGCAGGGAAGCAATTTTCCTGTAATCTGAATATGCAGGAAAGCGATGTAACACTATAATAATTAAGCCACTGATGAGCATAATCAGATAGAGAGACAAATGAGTGCTGCAGGTTTTTAGTGCACGGCTATTTAACATTTTACTCTTGGTTACTAAGCAAACAGCAGTTATTTTAATGTATGTAACGGCAATACTTCCCATAGAGGAGCCAAACAGCAGCACTGTGTATATCAGTCCATACAAGTTATTGATAGTCACATCCTCACAAGATAACTTGAACAAAGATGCATTGTCACAAAAAGGATTTGATATAAACGTTCTGCAGCGGCTCAGCCTCAAAGTAAGGCCTATCAAGATGCTGATGAACAGTAGTGCTATACCCCAGGCTAAAGCCGATAGTGTGATCACTGTTTTGTTTGTCATTATAGTTTGGTAGCGGAGTGGATTGCATATGGCCACATATCTGTCAATAGCCATGATTATTAGTATGGTGTGGGAGGTTGTGCCATACGTGTGTGTAGAGAATGCCTGAACAACACACTCAACATAGCTGATATAGCGCTGAGATGGTGATTTTAAAATGTCCATAAGCAGTCGAGGAACCATGATGGAATTTCCAAGAATGTCATTTATGGGCAAGTTACAGAAGAGCATGTACATGGGTTCATGCAGGCTCCTATGTGTTGTTATGACAATAAAAATCCCAATGTTAAGCACCATAATTGCCACATAGAAAAGCAGAAAGAATACAAAAACTGGATACGTGGCTTCTTCAGATACCCTTAGTCCTTCTAGCTGCAAAATGATGCTGTTGAATGTGTAATTCTCCATTCAAAATGTTTTACGTCGATTATGAAGAGATTTTGAAAAAAAATCTCCTTGAGGAAATCTCAATCGCCAGTGAGCAAATTTCAAAATCCTCAAGGATTTGCTCAGAGCTGGATAGTTAAACGCAGCATATTATGCAAATAAAAATGAGTTTAATGCACAGATGATAAACAACTCCTAAGAACATAATAAACGGGAAATAAATGTATAGTAAATAGAAAAAAAAAGGATGTACTTATTAAGCGCCTCTCTCCCAAGATGGTTTCAGTCAAATGAAGAATGAAGATGATAGCTAAATCCAGCTGTAGCAGACTGGCTGTGGGCTTCTTTTATAATCCATCACCTTATAGAATATGCAAATATAGCCTAATACATCAGTGACAAACCCTGATGTCAGTGGGAAAAAGTTAAGAAACAAATGTATATATGAAACCATCCACCTGCTATACATAAATAAATAAATAAATAAATAAATAAATAAATAAATAAATAAATAAATAAATAAATAAATAAATATATATATATATATATATATATATATATATATATATATATATATATATATATATATATATATATATATATATATATACATTTCTATGTAATATGACGTATACCTCTTACAAAATGTTTAATTTGTACAACATGACTTCCATACTGGTGCATCTATAATTAGGAAACATTTAAAGGTCACTATTTACTCACCCTCAATTGATTCCTAACCTTTATGAGTTGTTTTACTCTAACAACTGACAATGTTATTAGGACATTGGGTGAGTCAGTTTTAGGTAAACTATCACTTAAATAAGCCAATTGCATTGCCACTCACTCTCTCAATCTTAATCTTGCTGTGTTAATTAAATTAAGATATTTTTTCACTTTCTTGGTCTAGGTATTAAAACGTAGTTTAAATTCTTGATTGTAACTGATATGTCCTGAGTGAGGTTAGTGTACTGAGAAATCATACTCAAGCAAAACCATTACTTTCTAAAAATATATAGTGCACCATAGTTCAAAGTACAGTAGACTGATCTGTTCTTATTACTACTCAGAGTAAAATGTAGCCCTTCTAAAAAATGGATTTTGTGAGATTTATTTTTGTGTAATTATTTTATGTAAACTTTTCATTTGTGGTTGTGTCAACTGCCGAGAAATGAGAAATAATAAGAAATACTGCATGAGATGCGCATGTGCAGTATAATGTTGGGGCAGTAAAAAATGCATGGATGTTTGAGGCTTGTATGTCATAGCAAGCTGTGGATAAGTTTTTCCAAGCTTTTTTCTAAGCTTTTCACTCATCATAGCACACGTGCTGCTGATTATGTGACAATAAAAGTGATTTGATCTGAAAAATTGAAAAAAAAAAATGTTAATGTACTGTATCAGTGTTATACATCTATCTATTCCTGCATCATTCTTGCATAATCATCTACAAGAGATGGGAGATGAAGGTTCACAGCCCCTCTTACATTATTATACTGTGAAAATAGATCCACTTTAGACCCTGCTAATCAAAAATGTAGCTTACATCAGTGTCATTTGATGTTAAGGGTGTTTCTAAAAATGTAAGTTAAATTAGGTTGTCATTTATACTCTTTAAATCTGAGATTAGTTTCATGTGAAGACACATTGCATTAATATATAAACTTAGAAGTTGACATACAGCTGCTGCGTTTATATGTGGAGTGAAATCTGTGTGAACTAACTCTAACTTTGTCTAACAAGATATCAGTGTCCAGGAGGCAACAAACAAAAACCTAACATTATAGTGCAATTAGTAATTGTTTAAGGCCATTTGGTAAATTTAGTCATTTACTCATCATCCTGTGACGCTCCAGGGACAGATAAGTCCGGTGTTCTCCAGCCTCCGGGTCCTAGACTGCAGCTCTGCACAATACGTTTGGCCATAGGAGAAATGGTCGTGCCCAACTGAGCCTCGTTTCTCTTTAAGTTTTTTAATTCTACACTTTCGCCAATTGGTGAAGTCTTTTCTTCGCTGCTGTCGCCACTGGCTTGCATGGTTCGGGACCTGTAGAGCTGCGCATCAATGGATTTGCTCTTCAGTGTTTGGACTCTCAGCAATGAATATTAAACCACACTGAGCTAAGCTAAACTGAACTGAACTTAAACTCTGAAAACTGAACTGACACTGTAAAAGCACTATAGAATTAAAGATCAATTAAATATAATCAAATCGTTAGTGACACACAGTCTAATCAGTCTCTTTTTGCATCTTCTCTGACACTTCTAAAAGCCAAACAAAGAAAATGTGGATACAACTAGACATAGTATAATAGTAAGAAATCAGTATATGGAATTGGACATATCATGAGTCTCAGTCACTTACGTTTCCTCGTTAAGATGTAAATTCCATAAGTGTAAAACCCCAGTAGACATTGGGCCAATCAGAAAACAAAGCAAACTATAAATAAGTCATGGGCCACACCCTCATCATTTGCATGTAGGCCTACTTTAGGTCCTTCATCTGGACCTGACGAGAAGCTGACGTCATCAAGAGAACACATTAGTATGCAACAAAATTTTCTAGTGAGAAAACAATGATAGTTTCCCTCCCTTGGTATTTTACAGCTATTTAACTTGAAAATAGAACTGCAGATTGTTGGCTGTGTCATTGAGCAACAACTCCACAAGATGTGCAAACTTGCGCCGACATAAAATGCAAGATTTACAGATTACATTTATTCAGCTCCACTACGAAGAAACATAAGGTATGCCTAATTGTATTTTTTATAATTTATCATGTTTATTGTAAAACTTGAAGCACATGTATCAACAAACATGTGTAGCCATGTCAAATCATTCATTAATTCATTTTCTTTTTCGGCTTAGTCTCTTTATTAATCTGGGGTCACCACAGCGGAATAAACCGCCAACTTATCCAGCATATATTTTACGCAGCAGATGCCCTCCCAGCTACAACCCATCTCTGGGAAACATCCACACATTCATTCACACTCAAACACTACAGACAATTTAGCCTACCCAACTCACTTGCACCACATGTGTTCGGACTGTGGGGGAAACCCGAACACCCGGGGGAAACCCACGCGAACACGGGGAGAACAAGCAAACTTCAAACAGAAACGCCAACTGACTCAGCCGAGGCTTGAACCATTGACCCTCTTGCTGTGAGGCATCAGCACTACCTACTGCCCCACCACGTCGCCCGCCATGTCAAATCACTCAGCTTATTTGTCATCTTTTCATGCAGATGATATTAAGTCCTGATTGTGTTTTCTTTGACATTATAGCTTAAAATAAAACACACTACATCTCTATCAGTCTATCTTGTGATCAAAATAGTTTAATGTTACTCTAATATTCTAGTTTACATTTGTTTGTGTTCAGTACATCATGCTCTGTGTGTGAAAGAGAGAGAGAACTGCATGCCAGAGCAGTGCTCATTAATATTCATGACAATCCATGTATGGTCAATTATAGACCTTCTGATTCTAGAGCGATTTTTTGAAGTAATAAATGAGCATATAAAACAATTTCTGGAGACTTTTTTTTAACTTACTAAAGCTTTAAAACTCCTATGCAGGTATCAGAGAACAACCTAAGTTATTAAACCAATGGAGTATATGGCACAATTAATGCTTCCACAGTTTGCATGTTTGCTGCAGTTTTGAAGCGTAGTTTTAGTAGTTAAAGCATTTCACTCTTTGTAATAATTACTTCACACCACAATAGTATATACAAATGCTATAAACTGTCAAGACCATAATATGCCCCCCCCCCCCCCCCCCAATGGTCGGTCTTATGTTTTAAAATTATTAGTAACAAAAGAAAAATACATATATACATTAGCAGCAAATGCATTAGCAAACAGTTCAGCTTATTACATTTAATAGCTATTATAATGAAATGGAATCAAGCTATAAATCTCATTAGCCGTTTTTCCACTGTATAACATACACATTCTGATAAAAGAGCAACGAATGAATCTCTCATTTATAAATATATATATTTTTTGATGACATTAAATAAGAGGTGTCACTTTAAAAATGCACACATCAAACGTTATAATGAAGGCATTTGACTGCTTTACTTACTTTTTATGTTCATTTAAGACGAAATTAGTTGTATTTGGAAAAAAAACCTACCAAGATCGACATCCTTATATGTTATTATTATTAATTATGCTTGTTTGTCTGTTTAAACACGCACCCAAAAGCCAGATTTTCTCTCCGCTTCAAATTGCGTGTACAGAATCCGTTTAGGAAACAGCCTCTGTTTATCACTATGGAGCGCGTCAGCTGACAGTCATGCACCATTATATCACTGTTTTGAGGATTGTATAGGCACCTGTAATCAAAAGGAAAGGCAATCGCGCCGTTTTTAATACTTATTTAGAAGTGTTTTCATTCCTAAACAAAGTGAAAGCACAGAAGACTCACGTTTTAGAGCAAGAGGTGACCCCTGTTGGTTCGGCGGTATGGGTTGCGTATAGGGAGGATAGGCTGTTCAGAGAAAGACTGAGAATACCGGAGAAATACTTGAAAATACCTTTACAGGATGATAGCGGGATAGAACAGTAAAATACGGGAGAAAACGGGAGGGTTGACAGGTATGATTTGAATACTCAGAACTGGTTAAAACTATACCACCAGTGTTTCAAGGTGGAGTAGTGTTCACAGAGAGCTTACTGCTGCGAGTTAAAACTGACCCCACAAAACTTGACTTTCTCATTTGACCTTTTACGGCAAAGGAACATGCACCAACAAAAAAAAGACATGTTGAAAATTAAGAGTCAGTTGCTGAAGCAACAAATTTACAGTTCTTGGCAAGCTTCAGAGAACATTTTCTGTGTTCCAGCAATCTCTGCTTAGGTTGAGATTTGTGTGACCTCACTGAGAAAACATGCCTCCACAGCTCCTGTTCTCTTCACTCTAGTTCAGATGTTACAAAGATAACTGCTTGATGTGTTTACATTCCCAACAACTTTATTTACAATTACACCCCAAAATAATGACTCATTA